AAAAAAAAAAACAGAAATGATAATATAATTTTCTCTAAATGTGTTAATAATAATAATCATTTAATTTATGTATTTGAAAAGTTAGGTTACAACATGTGAATTAAATTTCACGGAATTAATGCTTGGATATCTTAGATTTGATCACGATTTTCAAATAATTTTCATATGTCTGATAAACTAAAACTATTATAAATATCAGTATAGAATTGATTGTATTTTTCTTTTAAAAAACTCCTATTGAATTATTTTGATTATAAAATGTTTATTTTAATGAATCAATTAAGTTATGATATCTAATCAAACTAAATTTCTTAAAAAACACACTTTCATAGTTTTTCCTAAGTCATTAATTTTCTATTATTTTACAAAATACCAAAATAGGTATGGTCCACAAAATTTACCAATACTTGACTGTAATTAAGAAAATGAGAATACTTTCGTCATAATAAGTCAAAAACAAGAAAAGAAAAATGCAAATATTTTATTCTAAAGTGAATTCTATCTTTTTTCTGAGATCTTTATATTTTTATGATTGTTATTTCATTCTTGACATATTATTATAATAATTGAGTATTAAATCTCATTAATGCTTATTTAGCTATTTTTAATCAATTTTATTTAACATTATATAATCAACATAAATTACATATTTAAAGTAGTTTTTGAATAAAATCATTTATATTTGATTATTGATAGTCTATACATGTCGTTAGAACAAATTAGTGATTGATATTGTTTCTTAAATAATCATAAATTTTTTATTTCCCTTGAATATACTAAATGTTCATTTTCTTTATTGATCTGCAATTCTTTTGAAGTTTCATTGCACCAAATAACTAATAAATTAACTACTTTTATCTAGGCTTATCTAATTTTCTAAATAAGGTAGGCATAAATCAAAAAGCCATCTTAGAACAAGGAGACATATTCTACTTTATGATGGATTTGATGATTTCTATTACTTTTCAAGTTTCTAACAACTTCGATTAGATTAATTTTGATCTATGATTTTGAAGACGAGAAATTATTGCAGTATCTTTATAAGGTCGTTTAGATCAGATATTATTTTTCTCCTATGTGATTTTTATGTAGAAATAAAGGTGTCACTCTAAATTAGGTAATAGTTGTTTCTACCTATAATTATTGACTTGATTTTTAGAGAGACCACTACCCATATTATTTAACAATTAAATTGAATCTGAATTTGATGTTAAAATTAATAGATGATGAAAATGGAAAATAAACTTCTCAAATGATAATATCAAAAGCAACTTCATAAAGCTTGAATTTACAAATTTAAGCAAAAAGAAATGTTTTAAATTAATAGTTGAAGTCTAAATTTATAGTTTTTCTAGTTTTTAAGTTACGAATAGTTTAGCAAAAAATTTATTTGAAGTATACAAATTATAAAGTTTGGTTGACATCTTAAATAAATTTTATTTAAAATAAAATTTTGTGTTCTTTGATTTTAAATAAATTTAATATTTGAAGTTCAGTAGAGTGGGTCCACCTTAAATAATAGTAAAAGCAATAAATAATAGCATCATTTTTCTCTTATTTTCTTCAGATTTTTAGATTAAAGTCAAATTACACTAATAGTATTTTACAATTCTAAATTTTATTTTTGATGAGGAACATTTAATCTATTTAATTAAATTTGTTATTTAATCCGTATTTAAATACTAAGTTTTTTCAGTCAAATTAAAGGGAGTTTAGTTTAAGTACTGAAAATTGAAATGAAGAACAGAAATTAATAGGTTCATATATTTTATGTTAAAAATGTAGCAAAATTTGTATATAAAGTTTATAATAAATGTATTAAGAATTTACAACCTTAATTAATGGAATGAGTAATTAGATTCAAAAAAAGAATATTGCTGAAGTTTATAAACATAATAAGCAAAGATAATTGAATTTAGTACAAAGGAAGAGTTGGGCTCCATCTATAAAATACTCAATGTTTTAATCTAATTATGGGACAAATGATTATTAAATTGTACCTCAAGAGAGTTCAGATTCTGAATCTATTGTTTTTACACCTTCATAATATCCATCATTACATAAAGTTGCTTCTCAAATTGTTATGATTTCATAATATTCCTAGATTCCTTGCTCAACAGTATTGAAGGATGGTTTAAAATCTAAATTGATAATTAAAAACATTGATGAAAACATTGATATTCAAAAAGCTTCTGAATTTGTGGATAAACTTCCCATTAAGGGTTTTGTTTAAGAAATCAAATTAATATACTATTAATCAAATCCATGCCTATTATTTCAGTTGAAAACAGATTAGCCATTAATTGTGGCAAATCAATTTATGAGTAAACAAAATTAGAAGTAAGCAAAGTCAATCTTTGGTTATAAATTTATATGTGCTTAATTGGCATTGATGAATGAGGAATTTGCTGCAGTTATATTAAGAGGTCTGGACAAAACCATCAGTATTAGTTAAATAGAGAAGATTGTTTCGTATACATTGAAGTTGGAATAGAAAGAGTGTATCAGAGAGACACAAAAACACATAATCGAAATTGAAGATGTAGGATGCATTACAATTGTTCTTAAAGATTTGGAATATTGTGAGAGGATTGTAATAGCATTTAATGGGACAAATTTGAATGGATTATAAAAAAATAAAATATTAGTTAATGTTCATCCTGAGTCTGTGAAAGTTAGACGAATCGATCTTAGTTAATCCATTTAGAAAGGACTATTACAAGTAAATTAATTAAGCAATATTTAGAAAATCATCAAGGTTAATGAAGAGGAAATGAATTGACAATTTAATTTATTTATATTATTCTTAGATTTCCCAAAAACTTTAGGCAGATGCAAATCAAAATGAGTACTCTTTCATTAAATATGTATAAAAAAATTTAATATTATTTTATTCAAAATGACAGCCAAAGATGTTATTATGAAAATGAACAAAGAAGCAGAATACAATGCACTCACTGCAGATTTTCAAGGAAATGATACTAAATTCGTTGGAGAATATGAAAATGTCAAAATTCCATCAGATAAGAAAGAAATCATTAAGGATGCTTTCAGAAAAGTAGCCACTGCCTGTAAACCAACATTAAAGAAGTAAAATTGTACCTCTACTTTAGCCTGTCTTTGAGATAAAATTGGTTAGATTTATAAGATAGAGTGTATAATAGAGCATAATACTACACAAGTATCAAATTATTTTTATAAATAGCTGATGCAAATTCATGCATTAGTGATGCTAGAAATGTAGCTGAAGTTAATGTTTGCTGCGACAATTATATTTAAAGACTCAATAACGATTTCTATAATGATGTCTTGCAAATATTAAAAGATTATTGAGATATTTCATATATCAAATAAATACAAAAAACAAAACATTTATATAGAAATTTATCGCTAAGATATTCGATTAATAAATTTAACTTAATAATATAAAGTATAATAATTTCTATAGATGGAATAAATTGTTATTTCAAATCATATTCACAGGGTTGTATTGTACTAATATATAATACATAATACTAATATCATAATACTAATAATGTTAATGTTGTACATGAAAACCCCAAATAATTTTGCACTCTTCTTCTTCTTCCCCTAAAGTGAAATGGGATGAGGCTAGGTATAGGTGGCTTTACGGCCATGGATAATGTTGCCCTAGGGTTTCTCCTCTATCATCTCAAAATCCCTGAATTGGTCAAAATGTGGAATTAGTCCTGTCTTGGCTACTTAAGTTGGTCAGTCTTAGTAGAAGGGTTTAGTTTTAAGGGCACAGCTCAAGCAAAATGATCACTGATTAGAATATATTTCGGTTACAATATATTCAATTTTCTAATAGCACAGTCATTGCTGAAATATAAGTTCGAGTGCAACAAATCTCAGTTAGTTTCCTAATAATATGACTATTGTTTATAATAATCCAAGCCTTATATAAATCAAGCTTATATTTTTTCGAAATCCTTGTTATAATATATTTAGGTAATGATGCTGCTTGATCATATAGGATTTAGCTACTAAAAAATTTAAATTATGTGAAGGTGGACATTTTACATTCTTTATTGCTTTTATTTCTAATTAGTTAAGTTGTTTCAGGAGATAACAATTTGGCTTGCATCTATGATGGAGTTAAAATAATTAGCCAAATTATAGTGATTATTTCAATTGGGGATTTGTTATTTAAAATAAATTCGTATTACAATCGTGAATTTTATTTAATGGTACATCCGTATTCAGAGAATTATGCTTTAAACTTGAATTGCTTTAATACATAAATTAAAGATAGTTTGATGGTAAAAGCTTTTGTAATTAAAGAAGTATAAATTTTAAATGGATTTGGCAAAAATACAGTTTTGGAAAATAACATTGGAATTCAAAAAAAAATATGTAATAATTAAATACATGATCAAAGGATTATGTCATTAATTTTTCCTGAAAACTAATTTGATATTTTGAATTAAAAAATATAACACGGAATACGAGCATGGATTAACAAACTGTAAGTTACTGTATATTTAATTCCCATAAAATCATCGTTTATTTATAAATATTTTTTGGAAATATCATTGTAAGACCAAATTTCAACATATTTCTTAAATAGATAATCAAGATAAATCAAAGAAAATTAAATGATTTGAATGCTTTAATGTATCGATCAAAATGACATAGAATATTCAAGAGTTCTATTGTAGAACTTTAAAGAAGAAAGCAAAGAAAGTCCTTGAGTAAATAGAAGGTAAAGACATAATTGAAGCAAGGAACAAAAAAGTAAACAAATATGATGGGGAAACTGTAAAAGTAATAAATCTGGTGAAATTTAGTAATAAGCTGTCGATATAAACTTCAGAGCCTTTTAAATCAACTTTGAACTTCAAGAGGAGTTCCTAAATGATTGATCATCATATATTTTATCAATACAAATTCTTGCAAACTTTGTTTTTATAAACATCTTCTTATTTTAGGTGGAATTATAAATATCTTAATGCATTTATAGTTAATTTAGTGTAATAAAAAGGTATTAAAAATATAAATCGAAGAATAATTAAAGTTAGATGATATTAAATTATTAATTAGTATCCATAAAACTAATAAAGTCTACCTCCATTTATGTTTAGAAATAATATTTTAATCATAAACTAAATTTAAAATGTAGGAGTAGTGTATGGGCTCTATAGGATTTAATGTTCTTGTGTTATTTTAGATTTCGTATACAAACCAAAGACTGTGTTGGAGAAGGCTCTACGCTTATCATTCTTTTCCCACTTATTATTCCTAGATTAAGCCTGAACCTGGGCTTTTTTACTCCCTAAGGGTTACTGTTGCTAATTCTCAAACTTAGATTTCACCCCTGGTTTATCTATGTTTTCCCGAGTATCTTTTAGGATTTTCCCAATTCCTTTTTTTTCCTGAAACTCAAACCAAGATTAAAAATCATCAGGCTACTAGGTAATTAGGCCCATCCTTGAAAGGTACCTCTTGTGCTATTTTAGGAAATTCTTTACTTTTTCCTACCCCACATTAGAGTAGGTTTGGAGAGATCTTCTAAGGCCTTGTGAAGGGTCTTAAATAAGCCTTAGAAGATCAGGCAACGATTATGTTAGGTAATAAGAAAGAAAGGTTGCTGATTAACCTTAGAAAAGTTCTTCGTTTATTTTCTCCTACATTTTAATAGATAAAAAGAATATTAGTTTAATTGTTTTCAATAATAGTATGATATAAATAATAAATAAGTTTTTATTTGTTCAAAATAATAAAATTGAATAAATTAATGTTCAACAACATCCACCTCCTTACTTTTTATCTTCTGTAGCATCATTTGGTTTTAGTTATTAAGTTTAGCTCTACAATTACTATTATTATTGGCCTTTCTATTGAGTTAAATTTAAGTTTTACTTATTATTATAGTGGCTATGATGATTATTATTCATTTGGATTTCCTTGCAAATCATAAGATAATTTTTTAAAGAATTCTGCTACATTATGTGCACTTTTAGCAGATACTTCTGAAAATGATGCTCCTAATTCCTTGAAATTGTCAATCAAATATTAATACTTTTGCTTTTGCTTCGGCTACATCAAATTGAATTTGTCTTTCTGATTCTAGATCTGTCTTATTCCCCAAAATATAGATTAAAACTTCATCTCCTCTTTCATCTTTCACATCCTCAATCCATTTCTATAAATCTGAAAAAGATTTGTCATCTTTAATAAGAAATTTCTCTTACTTGTGATATCATAGCATATAATGGCGGCTTAGGAATCCCTTATATAACTAGGAATAAGAGATCTGAACCTCTCCTATCCTGCAGTATCCCATAACTAAAGTCTGACAGATTTGTTATCCACTTGAAGTGTCTTAGATATAAAATCAATTCCAACAGTAGGCTATTATTATTTGAATTCCAATTACCTATTCATTACCTGTGAAATTGTCGAAAATAAATCGATTGATTATTGATGTCTTGCCAACTGATTGATTACCTAAGAAGACAATTTTAAACTTCTGCATGGGTCCACTTGTTGTATTTTAAGCCATATAATTTCAAATAAATATAATATTTTCAATATTTATAATTCCCTAAAATTCCAAACTATTTAAATTAAAAAATGTCGTATATTTCCTCATCATCTGAACACTATCAATTACATTACTTATTTCATTCAATATTTATTTAAGTTGTACTTTTAACAATAAATTTAATTAATCTGTTAGACATGCTTAATCCTTATCTTACACCAAAGTAGACTTGCAAATAATAACCATCAAAAATCTGTTAGCCCATTCATTAAAAAAGTCTAACCTGTAAGTCACTCTCTCCTTAATAACTATAAATTCCTCTTCAATAAAACAATATAAGGGATGATCAAGATCCTTCAACTCCGCAAAAGATTAAACTAGCAAAGGGTGTTAAATTGTTAAGCATACCATCCTAACTCAATGATAATAGTTTTAGAGGAAGCAGCTCTAAAAATATCTTGACATCTGATAGTCCGCTTATTACTCGTAATAAGGAAAATAATTCAATTAGTAGAAGAATCTGTACTGAGTCATGTGCACAAGATAACCCAACCTCTGCAGTTATTCAAGAAAATAAAAAGTTGAATGAACTGATTTAAAGATTATTTAGGGAGAAATAAGAATTAGTTGCAATTATAGAGAAATATAAAAATTAACCACAATTTTATCATGGTCAGACTGACTAATTTAATCTACTAAGTTTAAAAGCAAGAATCGAAAGATTAGAAGCAGTTATTGATCAATAAAGTGAAGAAATAAATGAATGGAAACTAAAGTATAAATAAGCCTGTGAAGAAGATGAGAGAGTCAATGCGATAGATTAAATGGTATTATTTATTTAATAATAGGAATCACAAATACTTAAAGTGGTTGAAGAAAATGAAAGACTGAACAATTTAGGATTTGAGAAGGAAAAACAACTCTCTAATTTAAATAATGAAATTACATTTCTATAAAAGAAAGCCTTTGAGCATGAGTAAAAAATAAAAGATCAAGCCGCTCTAATAGATGCATATGAAGAGGACATTAAAGAATTGAAAAAAGAATAGAAGACTAAATTAACGATGATCGAAAGATATGAATAGCAATTATAAGAAAAGATTGAAAATTCTTGTTAACCCTCCTTTTGCGAAATTTAATAAGGATATATAAACAATAATTAAAAAATAATTTTAGACTACATAAAATAAATAGAGTAGGTATTAACTTATTAATAATTTAGCAATTATGTGATTTATCGACATAATATACCTTTCAAGTAGTGGAAAATTAAAGATTGTTGAGATAAAATAACAATTTGAAAGAAGAATTACTATCTTAATAAATAGCGTTAGATGAAATAAGGACATCCCAAAGAGGAACTTTTAATCCTAAATTTTAAGAAATTAACAGAAATCTCACTTTTTTAAGAGAAAAAATTATGAAATAAATGATTAAATGATTAGAGTTTCTTATTAAGCGAATATAACTATATGTTCTTTTTAATGAACAATTATTCAATATTTCAATTCATTTAACAAATAATTTTAAGGTCAATTTCTAAAATGATTAATTAAATTTCATAAACAAAAAAGATACTTAATTGCTATTACCTCTTTTTTTTGTGGATTTTAATGTAAATAATAAAAACTAAGGTTTTACTTAGAAGGAATATTTTATAGGATTTTGATAAGATTTGTCAGAAACTAAATATTTTACTTAAGGTGCATCATTCCTTAATGCTTCCCAATTAATATGCAAGATTTTTTTTGTTATTTGTAAATACATTTTTCAGGAAGGGGAGAATTAAAGTTGCGAGAAGTTCTTTTTTAAGAAGGTATAAAAAATTTGTAGATAAGAATACTATTTTTATTGAATTTATAACATAGATGAAATGAACCTTTTTGTACTTCGAGATAAGTGGTATTCTAGTTTATCAACTATTAAAGTAATTTTCGTTAAATATTTATAAAAAAGCATTTCAATTAGAACATTTATCTTTTTTAGAGACAAAATTGAACTTTTAAAACTGTGTTTAATAATTAAAATATTTGGCTCGATTATATGTTTAGAAGAGAATAACCCTATTTTAAGAATGTTTTTAGCAGAAATAGCTTCGAAATCGAAGGTTGATCAACTCATCCAATTAATTATATAAAAATGAGATTGTAAAAGGAAGGTGAAGTACAACAAAAAAAATACAAAGAAGAAAGAGTACATGCATAATTGAAACAATTATCAGCATCATTAGGGAGAGTCGATAAGTATACAACATTGAGATCATTCAAGCATATGATATCAAATGATAGTGTGAAGACATCCTTAAGGGTTTATATTTTTGCAGGTTTGATCAACAGGAGCGATTGTTGAGAAATTGTGTGATGTGCAAAATTATTAAAAAATATTGTTAGTTTAAAAATTAGATTGTAATCTATCTGCGACCATCATCAAGCAGTCCTTGCTTGAAATTACACAGATTGACATTATGAAGAATTTCTTGGATTGTATAATTGGAAATATTATTATTTTTAGCTAATAATAATTTGAAAGTGTCATAAAAATTAAGGAGATCATTTATATAAAGTTACTATGCCTAATTTACTTAGAGAAGCAATTCTCACAGGAACTAAAAAGGCAACTTACGATTACACAAAACAATGATTGAAGGAAAATTTTGAATTCAAAAAGGGAGAATCATATCATAAAGTGCCGGTCATAAAGTGTATAATGAATTGATGGGTTGTGCAATCAAGGCATTTAAATAAGAAAGTTTAGGTGCATTTTACAAAGGTTCTTCTCTTAGTGGATAAATTTGGACCATTTAAAATTATATAACTAATAGTTGGAAATAATTACCTATATTTTTATAAATTAGAAAATATGATTAATTTTATGCATATGATATTTCATGGAAGATTTGTTAATTTGTTTGTATTATAATAATCCCAAAAGTTGAGTCTGATTGGTTCAAGAGCATTGACAAATTTTTTGATTGCTGCATAAGCAGCTTCATCAGTTTGATTGGGTCCAACAAAAGTTTCAAATACTTTAGTTCTACTTGGAGCAGCCAACCAAGCAGCCTTGGCAGCATTCCTTACCATGAATCTAGAAATATGTAATGAGTTATACGTATGATAAGGTGCCAAAGCTTCATTGTATGCATCAGAACAAATATCTGAAAACTTTTTATTTCTGTTTGTATCAACATCTAAAAACATTATTTTCAAGTAATTAAAGAATCTTATTATTCTCAAAATTGTTCTTGCCATAGATTAGTAGTTAACTAAAGTCTATGAATAAATGAATTGGTTATCGTTACCTTATTTTTTAAGATCTCTTTATTATTCTCTCCGTTTAATTCCATTAATCCTTTTGACTTCTCTATCTATATAACTCCATAGATTCCTTTAGTTTATTCATTGTATTCATTTCCTCTATCTTTAATAATTTAGGCTTTTTCAATAACATCTGAAAATGCAAAATATAACAATTTTCCCAATTGTTTGAATAGTTTGCAAAATTCAACCAAAAATTCTCCTATCTAATGAGGTGGGTAATCTCTATTCTATTCAAAAAATTGATTAGCTTCTGTCAACAATTTTAGTATTTTCTCGTTGTCATATCTATCGTTTTAATCCATGATTATTTAATAAACTTGTTATTTAATTTGAATTAATGGATTATCGAATTGGATCAGCCAGTATGAGCGATTTAGAAAGTGCTAAATTGGTAGCAAAGAAACTGTTTGAGACATATGATAGGGATAGAAATGGAATTATTGATACAACTGAGACCATACCTATGATAGTTGATGCATACAAATCATTTAATAGAAGTTTTTAGCCAACAAGAGGAGACATAGATAGTTATTCAAAAGTCATGGACAGAAATGGCGATGGCAAAGTTACCTATCAAGATATAGAAGAATTATGCATCAAATATCTGTGTCCTCAATATTCTTAGCAATAAAGATAATAAGTTAATAAGCCATAAGACCCAAGAATCGAAGTAGCAAGAAGAGTGTTTAGAAAATATGATACTGATAATTCTGGTTACTTGAATGTTTAGGAAATACAAAAAATGATGGCTGAAGCATACAGATCTATGGGACTATCTTAACCAACATACAAAGACGTATAAGCTTGGCTAGACGTAGCTGATACTAATAAAGATGGTTTTATATCTCTTCAAGAATTTGAATAATTTGTCTAAAAAAGCTTATGATATAAATTAACTAATATAATTTGTTCTTTATTCTCATACACTAGTAATTCAAATACAGTTGTTTTTAATTTCTTTCGTCATTTGAATCATTAAGTTTTATTAGGAATCTATTTTAGAATTAAGTATGACAATAATGGAATGGAATAAATTAATCTTAGATGAGAGATTGATTAATGAATTAGAAAAGTGAAACCTAGTATTCTTATAAAGAGAAAATCAAATATTAACAAGTTAATAGAAATGATATGGTGTAGTGGATAATCGTTGATGAGATTTAAGAATTTCAAGAAAACTTTTATTGTTAATGTCAATGTTAATTATAAATTGCATTTACTGGTTGACTAAATTAACAGCTATTTATAACGAAAATGTAATAGTTGATTAAAATACACAATTATTAAAATTTATAATAAAAAGAATGTCAAATTGTGGAACTCCTTTGTGTCTAACTCCTTCAAAGAATAAGGAAGTGAAGAGACGGAATGTGTTATTGAGTGTTCCAGATGAGATGATAAATTACACTCCTTTGGAATAGATTACACTGCCAAAGAATTAAAGGATCAGATAATCATTTTCTAAATTTTTATGTGGAAATATTGATGAGAAGGAATTTGTCAAATTCAAATGTTTCCCTTAGAGCATCAACTAGACAGCATAATAAACAAAGAAGGTCAGAAATAGACATGAAGATTTTACAATATAATTAAAGAGATAAGCTGCTAAAGAGAGAGCCAAATAGAGATGGAAACGATTGGCAGAAGTATTATAATATAAGTATTGAGGTGGTACAATAAAATATTAAATTAAGAAGATAAAGTGATTCTAATTATTAATCAAAAATATTGAGTAGAATAGAATTGGGAATGAAAATTTAAAATTAATTGGCAGAACAATCATCAATAATCGAAGATTTAAAGAGTTATAAATTGTAGACGATGTTAGTGTTAAAAGAGAAGAAGAAAAAATAAAATTAATCATGTTTTATATCACCAAAACATTATCAATTTGAATTGCAAGAACTATTCAAAGAATAAAGTGATCAATATTTGTACATTTACCATAAAAATCTTCCAAACACATCAAAATTATCAGAAAAAGAGTATAACCAATTACTTGACACTTATCTTCATAAGAAATAATTGTTTGAACAATATTTGGAGTAAAAGAACCAAAGAAAACTGGTCAAATGGAAACCAATGACGAGTTCAAGTACATTTTACAGCACTTCAATGAGTTGTTAATCGAATGGACTAAAGAGAGAGTCTCCAATAATGAGATTGTAAAATCCTTTGGAATCGTAGTAGTAATAGAGATAGAAAGAATACTTTTTGGTCAATCAAATTAATGAGGTTTCAAATCCAAAAATGGCAACAAGTATAGTTACGAAAAAACATTAGAGACCACAAAATACAAAAGATAAATTAAAAGGAATAGTTAAACATAATAGAATTAAATCCATGGACTATGCAGAGAATGATGATGATGATGGTTTGGACATGTCTAATGCATCGATAACTGAAGCATTATTGGACTAATTGTATTTGGGATCACAGAAGTTATAATCAAAATTGAAATAGCAGAATACTGTTCAAAAAAGAGTTAGAGACATTCTCAGACTTTAAGAAATGAAAGTTAATACAATCAATGCTAATTATTAAAAGCTAAATAAATACTAATAAAAACATTAATGATTATAATTTTATTATTCTTGGCTAATTATATCAATGCTGAGTCCCTAGCTACATAAAAAACAAATGAATTAAGGGAAATGCAGTTGAGAGATGGAATAATTGAATTGAATTCAACAGGATATTTGTATCACTTCATTATTAATTTTCAAGTTACTACACCATGGAATTTCCACGTCCATATGATGTCGTTATTTACTTTGTTGCTCCCAGTTGTAAACTTTGCAATGATCTTAATGAACATTACTAAAAAGTAGCAAAATTCTACGCTGATTCAGGAGCATTATATAAGAGTGAATCCAAAAGAGCTGTCTTCTTTGCCACCATGACATTCAATGATAAAACTAAGCAAGTCTTTGAACAACTTGGATTTATTTCAGCGCCAAACTTATTCGTCTCACAACCACATATAGTATTCGTCCCACAAGATGAAAGAGAAAGATATTTGAGAGACATGAAATGGACTATCTCCTATACAGATGGTACAGTCACAGCACACAAATTCCTTGAATTCATTAATAAAAGGACTGCAAGATAGGTTGATTACAAGGCATCTACCTCTGAAGCACTTACTGTTATTGGTGTTCTCTTGGGAGCTCTGATACTAGGAGCCCTGTTATTCTTTATAGCCAGACCCTTGTTTTTAAATCCAAAATTATGGTTCATTGGATCAATAATCATATTCATCACTTGTTTGGCCGGAGTCGTCTATAACATTATTCATAATGTCCCTTTCTTTAGCCAAAACAACAGAGGAGGCTTATAATGGAAGACAAATAGTGGAAGATAGCAATTAGGATTTGAAGGATTGTTCTTGAGTCTTGGTATGACATTTGTTGGATTGACTATGGTTTTGATCATGAAACTAAAAGTCTTGGTCAGACATCAAAAATTAGACCCGTATATTTTTTAATAAATCAATAGGTTGGTTGAAAGATTAATATATCTTATTTTATTCCTTTGCATCTTCTACACCGTTCTATTCGTTGAGGAGAATTACAGATAAAAGTCGCACTACAATCCAATTTATTGGCCACCAAAACATTATATCAAGGGACCATTAAATAGAGACTAAGGTAATTCATTTTGAGTTGATATAAAATATTAAATTACAAATATATTACAATCTCTTTATTATAATAATAAAATCTAATTAATTTTTATATGATATTTGCTCATGGCCATCTTATACAATTTTTCATTCCCTCAGTATCTTCATTGTTTAATGCTTCCATGAATTTCATAATGTCCATCAATTATCCTGAACATAATTTTTAATATTCATAGGCTGAATACATCCATAGTAAACATTTATTAACCATTTTTCTGATATTTTCATCTTTAACCTTGTCTTTGTCTTCCTTCAAGAACTTTATCTTCTGATACAATTATTCATTATATAATTGATGTTCAATTAGTTTAGTGAAATTTACATTTGTAATTTGTTCTGTGTAATTTAGACTTTCTCTATAATTAGTATATGTAAAATTATTAATGTAATTTAAATAATCTATGTATTTCTTTCGAATTTAAATTCGATCACCTTCTACTTCATCAATCAATAATGTTACACTATAATCAAATATATATGCTATTACCTTGAATCATCATAGAAAACATTCCAAATTTCTGAATCCACATCAAATTTAATATGATCCTGCTTTCCTAAGACAAGTCTATCATTCAACTTTTCTTTTAATTAAGAAATAAGAATTGCTGCCTACTTTAGAATATATAAAATTTCGAAACGACAGATCTCAATCAGATTCTGACTTAAAAAATCAGATAACTAAACCATTAACAATATCCCATTTAATTTATCTTTAATACCATCAGTTATCTATCTGATTCCCTATTATATTAATTGAGCCTTCTAAGAATCTAATTACATCTATTATTATTTTGCTCTTTCTTCTTCTTCTCTTTTTTATCTCTCCTCTTCTTCAATTTAAATTTATTAGCTAGATTTCTAAGAGGTATCACCATCAAATTATTTCATAAATTGTTTCTCATTTTCCATTATTGTTATATATCTTGGATCAGTTCTAAATTTGTCGAATACACCAACTTTAAGTGCATCTCTGGCTGTGATTCTCTAAATAATATAATTATTAATATTTACTTAATTAGGATCTTTTGTAATCATCTATTTTAACAACTCTTTCACTCCATCTGAAACTGCATATTTTTAATCATCCAAAATATATTACTTTGTTAGAATCTTCTGTTAAACTTCGAATTAACTCTTTCCTATAAAGTATATTTCTCCGAATAGCATCTCGTGAGTTAGCAATCCTAATGCCCACACATCCACTTTTGAGTCGTATTGATCACTTGTGAAAAATTCTGGGGCCATATATGGAAAGGTTCCCAAATGAGTCTAATACATTGATTTTTATCCAGCAAAACCAAAATCTCCTAACTTATAAACTCCATCCTTTATGAAAACATTTTCAGGTTTAATATCTCTATGAGCTATATTATTTTTAGCCAATAATGCAAGTGCCTATAATAATTAAAACAAAATGAATAATGCTTCGTCTTCTTCTAATTTCTTTACTTTTTTAATTTGATCGAGTAATGTTCCTTAATTGCAAAATTCTAACACTATGTAGATATTATTTGTTGTCTCCAAGCATTCATATATTCTATTGATAAACGGACAAGCATCAGTTTTAGAAGCCTCTACTAATTCCTATAGTATTTCCACCTCCTAATGTATCTATTACAATATCTCATCGCTTAATTATTTTATTAACACCTTACCCATATTTAGCCAATACTGCTCTCTTGATAACTTTGATTGCGACAGCTTCTTGAGTTAATTTGTTTTTCCCAAAATAAACTTCTGCAAATGCTCCTGATCCCAATTTATCATGTGTTTGATATTCATATTTTTTTCCAACTACTTTCCTCTCACTCATTATGGAATTAATTATGATATGTATAAAATATTTTATATATAATCAATATATAATCATTTATAAACTGATTTAATTTTTTGTGTTTCTATGTTAATGCTATTCTATAAATTAATTATGAAATTCCATTAATCCTTTAAAAGATTGACTTTAAAAGGTTTATTCGATTCTTTTCATATGAATTCTAAATCTGAAAATGATTATTATATTTTATAATTGATAGAATTGATTAATTAAATACAAATCGATGATTTTGTAAATTTTATTAAAAATAGTATACACCTAAATATGAAATCTTATTGGATTATCCAATCTAATAAAATAATATACAGAGAATAATAACATCTTTGAAAAATGTTTAAATTATTTAAAAATAGCATTAGAAGTTGCTTAAATCAATAAGCATTATGTTACATTCTAATGAAGATTCAAATCTTTTGATANGCATCTCTGGCTGTGATTCTCTAAATAATATAATTATTAATATTTACTTAATTAGGATCTTTTGTAATCATCTATTTTAACAACTCTTTCACTCCATCTGAAACTGCATATTTTTAATCATCCAAAATATATTACTTTGTTAGAATCTTCTGTTAAACTTCGAATTAACTCTTTCCTATAAAGTATATTTCTCCGAATAGCATCTCGTGAGTTAGCAATCCTAATGCCCACACATCCACTTTTGAGTCGTATTGATCACTTGTGAAAAATTCTGGGGCCATATATGGAAAGGTTCCCAAATGAGTCTAATACATTGATTTTTATCCAGCAAAACCAAAATCTCCTAACTTATAAACTCCATCCTTTATGAAAACATTTTCAGGTTTAATATCTCTATGAGCTATATTATTTTTAGCCAATAATGCAAGTGCCTATAATAATTAAAACAAAATGAATAATGCTTCGTCTTCTTCTAATTTCTTTACTTTTTTAATTTGATCGAGTAATGTTCCTTAATTGCAAAATTCTAACACTATGTAGATATTATTTGTTGTCTCCAAGCATTCATATATTCTATTGATAAACGGACAAGCATCAGTTTTAGAAGCCTCTACTAATTCCTATAGTATTTCCACCTCCTAATGTATCTATTACAATATCTCATCGCTTAATTATTTTATTAACACCTTACCCATATTTAGCCAATACTGCTCTCTTGATAACTTTGATTGCGACAGCTTCTTGAGTTAATTTGTTTTTCCCAAAATAAACTTCTGCAAATGCTCCTGATCCCAATTTATCATGTGTTTGATATTCATATTTTTTTCCAACTACTTTCCTCTCACTCATTATGGAATTAATTATGATATGTATAAAATATTTTATATATAATCAATATATAATCATTTATAAACTGATTTAATTTTTTGTGTTTCTATGTTAATGCTATTCTATAAATTAATTATGAAATTCCATTAATCCTTTAAAAGATTGACTTTAAAAGGTTTATTCGATTCTTTTCATATGAATTCTAAATCTGAAAATGATTATTATATTTTATAATTGATAGAATTGATTAATTAAATACAAATCGATGATTTTGTAAATTTTATTAAAAATAGTATACACCTAAATATGAAATCTTATTGGATTATCCAATCTAATAAAATAATATACAGAGAATAATAACATCTTTGAAAAATGTTTAAATTATTTAAAAATAGCATTAGAAGTTGCTTAAATCAATAAGCATTATGTTACATTCTAATGAAGATTCAAATCTTTTGATATAGCATGAATCAGAAATTACTTATCAATTATAATGAATATTAATTTAATTTATTTGATGGAGAGATAAAATAATTCATTCTAATAGAATCAAAATATTAATATGAATATAATGAATAAAAAGGAGGATTACAAAGAGATTTGGAGATTTAGAGATTTAGAATAAATATTATCTGTTAATTAAATACATATCAATCGAGTTTGAAAAGTTAAAGTTCATTTTTTTATTTTATATCATAATTCCTCTTGTTATTGGGGTTGCTAAAGAAGTGGTTGCTAATTATCCGGTAATAATTATTGTCTGCAATTAGGACATGTTGATTAAATTTATAGCCATGCAGAGATACATGTGTTATGAAAATGATGAAGTGTACTGCAAGGCATTTGTAGGACTTCATCATCAGTTTGATATGGCTACATACAAATTGAACATTCTTGTTCTCCTTCAAGGATGTTAGGCTTATACAAAATCTTGTTCTTTTGTAAATCATTTAATGCTATCATGGCTTGCTATTTCTTTTTTCTATCTGTGAAGCATCGAATTATCAAATAAATCAAAATAAACGGAAGCATAACTAATGCCAAAGCAACGAGCAAATAATACTACGAATATTATAAGAACAAAAAAGACCCATAAATATAAGTTTGAATAATTGGCCATTTGTTACAATCACTTGCTTCTCCACTACTACTTTAAGGAGTAGCTACAATATAATAAATAGTCCAAATAAATATTGCCTGGTTTGTCACATTACTAAAGATATTATTATATTTGCAAAATCTACTCTAATTAACAATCTCTTATCTTATTTACATTTGCATTACATCTGCCTTTTTATCTAATTCTATTGTTGATAAATTTGCAGTAGGATCAAAAACTATCATACAAATGGTAATATACCTTCTGGAGCAACCGGATGATCTGTCACTTCATTAAGTGGAACAAACACTATTTAAACATAATGAAAAGCTAAATGTTATTATATTGATTGAATATTTGAGAAATGAAATAATTATCCATATAAAACTAAGCTAAAAATCGCCTGTATAATGCTAAATAAAACCCAATAATGTAAATCATTCCACCCACAATTTTTTAAAGATAATAAAAATAAAATAATCGACATGCTAATTATTATGTACAATCTCTCAAGGAATAAAAAAAACACTCTTAATCTAAATTAATCCATTGCTCTTGAGAAAAGCTTTGTAAATTTAGGAACAGTATTCACTTCATTTTCATTATTTTCAACTTGTTATTCTCCTTCCTAATGAACATTCATTTTCTATATAATTTTATATATTATTTAATATAATTTTCTATTCAAATCCATTAACTTAAACTTTGATAAAAATAGAAACCATCTAGATTCTGATTTAACAATAACTAATATAAATATATCTTTCACGAGACTTTTAGATTTGAAATTCATTTAATTGATAAATTAATAGATAGAAAGTCTCTTTATTTTTAGAGGACGATAAATGTGACTTTATAGATTAAAGAGTCCATTTATGAGGAACTTATTAAGTTTTAATACTTTATTACTATAATGCAATAACTGTTCAAAATTGAATATTTATATTGAATTTCTTATCAATAATATTATTAAGTTTATTTTTAATTTAAAAAATGATCTGATGAAGAAACATTCTGCTAAGAATTTAATAATCTAATAAGGTTATTTCATTTATTTACTGATTTTCTTAATAATTTAAATAAACAATTGTTAATTGCCTTAGCAATTACAAAGAAAGTATTTATTAATAATGAAATAAAATTATAATCCAAAAATAATTATACTTTATGAATATTATTAAACAGTTCTATATCATAATAAATCAGAATTGAACTTCAACTCAGTTATTTTTTAAATTTGTAATATTATTAAATTATCAATTACATCTCTTGTTCGTTAGGCAATGAGTATAATTTGATATCTTATCTTTAGACTGAAAAGCTCTATCTTTTTATTTTAATTTAATACTTTTTTTAAAAATTATAAAACATTAATTGCTCTTCGAGAATCAATCCATTAGTGTTTTATTTTTGCTGAGTATTCTTCAAACAATTTAGTTATAATATGTCTAAAATCAAAGCCAAAAATACTGTTCAATATTTATTCTAGGCTTTTAATCACTTCCTCTTCCTTAATACAATGCATAAATTTTTTCTTTGAAGGCTTTAATAAATTTATCTTTAAAATTCTTTCTAACTAATCTGAGTTTTCTGTAATTCCTTTATATGCATTTTACTAATAGTTTGAATCATATTAATTACTTTTAGAAATCAATTATATATGTTTGTTAATAAAAGTTTAGTAAAGGATGATATCAACTAAGAATTGGCTGAATATTTTTTCGGCTTTTGTAAAACATTTCTCTTAGATGTAAGAAGTAAAAGTAGATAAAGCAAGAGATGATTTACTAAGAGATCTTATGAATGGATTATCTCCATATCTTCTTACTTCAATCAAAGTCTTTGTGTGTAATTACCAAACCAATAAGTTAGCTCTCGCTGCTATCTTATACTTGCGTCGCACTTTCTGGAAATAAGACAAATTTTACTTCCAATCTTCTGTGAATCTATTTACTGAGATGAAAGATTGTTGTTATCAATATCCAATTTTTCTTTACAAATATCTATAATTGCAATTCTTTCTAATGAATTTTTTCTACTTCCCTGAACTGAGCAATCTAATCTTTGACCAATAGTTTAATTAATTTTGTTTATCTTGCTTCCTTCTAGATTAATTTTGATCTCTTAATGGTTTCCTAAGATTTTGTATGTTTATCTAACAATTTAAATAATTATACGTTATGCTTTAATCATTTCATCTATTTTAGAATACATCTTAGTTTTAACCATTTCAATATTTTATAGAATCTTATCTTTTGGATGAACTGTTTTTCTTTCTTGAAAGATATCAAAATTGATTATTGATTATACAAACTTTTGTCCATTCGATGCTGTGTATTACTCTCCAAAGGTTATCTACATGCCTATGATAGCATCAAATTCGCTATAGAATGTTAAGTACACATATTCATCAAAAAACAATTTTGAATTCTGTTTGGAATTGATCTTTACAAATCTACTTTGAACGGATTAGTCAGCATTGAATTTATTTGGGAATTCTATTGAAGTAGAAACAAATAGCTTGTATGAAGTGCTTGTAATTTTTGAAGGGAAGTTCAACAAGATCTGCAATGGAGCTAAAATTTGATTTACATTCATTATTACACTACTTTCCTTTAACTCGAATCCTAAAGTAATAAAATCTAAATCTGACTATTTAAATTCTATTAATAAATTCAATTTCAAGATCAGATTGTTATAATCCATCGAAGGTTTTTAATAACTTTTTCTGTTGTTATATAATTTTTGGTTGCTCAATAATTTTTTATTTTGTTTCTATCTTCGTATTAGTTTTGTCTATCTCTTGGATGGCATTGTAATTCTTTTCAAATTCATCATAGATTTCAAGAATGTCATTATCTAATTGCAGGAATTGAGATTCAGGATGAGAAGATGTATAAATTTTCGATCTAGTTATTTATGATTGACTTTTTGAAAGATGTCTCATAGAACCTTACGTAGTACTAAAATTAGTGTCTATATTACTGATAAGAGGGATTAGTTATTTTTGATAAACTTCTCTCAATTTGACTAAGCTAGGTAATCATAAAAATTATTGTTATTGTTATAAATAATATTGTATTGTTTATTATTAATATAATTTAGTGTTATTGAATAAATAATGGCAGTTTTATTTAGAATATATAAGCTATTTAATTCAATATTATTATATTGATCAATTATCTAATTTAATTGAGATCATTTGCCTATGTAATTATTTTTAATCTACTAATTCTTCATTTTTTTAACTTTCTTTTAACCAGATTTTTTCTATAAATTATATTCTTTGAAAAACCATCATATTTTAATATCTATTTAGATTTTAATCATGTTATTATTATTTTTGAATTTTAAATACCAGATCAAATTCTCTTTTCTCATTATTGTTTATTACACCATTCTTTTAATATATTCCTTCAAATCACATAATTAAAGATTATCAACACCATGAATTAAAAAAAATATATTTTTTAAAAAAACAACAACATTCATTATATGTATTATTATTAAGTGTATTAAATCGTTTCATTCTTTATGTTATAGTAATGCTCTTGTTATTTCAGTAAGTAAGGATGGTTGCAATTCTAGTTTTTCATATTTTGGAGTTTCAGATATAATTGATATATTCTTGAGTAAATGATTCATGCAAGCATTTTTGAGTGAATGAGCTGAGCATTTTTATGCAAAGATTAATAGATCACAGACTGTTTCATTGTTTAAGTACTTTTTAATACTTTTTTGCATAAGATTTTTAAGTCCGTCGATCAAATATTGATCAGCCAAACCTATGATAGAAATAATACTTACTTAAAATCTCGCCCATTAATTCTATATCCAATTCAGCCACATTAATAAATCCAGTGTAAACAAAAAGTAGAAAAATATAGAAGGATTTATAAGTGTAATTTTCTACTATAAATATACGTTAATCGCTTTCTTTCGTATCAGAGAAAAAAAGAGCTTTGAACTGAGGAGATTGAGCCGCCAAATAAACTTAAATTCAAATATAAATTGTGATTACTTTTATGAGCATAAATCCTCTAATTACCAATTTCGAATGCTATGTCACTAAGCTCTTGGTTATTAAATAAATTTTTATGAATGTTTGAAATGACTCTTTAATAATTTTCTTCTTATATAGTTCTATTTTCAAGCAATCCCACATCTAAAACGTAGAGATCATTCAACCATTTGTTGCCATCAAATCCCCCAAAAATATATATCAGATCATTTTCTAACATTTCAGTAACAACAAATACCTGTGGCAGTTGCTGAATGTCTTTGTCTAGGTTAGGGTATCTATGACAATGCTACTTCCTCCATTTATAAATAAGTTCCAGTTCCATGATGATTAGGAATCACCCACTAATATGTTAAAAAATTAAATATAAAAAGATCATTTGATCTACCTGAACCATCATACCCACCGAATACATAGATATTATTTTAAATTAAATTAGCTGTATGACCCCTTAATCCTTTAGGCAAAGTTCCTTTTGTAACAACTTAAGTCCATTCCAATTTATAAGTATTAAAAACATGAAGATCCTACAAATGTTGTGCCCCAGAATGACCACCAAACAAATATAAATTTTCCTTATATCTACTATAATTATTTAGTTACCTGGTCATTGTATGCGCATTTCTGGCAGTAGGTATTGTTCCACTCACACTTGGTTATATCCATCTATTTTCTTAAATATCGTATATTTCTATCTCATTGAAGCATTCTTAACCATCATAACCTCCAAATAGGTAAAGTTTTTTTGTAACTATATTCAAAGAATGACAAGCTCTAGCTGTAGGTATCTAGCCTTGTGGATGTACCTTGTACCAACTAGCTTATCCGTGTTATCCATTTGTCTCTAAATAATAAAGATCATCTAGCCAAGTATTTCCATTATGTCCTCCATGAACATACAACTTTGTTTAATAAACTGCCGTTGTGTGATTGTTCCTATAAGAAGGAAGCTCTCCATTTGTCTATAACTCTGACCATTAATTTTGATTCAGATCGTAAATGTGAATATCTGCAAGGGCATTCATCCCATTCCATCCCCCAAATATAAATAGTTTTCCCATAATTAAATCACAAGAATGTGCTGCCCTGTCGCCAGGCTATTTTCCTTATGGATCTATTTTCCTCCAGATCATTCTATTGTTATTTTACATTATTATTATAATAATCACAAATTTCTCTCTAAAAATAAATATCTAAAGAAATCGAATCTCACGATGTCTTCCTTTGGGTCTATTTCCTTTGCAAATTCACCCTAAAATAGATTTGCTGCAAATCCAAACTCCTTAAGTATTCCTCCTAATGTTGGCTCAACATTATATTTAAATATCTATCATTTACATAATTTCTGTACTTTAACAAAATTACTAAACTCTTTTATACTCATATATCCATTACTTTGATCAAATAAGTTCCAATAACCGTATGAGCAAATCTCTCTAAATAATAGATCTTATCCAAGAGATCTTTCATAAGTTGCTAAAACTTTTATTTATACTAAATTTGCTATTTCTTCAAATGTTAATAATCTATTCATATTCATTGGATAGCCCATGTTATAATGAACCATTTGCAACACACACCAGTTATCCAATGGTATTGTAAATTAATTAACTCTAGTGTAATCCTTATTTTAATTTTTCAAATACATTGAAAACATTTAGCAATTCAGATGGTCTTAGACCATTCTCTCCTTTAGCAATAAAAACTTCATATGATCTCCTCAATTCGTTTAATTATTTTCCAGTTACTTTATGTTATTCTGGTAATTCTAGGCTGCGTTCCTTAATATAATTTGCCCATGCTTAATATTCTTATTATGCTAATTATTTTCTAGTTTCTATTTATATTGATTATCGATATTGTTATCTTGTAATAGCCAGTCTTTATATTAGATTCTCGTAGTTGTTACAATGGTATAATCCCTTACCAAAAGGTTATCTACCCTCAATTTCTCTCATTTGTTAATGAACCTATTTAACAAACTTTGGCAACTTGTCTAAGTAGATATATTTTTATATTACATGGATTTACAAATTCAATCAAACCCTTTGTTGCTGCACTCATTTAATTTTTAATTAAATTTTTATACTTTAATATATTCTCAAACAGAATAGATGTAATTTTACAGCAAAGGAATAAATGCGGATTGCAATTCCTATTAATTTACCTAGATTCCTAATCGTTTCAGAAATTATGAGAATCCCATATTCTTCACAAACGCATTTCTAAGCTACTACACTTGTTCTCTTTGGATTTTGGAAAATCAGATTTCTTCGACCTACTTGGGGAAGAAAACATAGCCTTCAATTCTATTTCTACAATAGTAATAGCTAGTTAAAAACAAATCATCAATTCTTATTTCTTTAAAAAATAATTTTCTAAAACATATATGAAGTATGAATTTTTAGAGTTGATAATTACTAATTGTACTAGCTTGAATACTTAAAAGCTTCAAACTCAATTTTAACAATAGATTAAAAAGGAATTCTAATTGCTAATCTTAATGGTTTAAATGCAAGCAATCTTTTAGCCATAAATTATATGATTGCAGTTAATCGTTGTTATTTAATAATCTCTAAAGCAATCTATTTATAAGTTAGAATAATTAAATCCTATTTTTTGAAAAGAGCATGGATTGATCGAAGTGCTCTCAAGAAATTGGAGTAGGTGATAGGGATTATGTGATTTCATTGTGTTTAAATTTTAAGATGATGAATTGTTAATTTAGCCAATGATGGTAATTATTGCTCATATAAAAAATTATATCTACCACAAATAAACCAGACCATGACTTTGGAATAGGAATTCGAAAAATTATGGGTAGAATTTGTAGATCACTTATATTAATTTGACGAATAACCTCTTAATGTTTATAAAAAGTCAATTTAATCTTAAGTCTATTTACAGTGTGCTACTTCTAAATATTTGCAAAATAAATAAATATAGCTGATTGAAGAAAATAACAGATTTCGCTTTTATGAAAATAAATTAACAGTAACAATTGGATTTCATTAAATCAATCAAAAAAAAATTTTAAATAAATTTTGGTTAAAAAAAATCAAAAAGATAAAATTAAAGAGCAAAAGAAATGTAAAATATTGAATTCATAATAAGATTTTCAGATATCTTTTTAAATTAGGAACTTTTGTAAAAGTTGTTATAAAACGTTAAGTGATAAATGGAAATAAAACATAAGATGAATCAGTTATAATTTTCCTAAAGTATATCATAGTTTGGTGATCATAAAGGAAAGTATTGTATGTCTAAAAATTTTGATTGCTTTATTTTATCATTGATTAATATTACTAGTAAATCTAGATTTATAATATCAAATATTAGATCATACCTATGTTATATCCATTTTTAATTTAATATTAAACTGTATTTAAGTATATCATTATAGAATTGTTATAAAGAGAAATTTGAATAGTTATAATATACAAATTATAAAACTTATTATGCAAAAAATTGGATAAAACTTTGAATTAAGAAAAAAGTTAGGTTCTGGTGCTTTTGGAGACATATACTTAGGAGTGAATACAAAAAATAACATTGAAGTAGCTATTAAATTAGAACCTATTTCTTCTTCATGTCCTCAATTAAGATATGAACATGAAATTTATAAAAGATTATTAGCTGATAATTAGAGTATAGATAGAGGAATACCACATGTCTATTACACATCAGAGGAATGTGGGTTTACATTTATGGTTATGGATTTATTGGGGGCATCCTTGGAGGAGCTTTTCGTTAGTAAGAAAAAAAAGTTTTCTCTAAAAACTGTTGTTATGATTGGATTGCAATTTCTAGAGAGAATAGAGTTCATTCATTCAAAAGGCATCATACATAGAGATATAAAACCTGATAACTTTTTAATTGGGAAACTCAACAAACAAAACAAAATTTATATCTTGGATTTTGGGTTGGCAAAACGATTTGTTAAAGGAAAATGGACATATACCATATAGGGAATCGAAGACTTTGACTGGAACTGCCAGATATTGTAGTTTAAATACACACTTAGGCGTAGGTAATGTAATTAGTTAAATATTTATTAGAACAAAGTAGAAGAGATGATATTGAATGTATGGCATATGTATTGTTTTATTTTCTCAAATCAACTTTGCCATGGTAAAATATGAGAGCAAAAAACAAAAGAGAGAAGTAAGTCTATCTTTTTGATTGTTAGATACGAAAGAATCATGGAAAAGAAAATGACAACAACCTATGATGAATTATGCAAAGGAGTTCCCAAAGAATTCGGGTTGATATTAAAACATGCAAGAAATCTCGAATTCGAAGAAGACCCTAATTATAAATATTTGAGAGGATTACTGGAAAGTATTTGTTAATAGGAAAAAATTACTGTTGATTATTAGTTTGATTGGTGTAAATGAGGTTTTATTAACAAATAATTTTTATTATTAATTTTTGTTTGTTATAATTAATTTTCTCTAACATGCGTTAACCATCACTTTTTTCACCAAAAAAGCAATCCAGATATGAAAAATCAAATAGTTCAACTGGATTTGCTACCTTCTAAGCCACTACTTAAATTAATACAAAATAATTGGCAGACTACAGAAGAGATGTTAGAACTAATGTCTCATCCAGGGAACCCTTCGCTTAACCATAAGAGAAATCTTCCTCCTTATTTGGTTCATGGAGCAAAGCAGAAAAGGCAGTATTGTAAAAATTCATGTTAACATTTTTAGAGAGCAATAAAAGGTGAGTAGGAAATCACCAAAAAAGTAAAAGTTACTTGGAGGATTAAATTATGAAGAAATATTCACTAATAAAGGACCATAAACAAAACATAATAAAGATAAAGTTGAATAGCTTTTTAGGAGATCTCCTACAAAGGATTACTTCGATAATTCATTTACGTCATTCCCTAAACCAGCAAGATAAAACACTCTTGGATCTGGATATAAAGATTCTCCATAAAAAGCAAAAGAAAAGTTAGAAAGATTCAAAAATTGGGATAACCGTTTAGATGTTTAGTTGATTCTCCAAAATAAATCAATCACTAATAAAACATCTTCAACTGGAGACAAGCCAGGGTTTTATAAATATGTCAATGAAGCTAAGAAAGGACTGTTTGATGACAATCAATCTAATTTTTTGTATCCTAAAAGTAATAAGAATAATCTGTTTGATAATCAAAAACAAACCTTTTCTTTTAAGGATACATTCAATCCTCCTAAATAGACTTAATTTTAGAGAAATCACTCTCCTCAATAGTCAAATAGATATGTTGAGAAGTTCCCCTTAACTGATATTGTTAGGATGACTTCTCATTTCTAATCTTTATCAACTTAAGAAGTCAATTCAATCCCAAGAGGGTATATATATTAATAAATTATGTTTAGATACATATCAGAGCTAAGCAATTTGGCTGATATTTTATAAAGAGTTGTCAAAAGATCAAACAATATTAGTTGAGATTAAATTTATATTTACTGTATAATTATAAATAATAATAAAGCCAAAATTTTGATTAATAATTTAAATAATCAAATCAATTAGCAAGCACAAGAGCTATCTGTTCTTTCTGTTTCTTTCTTAGGATTCTCTATTTCTTCTCTCTTTTTCACCATGTCTAACATTACTTAAAATGCAGATGACACTTACCCATCTTCCAAATAAATAATGTCAGCAATAGTAATATCTAAAGATTGTGAAGTATTAGTAACCATTTCTTCATGATTTTTCATAATAAATGCTAATAAAATGGTGATGTCTTCAGTTGCTTCTTATCCTCCCCAAGATTCGTACAAATCTACTTTTTATCCACTTGCTGCATCTTTAATAGCTTTAATTTTATCTTAAACCCAATCAAGCATTGAATCCAAACGAGATTTTTGCTTTTCCACTCTTCCTGCTTCGAAATACTTCCTTTTTCTAGATGCTATCAATTGAGCAGCAGTAGCTACCAACATACTCCAAGCCTCTTTATCATCAGCATCTTAATTTTTCATAATAACCTTTAAAATAGCATTTCTTTTCTTTTCATCTTAAAACTTCTCATACTCCTCATAAACAGCTCCAATTGCACCATTAATTGCAGAGAAAATTGCTCCGAATATTGGAATATTTGCTCCAAAATCTAAAACTGCTTAAGTAACTTTAACTGCTACTTTAGTTGTTGTTCCAACAGAATATCCATTTTCTTGATTGATAATCTCTGTACTTGCTATCTTTTAGGCATCACAATAATTAATGAATGTCCAATAAAATGCTTTTGCATAATTATATCCTTCCACATATTCTGTTCTCCACTTTGCATAGTTCTCTTTCACCTTTGCTACTTTATCAATACCAATAACTTTTATGCATTCCTCTAATTCATCTATTTTCTTTTCAATTCTTTCTATTTTTATGTCTTCCTTCTTTTATTCAATCTTGATCTCTTCAACCTTTTCTTCATTCTTTTTCTAAGATTATTCAGCCTCAGCCAGCAATTGTTAAATTCTTTACTTCATTTCATCCTTAGATACTTTCTTCACTGTTGTCTTTTATTCCTTCTGTGTCATCTCTACTAACTCAGCTGCATTCTAAGCATCAATTTCTTGCTAAATCTTCTCTAATTCCTATTAGATTCTCTTAATCTCAGGATCTTCTTAATTTTATTTAGCCAAAGCCTCTTAAGCAGCCTTCTTTTCCCGTTCAAATGCATTTTCCATCTCCATAATCTTGTGTACTCCTGATTTAATGTATTTTAATTGTGATTCACTTAGATCAGCTACATTTTCTGGATTTTCAATTAGGGTAGAAACTAATCTCAAATCTGTCATAGCATCCTACTTTTTTAAGAATTTCATGAAGAGCATGGCTCTATTTGTTAAACATAGAACTGCTTTCGGATTTAATCTCAGAGCATTATTAAAACAGTCAAGGGATTATTCGAAATTTGGGTTTTTTAATGACAAGTAAGCCTGTCCCATATTACTCCAATATCCGGCATCTTATTAGACTGATAATGCTTTTTTATAAAACTCAATAGCCATTTCAAAGTTTTCTTAAGCATAATACTCAATTGCTAAATTTGAAATAGCATGTGTATGCTAGGGGTTAACTTTTAATAAATCTTAATATGCCTATATAACTTATTCTCTGGGACGTTTGAGTCCTTTCAAACTTAAAGCTTTACAATACAGGGCTTCCAATTTCATAGGATCAGCGTCTGCAGTCACAATTTTTAAGAGTTCCTCTGCATTTTATAAACATTTTTCGTAATCATGTTTTTTTTCACACGAGATCATTTCATTTTACAAAATGGTGGCAATGCCCTTTATAATTTCTTAATCAGTTGGATTCAATTTCTAAGCCTCCAAAAATGAATGTTTGGCATCTTCATTCTTATTCAGATTGGTTTCACAAGCTGCTTTGTTTTTCCACAATATCAACATTTTATCTTTTTCTTGTGATGGCATTTTTACTAATTTATCAAATATCTCCAGAGCCTTTTCATAATCTTATTGAGCAAAATAGATTTTACTAAGATTACCAGAGGCAGTAAAGGCATTAGGTGTACCTTCTCCTTTGCTGATTGCTAATTTGAGAATCTCAATTGCTTTTTCTGTCTATTGTGGTTCGCTGTGCATTAACGCATGACCATAATTGGCCAACACAGCCTAATCAGTCTTATCTTTTTGGATTTCGTAAGCATGAGAAAAGCATTCAGCAGCATCATTATATTATTATAATGTCATATGGGCTTGAGCTTTCATTCCATAAAGAGGAAACTTTTATTGTGGAGGTATGTTCAATTCTAAGCCTTTTTGTGTTTGATTGACGACTTCATTCCACTCCTTTTTGGCCAGAAAACATCTTGCTTTATAAAAAAATCGCATGATATTGTTTTCCGGTATTGAATCAGCCAATTTGATAGCTTCATCGAATTGTTGAGTCTGTATTTTCTGGTCTAATTGCTCCTTGATATTAGCCATAATAAATGATTTAATTATGTTTTTGTATGTTTGAAATGGTTGGTTATAAAATTTGTCGGCAGTTATTATTTTTTATATTATATCATGATCTGATGAAATACTAAATCTGAAATATACATATATTGACTCAAAACTCTTAATTGGTTAATCACATAACTAGAAATTAAACACATTAGATTAATTTATTTCAACCAAATAAACAAGCTATAAATAGAGCATCAATATAGGAGTTTAGATTTTTTTAGGGTTTCATTATATTAAATATTGTATTAAAGTAAAATAGTAGATAGATTGAGTGGATTATTGACATTCGATGAGTTCTCGCTGAACAACATTTAAATGTAACTCGCAATTTGACTCTGTCTCTTTTATTACTATTGCTCACTGCTTTTTAGTAAAATGGGGGGAGATTGGAAGAATTGCTTATGGATGTGTCTAATGAACTGAAACATATAGATTGTATAGGATCAAATTAAACTGCAAACGGAGGATGTCACAGGTACTATTTGCACATGAATTTATTGCATTTCATTTTTCATAATTGTGTGAACTGGAGTTTCATTCAAAAGTACTTGATTTGTAGCAACGCATTGTAAGTTAAATTAATCTGGACCCAAATCAACGAATCTTAGAGTGATGAGTACCTTGAAGCGATTGGTTATTTACTTTAAGATTTTCTACATTTTAATTTGGATCGATGTCTAATTGAAATTGTTATTCGTGCACTTAATGATGATGAAATCTATCCGAGACAGAAATAATAATAATCATTTTTATATTAAATAAAATAATCATTATATAAATTTTCTAATAAAGTGATGTGAATGAAGACTTATTCAATTATTTATGATAAACGAATTCTTAGATTTTTGTCACAAGAATGACGGACACGAAAGAAACAGACAATTGCCAGCAAGAAAAAAATGGAAAGAAGTCGAAGATGAATTGTTATTAAAAGCCATTAGAAAGTATGGAACTCAATGGACTAAAATCCAAGATGAAATACCATCCAAAGATTCCAGACAATGTTAAGCAAGGTGGAAAATACTCAAACATGTATATATATAATTGTAATACTCTCTATAGAAAGAAGAAACCTTAATGAGATTAGAAGCCCTAGCAAGGGAAGACTTCTCTGACAAGGATAATCACCTCTAAAAAATGAAGAAACAAATGAAATAAAGGAAAGAAATACCCAGAAGATACAATCCTAAGTTCGATTACAATGAGGAGTCCTCTAGTGAATCCATGCATTTACAACAATTCTAAGAAGCATTGGCTAAACAACCGAATAAATTGTTACAAATTCAGTAACAACAGCAATAGCAACAACAGAAGAGGGAACAATACTAAAAATAAGTGTAAAATCAATATCAGAATGTTTGGAATGCCATGGATGACAAAATGTTGTGGACAGCATATAAAATATACAAAGGAGCATGGAATCAAATCACTCCTAGATTCCAAGAGAAGAACCCATAGAGCTGCATCGATAGATATCAATATGTAATACATTATTATGATTTCAATAGTTGTTGCAATAGAAAAAAATCAAGGTGCAGGAGGATGCCTCATCAGTGGATGTAATATCGTCTCCCAATGATTTGGATAGTTCCCAAGAGGGATCAGAACAATTTGATATCTCTGCCAGTGAGGATGAGGATTCAACAGATTTATAACGGTCTGATTGCAAAACATTATAAACAAAATCACAATAGTACAAAGGAGTTTACACAGTATAGCAATGTCATACCAACATCGAAAGAATTTTGAAATCATTTTCCAATCATAATCTAGATACTCTGCCTGGCATACGTGAATCGATAGTCAAACTCATATTAACAGATTGATAATTGTTGTTTTATATATATTATATCTCATCTGAAATAGATTAAACTTCTTGCTGTTAATCCTTCAACAACTGAGGTATCTTCTTCTTATTTGACCCAATAATCAACAAACAATTACTTTTACTCTGCATTATTAACATCAACCTTGATAAATTGATGGTAGTCATAAGCAACATGGTCTTTCTAATCGAAATAAATATTAATTCATACCCATTCTTTTGGAACTTCTGTTCCTCTCCAGAGCCAGGCTCCTCTCAATTCCAAGTTTGGCTCATCTCCATATACTCCATGAATACCAAAGGCATACTTTCTGAAATTTTGATCAAGTCTTTAATTGATGAATCCCTTCATTAAATTGTTGGTCAAGATTAACTTCTTACCTTCATTTTCTGATTTGTTGTATTTGACAAACCATAATGACCATCCATTCAAATCAACTGTGCTGAACAAAGTCTCCATGTTCTTTTGAATATCTTTCTCAGCAAAGAAGATTCTCTTGTAATCATCAATATTAAATGTTGATGGTGGCAATAAATCAAGTGGGTTCACTTCCTTCTTCTTTGGTTAGTCATCATCCTCCTCTTAAGCTTTTGGCTTAGGTTATTCTTATTATTTTGGTTGTTCCTTCTGCTTTGGTTATTCTTTTGGTTTCTCTTACTTTTACTCTTATTTCTTCTCCTTCTTTTCCTCTACTGGATATGGGAAAGCATTCTTCAAGAATCTTGGTCTTCCATAAAACTTTGACATTAATTTTAATTTCATACCTCTCTCCATTCTGGAAGTGAATTCACCTCACTTAACCATTTCAATAATTGAGGATACTTGTTTCTTTCCTCCTCTCCAAGAATGAATGTAAATATAAATGTTGAAACTTATGCCAAGGCAATATCAGCCACTGTGAGGGTTTCTCCAGTTATAAATTTGGTCTTGCCTAATTAAGTGTTGACAATGCTTAAAGTATGGGCTATTGATGCCAATGAATTCTTTTGTTGAGCTTAATTGACTGGGACATAACCTAACACTTGGAGGACAATCACTATGGCTTCAGTTTCCAATTCGTTTGTTGTAGCATCCAACCATTAATCAACCAATCCTTATTGAAATTGAGATGTTCTATTTTTAATACTCTTTATTACCCATATAAACCTTGGGAATGTCTAGCAAGGTATCTAAGAATAGCGTTGCTTTCAAAGATTGATCCTTCTGGAGTTTCCATAACAGGAACCTTACCAAAAGGATTTAATTTCAATAATTCTTTGATAGTATTCTCATTCACTTAAGTATCAACCAATTCTACTTACACTTTGGCTAATGCTGCTGTGACCAAGATTTTATTTGTTCTGCCGTGACCTAATGGTGAATGCAATTTATTAGACATGAATTAAAGATTTAATTTTAATTTTGCTTTTTTCAAGACATTATATATAAATATCAAAAAGAAAGAATTATTGGTTATTTCTTATTAATTATGATAAGATTTAATTTATTTATATAATATTATATGATACAGTATATTTATACTTTTGTTTTAATACTTGAACATACTTATTGTTGATATTTACTGTCTTATTCACTTAAACCAATTAATTGTAATATCTATTAAAACTATTGATTTAATAATATTATTGTATATTATTAATTATAATGAATGACAATATTATCAGCAATACCCTTTATTTTCTATAAAAGTGTTAGCTTCTTCTAGGCCAAATGGATGGTCAACAAGAATGGATCAACGAGATAAATGAGTTATAGAAGGAATTAGAGCTCCACAAGGTCAATCACCCTCTTTTTGAGAAGTGTTTGACTTTCATCACTGACAAAATTATACACCCATTTTTGTAGGACCTTGACACTCTCTTCAGTTGTCGAGATGTCGTTAGGGAAATGAAAAAATATGAATTGAATTTTAACTATGTTATCAAGAGACTCTCATTGGTAATATTCAAATTTATAGTTTAGATAAGAGAGTTTATACCAAATGTGGTGAAGGTACCGTTGGATGACTTATTCTGTAAACCTTAAACTGACGAGGAATGGATTTAATTAAACAGATTTATAGAATATGTTAATGTATAATATAAATTTAAAATAAGTTAGATGATCCATTATCCTTGTCTAAACAATTCGATTAGTTCTATGATTATATTGCTTTGGGAGCAGCCTATTGTACTTTGGGATCGAAGTATTCAAACCCATTGATAAGTTTGATTGTTTAAAATGTTGGAGGGGCAATGATGTTGGTTAAGAAATAGACAGCTAGAAATATCAAGATTAAAGAGATCACAAATCCATCACTCTCATTTGTCAAGGGATTGTGGAGTATCCAGAACAATTCAGCATTTTTCAAGAATTTCATGAAACTGACAAATTGTAAGGTTAAATCACACTTGAAAATTCATATTCCCTTCTTATTTGAAGAACAACAATTTAAATATCATCATGATAATAATACTTATGTTTTGGAGAAATTTAAGGGCTTTAAAATGGTAGATGATCTATTTAATAAACTTCAATCTAAGGAATTATTAATGAAATCAAAATCATAAAAAATTAAAGTTAGAATTATTTCAGCAAATAAGGTGAATTTAAACAACAATGTGGATTATTCCTTAATAGTATAGAAAGTTGGCGAAATCAGTTCAGAACATCATTAAATAAGTTAGCTACTTTAATAGAACAATAAGAACGCACAAGTAAAAAAAGTAGTTTTACACATACATGGTGGAGGATGGGTGGCCATGTCTTCATTCAGTCATCAATCTTATACTAGGAAGTGGGCTAATTACTTAGGAGACAATGCTATAGTATTCTCTATAGATTATAGACTCTCACCTGAATATAGATACCCTTATGCATTAGAAGATGTTTGGCAATTATATTTATGGATCATCAATTTCAGTCAATTCTACTTAAATATCACAGTAGAATAAATAGTTTTAGCAGGAGATTCTGCTGGTGGCAATATGGCATTGGGAGTTTGCTTTAGGGCTATAAAATATGGTGTTAGAATTCCTGATGGATTATTGATGGCCTACCCTGCAGTCAATTTAGATTTAACTAAATTCAACCCTTATTTATTATAGGGATTGATTGATTAAGTGGCACCGGCGACAGTTTTAAAATTAGCTCTGCATGAGTACTTGAAGGACACAAATGGCAAACCAAATGTTGATCCATACTTAAGTCCATTGATAGCAGATGATTCATTTTTATAATAGTAATTACAATTTTAAATTTTGTAGCTTACCTAAAATGACAATCATGTGTGGTTAATTAGATAGTCTGACGGGGGATACTATAAAATTTGTTAACAGATTAAGAAAGTTAAATAAATAATTTATAATGCTCATTTATAATGGGATTAATCATGGATTTCTAAATTTTGAAGTGCCTATTTTTGCAGTGCCTGCCATAAAACCAATAATAGAAAGTAGCTGTGATTTATTGAAGCAGTTATTTAATTAATGATAAATTATAATCAAGTAGTTCCGCAACAATTGTCAGAAGGGTTTCTATTCTGTTTAGTAGGCACAGTTAGAACATTGGGCTGAGGTTGTTCTTATGTTTTCTTCTCAGACTTTTCATCTTCAATTTCAATTCTTTGGCTTGGAAGTTCTTCATCCACATCTGGTTGTTGTTATTTGAACTCATATATTTCTAATTATCAATTTGTACATTATATACTCCTAATTAATTATTCAAAACATTCTTTCACGTTTGTTCCTTCCTTTGCTGATGTTTCATTATACAACATTTTGTGTTATTAACAGATTTGCTCTACTTCTTCGACAGAAACACACCGATTTTGAGGATTGTCTTACAACAAATCTAATTTGTTCCCTATTAGCATGATCATTATTTTATCATCTGTATGCTATATAATCTGGAACTCAATTGATAAATAATACTTCCTAACGCCAACTTAAAACATTATCAAACGAAGTTTTATCACATAAATCATAAAACAACAGAGCTCCCTCGGATTTACGATAATGTGCTGTTGTAATGGCTTTGTATTTTTCAGCTCCGGCAGTATCCCAGATAACAGATTTGACAATTTTATCCACATCTGCAAGTAAGATGGATTAGGCTGCATATTCTACTCCAATCGTGGGTTGTGATTATTTTTTTATAACATTTTTGGTTAATCTAATTTGAATTTGAATTCCTACCTAATCAAAAAACTAGTCTTTCCCACACTTGAATCCCCAACCAAAATGACTAAGAATAATAGAAATCCATACTCTTATACAATTCATCATATTGTGCCTTTGCCTCTGTCATATTAATAAATTTATAATAATAAAATAATTGATCAATTTATTAAACTAAACTTGTCCATCATCTCAATAAATTCGTTGTAATCGATCTCTCCATCCCCATTCTTATCCGCCTCCTTTATCATATCATCCCAATATTTTTCATCTATTATTTTCTCACTTTCTAAAAAAGAATGAACAACAATAATATACTTCCCAAGACAGTCTGCAACTCGTGCTTGTCAATCTTTCCACTTCCATCTAAATCTAACATCTTAAATGCCTAGTATAGTTTCTCCTCCTTCATATACAAGGACTTCTCCATTGTAGCTGCCAAGAACTCTAACAATTATCATCATATGTAAATACCTGTATAATTGATAGTTCCATTTCCATCAGTGTCTATGCTCTTTATGATATTTCCTAATTCCTTTGCTTACACATCACTCATTCCAATTAACCCTTCTCTTAATTCATCTATAGTAAGTACTCCATCCCCATTCTTATCCAATTATTTAAACAATCTAATTATACATATTAGGATACTTTCCCAAATCAGCAATTTCCTACTCGTTCAATTGAGAAGCTATGAATGTAAGAGCTACTTTTTTAAGTTTATTGCTGCCGTTGAAATTTTTTAATTGTCCAAAGTTTAGTTTCAATTCTATGATTTATCTATCAATTTTACATTTAGTATTTTTGCTGCCATCCTTCATCCATTTATGTTAGATCACTTGGGATGCCTTGTATCTCTTTTCTGGTGTTGTTATCATATGAGAAATCAGATCCTTGGCTGATTCACTGACTGATTTCAACTCAGGTATTTCAAATGTATATTCCCCCTTTTGTACTGCATCCAATATTTCAGGATCGCTGTCACCGTAAAAGGGAGGCACTCCAGATAATAGGATGTAGAGAATGACTCCTGCACTCCAAATGTCACAAGATTCATCATAACTTCCCTTCAAGACTTCTGGTGAAATATAGTATGGGGTTCCTGCCTTTGTTTTCATTGTGACTTTTTGATTTCCAGATGCTTTTTAACTAATTGGATCTTCAAACAATGTGCTCAATCCAAAATCAATTACTTTGATTGGAGAATCATCAGCCTTTGTCAAGAACAAAAAGTTTTCTGGTTTAAGATCTCTATGACATATACCATTTGTATGGCAATAATTCAGAGCCTAAAGTTTAAGATTCAAATCTCACTTGCATTATCTAAAGAAAGATTTCATGAGCCTCGGCTTCACTGAAGTATCCTTTGTCCATTATGCGATCAAACAATTCTCCACCTTCACATAATCTTAATAATTCATACAAAAACATACTCCATCACCAAATACACATTTCTTTGATCCTCGAAAGTTTCATATAATTTTATGATATTAGGATGATCTAATTATCTCAATATATCAATTTCTTTTTTGAAACGATCAGGGTTTTTCACCTTGCTTTTAGGGATCACTTTCACTGCTCTCTAATTCTTAGTGCCCTTCAGCGTTGCCTTCACCACACTTCCATAAGTTCCAGATCCAATCACTTTTTTTAAATTGATATCATAAAATTATTCAATTTTTCCCTCATGTGTCATAATAAACCATTATTTTTTCAGAAAGACCTCTTGATCCATGATATTTTTATTATTATTTTAGATTTTTATATTAAATTATTAATAAAGTGCATATATATCTATTTATTATATCTAACCTTTTTTTAAGTTATTTATTCTCGTTTTATTCATATTTTACAAGACTAAAATATTTGATTGGTAGAATTACTATTAAACAGTCTTAAATTACTTAAGCATCGATCAATAATTTTTAATTTTATTTACAAATATCTATGAAACGATGAAATAAAATTCCATTCTCATATTCTAAGTCATTGCTTTTCAGTAGAATTTACAAGTCTATATATTTTTGATGGTATCATTCTCTTCAATTTCTTAATAAAGAAAGAAAAATCAAACTGATAAATAAATTTATAGGAAAATAAGGATTCTAGAAGAAAACCTTCATAAAATTTACTAATAAAGATCAGCAATTTTAGTAAGCATCTTTTAAGTCATTATTAGCATAGTTGCAATTGAACCTTTCTTGTGGCAAAGACAACAATACAAATGAGCAACAAGAGAGATTATTTTGGGGATTGTAGTATATGATTTAATTTAATATTTAATTAATCATAACTTTTTAAGTATTTCCTTCATATGAATCATTCTTCTATTGTTTTAGGAACCATAGACAATGGAAGGGTCATACTTAGGTTTAGGAATGGAAAATATGGTAGTGAATTAACCTTTGTGTTTTACTGTTGACTCACTTAATTTGGATTATTTGTATTCACAATCAACTATTTAAGCAATTGACAGTTTCATCTTATCCTCATATTCTCTTTGATTTTTGCAGAGTTCCGCTTTCGAATTAACTGATTTAACTCTTGTTCTCAGATTAAACTTCCTTTCTCGTATTGCCAAACTCAAGATGGATTTTTCTTATTCGGTTAAATCGCTAGATGGTAAATCTTATTCAATTTTCTTGTAATCTAACAGTGTTTTAATTCTCCTTCTTTACTACATAATTTTTATTATTATATAAATTAACAAGCTATCTCAAAATTTTTCAGTTGATAATTTCTAATGGAAAATAATATAACCAATACGATTAATAAATTGCCTTCTAGTAGTTAAATTAATATTAATAAATATAAGAAAAGACATATCATTATGATGAAGAGATGCCTTTCAAAAGTCTTAATCCCAGTCTACGAATTAAGTGCAAATCATTTCTGGATTGGTATCTCTTTAGATCATATCTATAAAAGGCATTTCTTCAAAAATCATCTACTATAATTTCGGATAGTATGGAGGCTTTATTTGAAAGGCTTCTAATTCTTCCTTGAATGTTAAGAATAAATGTAATACCCACTAGAACCCATCAAACCAAGGATGGACCTTTAAGGCATCAAAAGATCCTCCCAATCGCAATTCTGGTGTTCTATTCATTAATTGATCCATCAATTTGATAGCCTTGAAATCCTTCAGAATTTACGGATACTCCAATTTTCCATTTAAAATAGCCTCCTCTATTATAAATCTAAATAAATAAGGCTAATTACGGATCATCTTCTTCATCCCCAGCGAATGGTACCTCTCCGCACATGAGCTCATAGAAACAAATACCTAAAGACCATAGATCGGTTGAGAAACTATACCCCTTGCCCTTCAAAATTTCAGGAGCCATATAATGTGGAGTTCCAACAAGAGTATAGGTTTTAGAGGCTCTTGACTTTAAGACTTTTGCAGTTCCCATATCAATCAATTTGATATAGCCATTTTCCATAACAATGAAATTTTCAGGCTTCACATCCCTATAGATAATATGTTGGGAATGCAATTTCTCCAGGATGTTTATCATTTAAGCTATATAGAACTATGTTTCATAAGAATTCAACAACCCTATTTCTCTAATCACATGAAACAATTCTTTGCCCTTGACATACTCTGTCAATAAGTAGATATAATTCTAATCCTTAAAGGATCTGCGAAAGCAAACTAAATTTGGATGATTAAGTAATCCCAACACTTATTTCTCATTTTTGATGTGCCTTTCTGTGTTATTGGCAATGATATTGACTTTAGGTACGCATTTCATGACATGCATATTCTACTATGGAATATCCTTGACTAGATAGGCATTTCCAAAGGTTCCTTCTCCTAGTAACTTCAATCCAATGAAATCTTCTAAAGTAAGCAAGGAGTAATTGCTTTTTTATTTTTTCTCCAATAGACTAGAGGAACCAGCACGATCCTTATTTTTTTTAACAACAGTTTCCAATTCTCCTCCTATGCATTCAAAGAATTGTCTAAAAGGAAGTTCTGACAGAGTAGTTTTGCGATTAGTTTTAATATCATGATTGATTTTTCGTTTTTGTTCTTCCATTTACAAATACTTATCTCCGAAGAGTTGACCATTGTTATATAATTGACCTTCAAATTCTAATTGTCCATCGAGAATGATAATTAACTTATCGACTAACTAATTCATTTTGAAGATGCAATCATTATTCTCATAACTTTTGATCTTGAAATTCGAAACAATCTTTTGGATTTGCATTTTAGTTAAATCTCTCAATTTGGGATGCTTCTCAAATGCCCACTTCTGCATATTGGTGTAGATGATTAACTATGTGACTAAATAATACAAGTTCTGTACCTGAATCTTCTCTCCCAATATGGTTGTGATATCTTCCCTGCTCAAAGACAGTAAATTGACATCCGAGTCATGGGCTTTGACAGTTGCTCCTCTTACACAATTCCCAAACAGAGCCTACTCACCAAAGGAATCTCCTTAGTTCATATATCTTAGGAATTGGCCTTGTTTGGTTACTTGAACAGTGCCTTTTTAAATTATGTAAAAGGAATTGGCCATGTCTCCCTCATTTACTATGGACTCTCCTTACTTAAACTTCAATGTGATCAAGACATTGGCTATGCTGTCTCTCTGTTCTTCAGTCATGAAATCTAAAATGACTGAAAAATTTACCAAAAAATTTTACTTATGCCAGAAATTCTCTATTTGTTTCATATGCCTTTTATTAGATATCCTCAACAGCCTTTCGAAATTTATACCTCTCTAAAACCCAAAATCCACAATCTCCAATTGCAATCACAGATGCTGAACGAGGAGCATGATACATCAATGCCAACTCTCCAAAAAATTCAGATGGTTTCAGCACTCTCTTTTTCTCCTCATTTATTATTATCTGACATTAGCCTCGTTCTTTGTGAATAATTTATGAAATCTACCAATTATGAAAAATAATGTCGCTTTATCTCCTTGCTTAAAAACAAACTCCTAATCTTTTGAAGTAACATAATACATTTCCTCTATTAGTTTTGCTCTACATTACCATTATCATTACTTGTCATTATTGTCGAGTTAAGCAAACATGAAATGATTTCCAAAAGCATTCAAAATCATTTGAAAATCAAATGGACTTTTCTCCTTCTGCTACTTCATTACATTCTCATGGATTTGTTCCTCAACCACTTCTATCTTGGCTTAACGCTTCCTGTCCCCTCTTCGAGGCTATAATAGTTCTGATATTTCATCTACTTCCACTGCCAAACTCGATAAGGACAGACTAGGCTTATTCAACTACCCAGGAATCATCTGATCTCCCGCTATTTCTGTTGTCGTTGGTTGGGTGTTACTTATACAAACTCCCATTTTATTAATAATTATTAAACATTTTTTTCATATTTATATAATCTATCCTAAAATCCTTCAATCTTCATATTTCCTGCAAAATCAAATCAGCAAATATCACCCCACCCACACTTAGATTTTGGTTACTTTAATATCTTATATATTCATATTATTGGTTTAAACAATTTAATTAAAATATCTTAATTTTTTGAATATTTCAATTTAATAAAATGTAATAATAGTTTAAACAATAATTTCTAATATTCACACATTGTTCAATAAATTCAATCAGATAAATCAGACACCCTCCTCTAATGCTTTACCTACCGTAGTTCTTACTTATTTATAATGTCTTTCATTCTCTCCAAAAACATACCAAACACCTCAAGGACTGCTCTTTGTAGATAATTATTGTTGCAATCTTCATTCTCATCAGTGTACAAGTCCTCATAATCGAAATATATCGGTATCTTCTTTTAACTATACACAAAATCATCATCCTATTGATTCTTTACAAATCTATACGGCAATCCAATTAAATAGAAGTAGAACATATTACTAATTTTATCGTCATCCCCAACTAAAGAAGGCTTTTTTAATTAATGAACCCCATCATTAAAATATAAAAGGGCATCATATTTATTATTACAACCCAATGTACCATTAGATTTGCATTAGAAATGATCCTATACAAATGAGGCCAAGAAATCTTCTATTGCATATCTCCTACCGCATCTTGAACATTTGGCATCCAAATAAAACCTATATTCAACTTGTCTATTACTCAAGGACCTACTACTGGGATTAGTACTTTATTATATGATTTATTGAGTCTTCTTTTTTAATTTTTTATTATTTTATTGAGTCTGAAAATAGTACTGATAAATTTAAATCTGCTTTTGATAACCCAATTCTCTCATTTGCTGTATAAATTTTAATGCCAAATCATTCATCTAATAATGAGCACAAGCTATCATAGCATTTTTGAAAATATCTGAATCGATTTACAAATTATTCTATTTCATTTCTTTCAACAAATGAATGCTATACTAAACCAAATCCATTAGTTCTACTCTACCTGCTTCAATCTGATTAACCAAATGTCTAAACCATTATTTATAGATGTGTGCTAACTCAAATCTGAGCATTTCAATTTAAGTCTTTGGATACTAATGAACTTAAAATGGATTCTCATGTTTTAAGAATTCCAATCTTGGTTTTGAAAAATACTAGTCTTTTAACTTAAGTGGGAATGCACTATATTAAAAATTGTTTTCTTTGTTAAAACCTTCATCATTTGGTTTTAGATAAACATTACATTTTTATATTGGGAAGATAAAATGTTCTTTTTTAGGATTCTTAAGACAATCATCAAAATACTCCAATTAACTATCATTTTATGAGAGTTGCATCCTCTATTGAATAAAGTAAGTAAATAATCTTGTCTCCGTAAAAGGTTCCAGAAAATGTTTGATTCTTGATTTACTTTTAATAAACAGCTTCTCTTTGAAAACTTATTTATCAATGTATTTCTGATAATCTTTCAATATGAAGATATTAAATCTTAGAAACACTTCCCTTACTTCGTATTGATCAACGATTACTAAATCATCTTCTCTAGGCAAAGGAAAAGCATCACCTATTGTTTGAATCAGATCTGGATTGCAATAGTAATCGAGTTCTTTTAGTTTTGAAACAAACTTATCGAATATCTCTTCAGGAACATCAATTGCTTGATTTTGTTTGATATAATTTGAGTCCAAAAAGACTTAGACAGCATCTTGGTACATTTCAGCTTACTTATTGTTTACCCCGATTAAGTAAGGCAGGGGAGCTTCAAGATATTATTCTAATTCTAAAGGTAAATTCGAAATCAAAATGTGTGTAAATTCAAAAGGATATAAAAGAGTTAAGAAAGCCTCAACTACCAATGAATTAATTTCAGGTTTGGAACTAATGAGCTGAATTTTCTTTTCAGAAAGTAATGCAAAATACAGCAAAACAATATTCTTTTTGTCTAGAACTGTAAGTAGACACCGAAAGGCTTGATTAGAACATAAAGGAAAACAGTTAGATTAAAAGAAGGCTATTTATTTTTATCCATTATAGATATGAGCCTCAGTTGGATCTTGAGGGAGAACAATTTCATCGACTATATTACAAATATACCTTTCTAAAGGCAAGGGATTGTTGGCAATATAAATTTAATATAAATATTTGAGCAGTTCTAATGACTATTCTGAATAACAATAGCGGGATGATAAAACAATAGCCATTTCATGATATCCATGTTAATTTTATTCGCAGAATATTAACGCAGTGCAATAAGTCCTGTCTCCAGTTTCTGAGGTCAAAATGAAATTATTGTATTTAGGCAATTAGTTATTTCTATACAGAGATATGCCATTAGGAAAGCAAAACATTGCCAGTTCTTGTTTATCGTTATTTTATGGATATGAGTCTGTAATTTCAGCTTAGTATTTCGTTGTATAAATAGTATTAATTAACGAATAAGCTAAGTAATTATTTGAAATAGACTATGGCAATTTGTAAAATCCCTCTGGAGGACTCTAACCCTTCTCAATTAAAATGAGATCACTCCAAGGATTTTACAATGGATCATTTTTATAAATCATAGAATCATCCACTCTAACAGAGTACTAAGGCTGTTTTATTGTTGGTTTGGTAACCGAATACATTGGAGAGATCATAGGTAAAATCTAAATTGCCATTCTAATAATGCCATTTTGAATCGTCTTCTTAGATAGTGCAGATATTATAGTCGATATTCAACTATAAATTAGACTCATGAACATCTAAGTAGTAGAATGATAAATCTGTAATGGGAGGTTTGGTAGAATCTTTTTCTATTTTCAGGAGGAGTTATTCATTGATTCTTAAATGATGTGCTTTTTTCTTACATTCATGAGTGCCTACAACGACAATAATGTTGGTTATATGTTCTGTGTCTGGTTAGATGTCTTGGAATTGTTGAGTTAAATTTGAGGGACCAATAATTGAGAACTAATTGTATATGCGTTAATAAAGAATATTCATTAAATATATTTTATTTGTTGCGTTGTTAAAATAATAGTGATATGCTTGATATGAGCCTTAATTAAACAAACTAATAACAAAAGTCATTCTAATTGTCGCAGTTCTTCCACTAGTTATATATCTAAACTATCTACACTAGCGAGTGATTCGAATCTCTTCCTGGTGAATTAGGTTAAGGTTTCAGTCTTATTTATTGATTGATGCTCTGACTTTAAAATAGACAACCTCTCTCTTAATTTCATGATTTGTGTTCTTCTGCATTTTTTCAAGGACGCTTGGAGTTCAGCATTATTTCTCTCCTTCTTAAATTTACGCTAGGGGATTAATTAATAAAATAAAGTACTTTTAATTGGGTTCTGGTTCTGTCATTGAACAAATAATTGATCATGTAAAAATCAGTTCCAAATAATTAGAGACTCCTGAAAAATTTTTTGGTGTCATCTTGACTCCAATTCTTGAATTTATTGATCTTACCCTTCTTGACAACCTTTTGGGTCTGCCGCTGTTTTTGTTTGGTTAATTGAGACAACTGCTATTAGATGATAAGGTCGGTTGTGCTTTGATCTTAAAACGTTGTATGGGACAAAGAATCACTTTTTGTTTCTTTCATTTTTTAAGATTTAATTATTAAAAATGATTTTGAATATACATTTATATTATCATTCAACCAACATTCCCTTCTCTTCTTGGACCTAAAACTTCTCATCCACAACATTCTCTTAATTGACATAGATATTTTCAATTTCGATTTCATCATAATCCCTATTACTGATCATGACATTCTGATTCAGATTCTCAAATTAGGCTAGTCCCTACTTGCTGGGACTCCACAAGTATTACTGATAATAGATGTACAAATTCAATATACTAATAGAGATTAGCACCTCTGTTCCAGTGAGATTGTAAATTTCAAAAGATCCAGACAAAANATAACAGAGTACTAAGGCTGTTTTATTGTTGGTTTGGTAACCGAATACATTGGAGAGATCATAGGTAAAATCTAAATTGCCATTCTAATAATGCCATTTTGAATCGTCTTCTTAGATAGTGCAGATATTATAGTCGATATTCAACTATAAATTAGACTCATGAACATCTAAGTAGTAGAATGATAAATCTGTAATGGGAGGTTTGGTAGAATCTTTTTCTATTTTCAGGAGGAGTTATTCATTGATTCTTAAATGATGTGCTTTTTTCTTACATTCATGAGTGCCTACAACGACAATAATGTTGGTTATATGTTCTGTGTCTGGTTAGATGTCTTGGAATTGTTGAGTTAAATTTGAGGGACCAATAATTGAGAACTAATTGTATATGCGTTAATAAAGAATATTCATTAAATATATTTTATTTGTTGCGTTGTTAAAATAATAGTGATATGCTTGATATGAGCCTTAATTAAACAAACTAATAACAAAAGTCATTCTAATTGTCGCAGTTCTTCCACTAGTTATATATCTAAACTATCTACACTAGCGAGTGATTCGAATCTCTTCCTGGTGAATTAGGTTAAGGTTTCAGTCTTATTTATTGATTGATGCTCTGACTTTAAAATAGACAACCTCTCTCTTAATTTCATGATTTGTGTTCTTCTGCATTTTTTCAAGGACGCTTGGAGTTCAGCATTATTTCTCTCCTTCTTAAATTTACGCTAGGGGATTAATTAATAAAATAAAGTACTTTTAATTGGGTTCTGGTTCTGTCATTGAACAAATAATTGATCATGTAAAAATCAGTTCCAAATAATTAGAGACTCCTGAAAAATTTTTTGGTGTCATCTTGACTCCAATTCTTGAATTTATTGATCTTACCCTTCTTGACAACCTTTTGGGTCTGCCGCTGTTTTTGTTTGGTTAATTGAGACAACTGCTATTAGATGATAAGGTCGGTTGTGCTTTGATCTTAAAACGTTGTATGGGACAAAGAATCACTTTTTGTTTCTTTCATTTTTTAAGATTTAATTATTAAAAATGATTTTGAATATACATTTATATTATCATTCAACCAACATTCCCTTCTCTTCTTGGACCTAAAACTTCTCATCCACAACATTCTCTTAATTGACATAGATATTTTCAATTTCGATTTCATCATAATCCCTATTACTGATCATGACATTCTGATTCAGATTCTCAAATTAGGCTAGTCCCTACTTGCTGGGACTCCACAAGTATTACTGATAATAGATGTACAAATTCAATATACTAATAGAGATTAGCACCTCTGTTCCAGTGAGATTGTAAATTTCAAAAGATCCAGACAAAATAAATAACCCCAAACACATCATGAAAAAGATGTTAAACAATCCAATCAACTTGTATCTCCACAATCTAGTCTCATGGCATTTGCAAAATTGAATCAAGTACTTGAGCAGATACAAAAATATAGCAAATGAAAATATAATTGAAAGCACTTTAAATGCCAAGTAAGCTTTGTTATGGAAGTCATCAAAATTTGTAGTCGGATCCCTAAAATACTAAATGACTAGGATTGAATAGGACACCACAAAAAAGAGCCACAATAGGAAGCAAACCAAGACCTTGGGTTTAGTGACTGCAGTACTTTCCTTAGATCCATTATCCACCACAATCCTATGGTAAAGTACAAGCCAATAAAGGAAGAGACAACAAATGAAATTACTGAAAAATATCACGCCAATCACAGCAGTAACTCTGTTCGGAGCCATTAATGTAGCCGCATACAGTGGATCATTGAACCAAGGCAAAAGAAAGCTCAAGGCTAATACAAACTTTTATTCGATGACCCAATTTGATAAGGTCAATTTTTTCATTCTGAATGCAAACAGTGTCAAACTTATTACTGAAAATGCAAAAAATGTGTATCTTAGTGCTAATACAGAATTTGAATATCTGGGATCAACAGTTAATCCTTATGTGTATAAAAAAGCATCATTTTCTTGGTAAGAGTTAGCGTAATTTATAATTAGAAGGTAATCGTGATACTCTAGAATTGGAATATAGACCAAAACTTTCCAATCACATACCTTATGATCATAATTTCCATAATCTAGTGTTCTTTGAGAAAGTCTGTGTTATTCGCCTGGTGCCTCATCTTCATCCTCATCTTGATTTTCGTCTGCATTTTCATCTTCATCTCCAACCATCTCATCGTATTCATCATATTCATCGGATTCATCCTCATCATCATCGTAGTTCTGATTACAATTCGATGTTATCGAATGATTCTTACTAGTAATAAAATCTTCATATAGATTCCCAGTTTGTTATTATTCCTTAGTCAAACCAAATAATGTGGCAGTATAATTTAAGTAGCTGATTTCATAACCAGAGGGACTGAAGAAACTAAATTACCCATAAACAATTAGGAATTGATTCTTTTTATCTAATCTTCTAATAATTGAATAATTAGCCCCACTTTGATTGCAACTATTAGAATTATTTGGAAATTTTACAATTACTATTTATTCTTTTCAAACCATGATTCTTAATCAAAATGATATTCGTCATTTTCCTAACAAGGATTGTCCAACTGAACCTATTTGGTTGATTCTGGCATAAACACAGAAGTCAATACAAAAATTGTAACTAGAACAAAAAATAAACACCAATGAATGCACACATGTTTTTTAGTTTCTATATCAGCATTAATTTTAGTCTAAATGAGCGGAGTACCTGTTTATACAGGTTATCCTGTAACTATTTCTTAATTTTACAGATTAGGAATGCTACCTCCTTCCCCTTCAATCATATTTAATATATTATAAATATAATAATAATCATCAAATAATCAATCCAACCTTGTAAACTATTTGTTTTCTTGATCTCCTCTGGATAAGATTTTTGATATTAGCCTATCAAATATAAGTAGCATCATTTCTATAAATTAATTTAGGCAAATAAAATTGTTACTACTATTAATCTAATATATCAAAATCCATAAGAAATTAATTAGGCTATTTATCTAAGTCTTCTCTTTAGAATCTCAATTTTTAGTAAGGTTATTTTAAAACTTATTTTAAAAAAGGATCATTATTCCTTTTAATAAACTGCAATAAACAAATGATGATTATTCTATTTTTCATCTATAAGCTCTAAGAGAACCTGCTTAATGATAGACATACAATATTTGAAACAAAAAGAAATATGGAGTTTGTTCTTAGAAGGATTCCATTAAATAATTTGTTGTGAAGTTTCTATTCAAATCAAAGATTAATTGAATGGTTAAATCATTCGATTAATTATATTTTATAATCATATTCATTGTTATACGCAGAATATTTTTCAGTGCCTGCTATTACAACTCCACTATGATAGGCACCGCAACCAATTGATTGAACTTTATATGCGAATAACTCGGTTGGTTTGGTCTAACTTTGTTTGCATAATTCCCCAAATTTATTCAATCCCCAACCATACACCTTTCCTTAATTTTAACATAGTGTATGATCCTACCCAATGGCTATGCTCTCAACCTTGTAATTAAGGATCTGCTGAATCCCTTTTTATTCTGCATTGGTATCTATTCCCAATTGACCATCATCATTACAACCACATCCATACAGATTCCCATCCTTCAGAAAGTATGATTACAAAGATCCTGCATATATCTAATCGACATCCTCAATTAAGAGTGTCGGTTCTACAACACTTGTGATATCTAAGGATAAACCCAACTATCCCTACTCATTATAGCCCCATCCATAAACTTATTTCTGACTATTCAGAATAATAGTATGAGCATCACCACATGCTACTGCTTGCACATTTTCAATCTCTACCTTTGTTGGAATGGCTATTTCCATTCCTAATTCAAGTGGCAATCCCAATTGACCTCCATCTCCTCTTCCCCATACATACAATCTATCCTCAACTATGGCAGCATTGTGTAGTCCCCCGCATTTCATCTGTTTACAAGCCCCTGGAATCATAACTTATTGAGGAATGTGAGTTGATACCACTGTGTTGTTTCCCAACAAACCTCCCTCTCCACATCCCCAGGAATATACAACTCCTTTTGAATTGACATACACAGAATGATCATGTCCACACTCTATTGAAATGCAATCAAATGAACTCTCAATTAGATGAGGATAATCGACATACTTGATTGCAGATTGTTTGCCACATTTGCCATCCTCATTATTACCCCAACAATACACTTTACCCGTATTGCTTATTGCCATCGTGTGTTTGTATCCACATGCCATTTTTACAAACATCACATCACTCTTTAAAGAAATGGGGATTCTGTATTTCAATTAATACATCTATCCTAATTAATAATTCTAATTGAATCCCCATAGTATGATCTGTCCTGGCTGATAACTAAATTACGGTTCAAATGATTGAATGTTCTCTCCTTAGAGTTCGTTGAATCTTTTAAATAACCAATCATACAACATGAACCCTTTTATTGAGGCTCTCAATACTTGGATTAAGTCCTTGTTCTTGTAGTTATGACATTGGATATTATTACAAGGCAATGGAATTTAGATAAATTGAGAAAAGAAATATTGAATCACACTCAGATATTCAACATCTCCGTTTTGAGAGGTAAAAACTGATAATCGATGCCAACAAAAAGCTTCAATTGGATATAGAATACTCCCTCTATTTCTAAAGTCTCCAAAGCATTACCGAGATATTTTAATAGCTATTTCATAAAACCTTTGACTTTCTTAATTCCCCTGAAATTGACTCTCCAAATAATATCCTTTAAGTAGAGCATCAAATAATTGATATTAAATTAAATCGTAGTTCTGTGTTTCCATCACGAAATCTGAATTTTAAATTTGCATCAATAAGTTTGCATCCTGTATTATACTCTAGCAATCAATCTCCTTCAAATACTCAATCCATTATGATAAAATCAGAGAATTGGGGATATAAAATTTAACATTCTTCAAATTATAAAATATACTCGGTAAATACAATTCATATGATGTTTGTTGATTGTTTTTAGCCAACCATTCGTAGGCCTTTTCTCTCATTGACATTAGTGGTTCAGTCTTAATTTAAAAGGATTCCACAAAATTATAGTATTTATAAAATGCTTTCGATGTGAAGTAATGAGAGTCAATGTTACCTATGAGTCGTATTTTATCTTTGATTTTAATTGAGAACTTTTCTTCTAAAAATTACATCAAGATTCTGGCATTTGAGAGACTTACTTAGATGACATCTTTAACTATTTCAGATGATAGCACATAGTTTAATTCTTCCTACGATAATTGATATTTCAAATCCAGACATTTTATTCTATCGAATGTAAAATACATGATTCCACCTTTTGATATTCTTCGCAACTCCTCCTCTATATTTAAAACAGAATTCTACTTCTTCAAATAATTCACAAATATAGCACATGCAAAGTAAGGTTTATTTCTATTATCGGAAAGACAAAAGCTTGACCATAAATGATATTGTTTCATGAATCTTCTTTTCATATGTTCCTTTAGTGCCTAATAACTAAGCAAGTATAGACCATCATTTATATCATTCTTCAATTACATCAAATTTGGTTTTCTCTTACTTTTTTAGATTAGCAATTCACATATGTAATTACCATGGAAATAATTAGGAAGATGGCTATTCTGAACTTAATTGTCTAGTATCTGATATAAATTCATATTTCCCTATTAGATCTTGTTGTATTTTTCTAAATTGTAATCTTACAAGGAATCTATAAATCTTATGTTTTCATTCAATATTATCATGCAATAGATCGCAACGTATTTACTCTCTGATCTAATCATGTTGATTAAGGGTTTACCATTGTATTCGACTACCTTAATTTATAGAAATGTTTATTTACTTGGCGTATAATACCATTGATATCCTCTTTAGTGTTATTATTATTTATAATTGGACTCACCATATAATAATCATTCTTAATATATTCTATGCTGATATTTGGTAAGATGTAATTTTAAAGCGAATAACATTAGCTTCTGAGTTCCTTAAAAACTCTTCTGAATTCTTTCGGATTCTCCAATTTCAATCTCTACACTTATTTCGAGTTATCGGAATGCAAGTTCAAATTTACATCTGATGCCAAATCGATTTAATAGACATCCCTTGTTAATGATGGATCAAAATAATGCAAAGTGAAAACTGGATGATCCAAATCAGCCTCGATGTTAAAGAGATTTATTGGTTCTTCTTCCAAAGAAACTTACTACCTTTATTGATAGGTAAATTATTTTTAATTCTAATAATTCTTCATGTAATCTTCTGATGTTTTTACATTATTCGCTATACATGTTCCCATAACAAATTTTTAAATATGTTTTTATATAAATTATATAATTTCTGATTCTCTTTATAAAAGCATATATCAAAAAGATCAAGGATTTATTTTCAAACCATTTCAATCTCAATAATAATCATATAAATCAACAATTACTCGTCAGTAGATAATCTTAAAATTAATTAATTAACCTAAACTTAGAATAATAATGATATAATAAGAATTTATTAAATATAATCTGCAAGTATTTTATTCATTTAACTGTTGAATCCGCAAAAATGCAAAGAAATCTAAGTTAATGAATAAAACCTTAAAGTTTTAATATAATTTTTTTTTTAATTTATTGTTCAGAAAAGAATCCATTTTATTTTAGATCAACTCTAAGAAAATTAAAATGCTATTAACATTCTGTTTAACTTGGCAACTAAGATATTATAAGATGTACATTTTCGTAAATAGTTTAGTTTATGTAAATCTCATAAAATCTTTTAAAAAACTCATATTTTGAACATTAATACAACTTCTCATATCTAAAATTTTGTATTCTACTTATCTTTACTTGATAAGTTTAATGTATTTTATAAAATCCCTTTGTGTTAACAACGCTATATTATAAATTCTAACATTTATAATAAATATTTTGAATTGAATTAATAAAAAATAATTAAATTTCGTCATTTATGTTCTTTTATATCAAATATTCTACTCATTAATATCATTGTTCTTTATTATTAGATTATTTTGAATAAACAAAGTTTATTTATTATTTAATACATGATAAAAAAGCTTTTGAGTATTCCAAAGTGGAAATTCTTTGCTGGAGCATCATTTGCCTTAATTGGCTAACATATTTATGATTGTTTATATAATACAGAAATTGAAGTCTTTTATTAGAACACAACTTGTAATAAAGACCTTCTATCGAAATGTCCAAACATTAGAGTAATGAAAATTAACAACTATAGGGACATTTCAATCCAAGCATTTGGAGCATGAACAATATCTTTGGATTGTTCTATGTTACATTAGTTGAACATTAAATGGTGCCTTTATAAAAAAGAGAAATGGTGACTCTGAAAGACGGAGGTCAAGTGGCATTGGATTGGAAAATCAACGATCCCAAGAATGTCGTGTTGGTTTTACACGGATTGACAGGTGGCGGAGATTGCAATTATATCAAAGATACATTAGAGAGACTCTATAATGCTGGTTATACAGCGGTCTGCTTCAACAATCGCGGAGTGGGATTCACAAAATTATCTGTATTATATAAACTATAAAGACACCTTAATATCATAATCACGGAGACCCATCTGATATGATGGAAATTATTGATTTGATAAAGCAGAGATATCCCGAAGCAACATTATAGTGTGTAGCCATATCAATAGGTGCTAATTTAGCAGCCAAATATGCAGGAATCACAAAAGAGAAATGTGCCTTCAAGTCTATTGTATGCATTGCCAACCCATTTGATTTATTGGTGTATTCTAGTCTTCTATATATTAGGCCTGTTTTGAAAATTTGGACAGATGGTACAACTATTTATATATCTATTATCTCACTAAGCATTTCAAATGGTTGCTCAATAAACATTTAGATGTAATGAACGCATGCTTCGATGAACACAATATTGACATTAAAAAAGTATTGGAAGCTAAAACTCCTTATGAATTTGATCATTATTTTACAAGACAATTGTAAAAATTTGAATCAGTCGAACAGATGTATCGGGTATTGCTCAAACTTAAACCAAGGCTAATTCTTCAATTAATTACATCAAAGACATTACAGTTCCCACTTTGTTTATTAACACCAAAAATGACCCATTAATACCTTGGAAATTTGTACCAATTCAATTACACAGACACATGCCAAATTTGATATTTGCTTTAACTCAAAAGGGAGGTCACATAGAATGGTATAGTGAAACTAACTTAGTTACTGTTAAAAGGGTAAGAAGAATTGTTAATCATATAATAGTGGATTATGGATCCCACTTTAGACTACTTAAATTATTTCAGAGACCTACCAATAGATAAATGGTAGTAGTATATACAACAACCTAAAATTTGATGATGTGAATAAATTTATAAGTTATATATAATTAATTCTACAATCAATTTAACTAATCATTGAATTTTTATTGTATTTAGAATCTCTTTCCCTTTTGTAACGAAACATATTAGTTAAAATCTAAAGTATTACTAAAATCAATCTAGGCCGTATTGAATCTTTATGCCTTATGGGACTCCGTTCTACTGTTAATAAGTTAGGGATTCATTTTTTTTCTTACTAAATTAAGTTCTAATGATTCGTGAACATTCATTGAAAATATACGATGACGAGCTAAAAATCTTATTATAATAATGATACTTTTTGGTTTCCTTCTCTATTTTGGTTAGATTGAATGACTCTTCTCTCCAGAAGACAGAATTCTACCACCAACTATTTACAATAACTAATCATCAAATTTTAATTAAGAATCAACTGTAGAATGTTTTATAGAGTGATAATTGGCTACGTTCAAAGGATCTTGTTTCCACTGAATGTTAACTGATCGATTCTATCTAGCCCTCATTAATTTTTGTTCTAATTTGATTCTCTCCCTTGGTTTAGCATATGCTGATAATTGTGGACTTGCAAGTGGAATATAAGTATTTTTTGCTGATGGCCCTATTTTATTAACAGATACATATCTAAACTATTTTTTTGACTCCCTTTTTTCTCTTAATTCATCATTAATGTTTGATCTTATTTAAGGATTGAGTTAATGATAACTATTATCAAACATAATAATAAATTATTTATATCAATTTCTCTTTAAAGTTTCAGATAGGTATTCATAAATACTGAGATAAAATATTGTTCTTCATCGTTATTTACATAATTTATAATTCTTAATAATTTGAAAATATATTTTAGAAAATTACTTAATTTATGTCTCAATATCTATTTTTGTAATAGAATGAATAAGTTATCATACCCATTCTTGTTAGGTTCCAATTGAATTAGTTGAGGAGTATGAACTGATAAGTCATAGTTTAATCACTTAAATTAAAAATAAAAAAGTTGCGTCTATCGGGACTCGAACCCGACCTAAATGCTTGGAAGGCATTCGTACGAACCTCTATACTATAGACGCTAGCTTATACAAATATTTATCCTTTTGTTTTTATACTAGAGGAAAGAAACCAATAATAAGGAGGACAAGTTCATAATATAAATATATGATCGATTATTGGTCTAGCTTTATATATCTTCATATAACAATGAATATATCCATACCTGATATAAGAACTGTTGATATAACATTCGTAAGACCTTTGCTATAAGTAGGTAAATCTAATAAGATTACACTGATCCAGATCTCCAAAATAGGCTATTTTTTATTCTAGTTATCAGCTGTATGATTGATGGAGGCTTTAATTTCATAATATGAAAATATCTCTTTGAGTCAAATATCTTTATATAACCTTCATTCTCATTAGTTAGGTGGTAACCATGATAGAAATCTACATGGTTTATAAAGTAGCTCTTTAATTTGATGGTCTATTTATAGGTTGTCCTATTGCGAACGTTAATCATAAATAGGTCGCCATTCATTCCACTACAGCACAAATATTCTCATAAACGTCCAATCCTATCGTTTAAGCGATATTCTAGCTGATTGTGATTTCAACATAGCCATATCATAGAATAAAATCTGATCGAGTTAGGTGTGCAGAAGAATATTAGGGATGACTCCCATTGAGAAGTTCTATTTAGATTGGTAGTGAGCATTCATCATGATTTAGACATAGTGAAGCATTTTGAATTGATGTTGAGTACTGTCTTTTTTGATTTATTGGAATTGGGTTGAGTATTATTTTTGTTTAGAATATTTCCTATGATAAACAAATTAACTAGCAGTCGGTAATTGTTTCTTTGATGGGAAATCAAACTTAAAAATATCTTTAACTTTATTAATGGCAAAATATAATTGCAATAGTTATATTTTAGTTAAATTAAAATAATTAGCTGATTATAAATGCTAAATAATTCATAGGGTGTATCTCTTGTTAAGATAATCTATTAAGAAGGATTCGACTCTTTAATTCTTAAATGTCTCAGATATGTTTGAATAGATTTCTTCAAAAGGCTCCTATTATTCTTTGAGTCTTTCAAAAAAATATAAAAATCTAAAAGTTCAATTAATACTATTACTGTAAATATTCCAAAAAATAATTTTTGTCAGGTGAATATTGGAACAAACCTTTAGTCTATAAAATGAATTTCAATTTTTGTAGATAACTATTAAAATCTGGAACTATAGGCATAGGAGGGTAAATTAAATGTAATTAATGTCGCTCCAATTCCTGGGATATTACTTAATGATATTTTTTTTGTTTCTCTAATGCCTATTCAACTTTGGCAAGTGTGTAAAACATTTGTTATTGAGGATTATTATTATTTTCACTTTATGTTTTCTAAACCTTTGCATGTTCAAAGAAACATTAAGAGTAGCAATGAAGGTAAAATCTCAATCCAAACCATTCCTATTTCAACTACGTTTATAGGTTCCTAAGATATTCTATTATTATTACACAAATTTTTCTAAAGAATTTAATGCTTAGTCTACAACAACTCCTACTTGATATAGTTTATCAGATTGAGCTTAGACCTATTAAAATAGAAAAGGCTAGCCGATGTTGGCCACAGGTGAATTTCCTGTATTGAGAGTTAGCTTTAGAAAAGTTGGATTAGAATTAGGCTAAGGTGAAGTTACTGTTTAAAATTTTTTGGGATTAGCAAATGTGCCTTGTTGGATTTTTGGAGGGATTGTATGATTTGGATATATGGGTTAGCAGGCCAGTTATGGAGATGAACCAAGGGCTTTAAATATCGGTATTTGGTTGAGAGTTTTTGGAGGAACTTATTAATATTCTTTGGCTGGACTCTCAGTTGGTTTCTATTATCCTTAAATTAGTTTATAATCACCCTAATTTATAAAAACTTGGAAATCTCTATATCTTTATTAATATTGGTTACCTTGCTTAATTTACTAGAACATTCTCCTCTGATATTAGGGGATGTGAAAATAATTATTACCAACTGATTCTGTCTTCCTCTTTAAATTTGAGCATACTTTCAATTAAAGTAGCAAAATCTTAGGTCATCTTAGAATATTAATTATTATTACCCCTGGATGATTCTAATTAACCACAACTGGGACATTTTCTAGATTTCTCAAAGCCTGTCTAACTTATATCATATTGTGTGCAACATAAGGTAATCCACCAAAAATTAATTCATAAGTAATGATGCCTAACTGTTTAATTATAGATATAAATGTTACTGAAAAAATGTCAGCTGAATTTGTAAAGGTCTAATTCAATAGCAACTAAGGAGCAATATATTTAGGTGTTCCTACCCTTGTCATATCTACATTTTGTCCAATGACTCTAGCCAATCCCAAGTCGGCGATCTAAAATGTAATTGTCAATTGATACTTTATAAACCCCGTCTAAGACTAATATGTTTGCAGGTTTAAGATCTCTATGTATAATGTTATTGTCATGGAGAAATTTATAACCATTAAGAATTTGTTTTAGGATATTGAGTGCTTCTTTCGGGAGAAAATTATTTCCCTCTCGTGCCTTCCTCATATTTATTATTGATTGGAGATCACATTGACATTTTTCCAGTATGAGTATTATCCTCTCATCATTGAAATCAACATATTCAACCCCTACAATATTTTTGTTTCCCCTTGCCTTCTTCATAATAATTTTCATCAAGTCTATTTCCCTTTTGGTTTTATCATTATCAAGTCCTTAATTTACAATCTTTAATTTTATATTTGTATTACCTTTGCGCATAGGTTCAGTTACGGGTTGTCTAAATCTTAGCATTTGTAAACAACCCCAAACTATCCTCTCCCAATTTCATTATTTGTATTTATAACATAAGACCTAAAACTGATCACATTGTCTTCTGGCATTATTGCTTGTGTATAATTGATTTGTTAATAGAAATGGATGTTAGGAATTTTTTGCTTTATAAAATGTGATATTCTATTAAAAACCATATCTTTGTGTAATAGATTTTTCTAAAATTTAAAAATAATCTCTCCATTTATTAGAATTACGAGAGTTTTCGGACCAATTTGGCCAAGCTGGCTGCAATAGAAACCACTTAGAGACTGATCCCAATAACGATGATAAGGTCGGAATCCTTTAAACAATTCCAATTATAAAAGAATTCCCCAAGTACACCTTTACCAAAAAAATATCACATCAGGCTTCACCAATCCTTTCTTTGGCCATTTTCTCACAACTATAGGTGTCCCCATTTTAATGTGACTCATCAATTCCTTAATTGAAGCAACCTCATAGTGCTTAATGCATAGAAGTGTCCTCATATGACCAATTAGACTCCTGCATCTAAATATTAGTAAAATATTGAAGCAGTTGTTCTCTTAAATCCAAAACTTCAAGAATTTATGAACTCTAATTGATTTAGCATCAAAAGTTAGGAGGAATTCTTTTGCTGCACAACAAAAGTCTTCAGAAATGTTTATAAAAATTCAACTTCAAACAAACTATCTGACTAGGGAAGTTATATTTTTATAATTATGAATATAATCCTGAAATCTGGAATTCCTGCAGCTACACTCATTCAACCTCCACAAAATACACAGATTTTTCAAAATTTCTTATTTTTCAATCCATCAACAAATTTAGCATATCTGGACTCATTTTCATTGTCAAATTCCAGATTAGAGATTTGCTCACTTAATTGCTTAATGATTAAAATAGTATAAATTAATAATAAAATGTTAAGTAAATAAAATTAAACTAAAAGATTTTATAAATTGAATATACACTCGATCATTTCGTTTCAATTATTTCTTCTTCTTCAAATTCTTCCCCATCCTCTGTTCTGTTGTTTACATAATTCATTAATTTCTTTTGATCGCTTGAGTTCAATGAAACTATGCATAGGAATAGGAGTCTTTACCTAAGCGATTACGATCTTCAATGTATAAATAGATGGCTATGATTAAGGAAACACAAGCAAGTATTAAAAAGAATAGGACTACTGATACTTGTGAGGAGGCTTCAGCTGAAATAAAGGCTATAAATAATGGCATCACAAAGAAGGCAAAGTTTTGAACAGAATTCATTACACCGAATGCTGTGCCCCTTTGTATAATCAAATTTTACTAGTTATTTCTATTTCACAACAAAAGCAATGCTTGTCCATATTGTACTAGCGAAGAGAGCATAGGCTAATCCCAAAGTGAGCATGCAAAATATGGGATAAAACAAAAGCATCAACAACAAACCCAAGAACACTAAGGCACATCCGATTGCCAGGAACTTAATTCTTTGGCCAACCTTGTCTATCATCAACCCAACAAAAGGACTTAGGAATGTACAACACAAATAGGGAATGCCCATCAATTCACCAGCCACTTCTTGATTCTACTCTATAGGTGCATCTGCAGACAACCATAGATTAATTATGATGCCACTTGAAAAGGAGATAAAAATTAAGACTGAAGTATAGAAAGTGGTCATTATCAAAGTCAAGATCCAAAAAATCTAAAAATGTGTTGATATGTATTTTACTTTAGGGAAGGTTCCAATATCTTCCAGTATCTATTTTACAAGTTCTCCAAAGTCCAATACTTAAATGCTATTATCCAATAACCCTTCTGTTTTCTGCAGATTTCGTTTCTACAGGATCTCTGTGTAAGAATCAATGAAATTCATAATCAAAAGAGCAGCTCCAGAAATCAGCGTAATTCCAAATCCCACTCCAAATGCTGTAGTCATACCTGATTTTTCAGCGATCCTTGGAGAGATATATGTACCCAAGACTGTGGCGCTTCTTATGAGACTCAAATTAAGGGCCTATCCTTAAGTCGATTACTTACATTAGCAAATGACAACTCTTTGCCCACAAACCATTTATTAATAATAATGGAACTTGCCACACAAAGTGATTCTCCTCCCAATCCGAACATAAATCTACCCATAATCATATATTTTAGGTTTGCTACCGAACTTCCAAAATACAAGAATCCCTGACCCAGGATAACAAAGAACATGAATATTAGTGACATCTTTCTATAACCTAAATTTGCATAAATCCTAATTTTACCAAAGACATCACTCATGAACCCTCCTACTAAAGGCAATATTATGTTGGGGATGGAATAGAACGAATACATGAAGCTGAAATAGAAGTTTGTTAGGTGTTCGCCATATATTGGGCTGTATGTTTGCACTATTTGTTCCTTCAACAACGCAGGTTAGTCAAATATAAACATATTTCCATACTATGGTATTCACATGTTATTTACTAGAGCTATGCAGGCTAGCAATAGGATGATGTATCTGAGAAAGCCTGAGCTTTGTTGGTCTTATCCTTTTTTCATTTTAATAATAAAAACGAATAAATCAGAATCGATCAAAATACAATTTGCAAATAAATAATTTCTAAATGGCAATGCAAAACAATTAGAGCGAAATAAAATAATATTAGCAAGAGAAGGAAGAAAGGTTTCAATAAAGTTTATTCAAAGATCAAATCTAAAATATTGATTCCCCTATTTAAGAGATTTCAAACAATCCTGATTTTGTTAAAGTTATTATTATATGCACTTTCACTAATGAAGTAACTTAATTAATTTAATAATAGACTATAGCAACCAAGGAAAAAATAATATGCTCTGAGAATGATGCTTTGAGTATTGAGAAGGATGACGTATATGGTAAAGAATCAAAATAACAAAAATAGAATAATAGGACCTTTCTGATTGTGTGAAAAAAGAAATCGTGATCTACATCGAAAGGACATTTATTGAATGTTCTAAATTATTAAAGTCCAATTACATTGAAAAACTGGATGTGATTAAAGTAAAATGGAATCCACTAAATAAATTAGTTGCCTATCTGCTCAGCCAATGGTATACGCATTCCAAATGAATACGATATCAAATAGTTTTTCAAATTGTCCAAAATCAAAAATAACAATGAGGAATTCACCAAATAAATCCATACTATGGACACCAAGCATTTATATGGGTTGCTTATAAGCAGTCTTGTATTCTAAGTATTTTGACTTCTATTATCTTGAGGATGCTCAAATAGAAGAAGCCCTTTTTGAATTGTTCTTTTAAAACATCAACTTGGAAAATGCCATTAAATTGTTGCTCATCTCAGTACAATATGAATCCAAAAAATAACATTACTTCTATAAGTATCATCTCTATTCATTATTTAGACTCATTAAACATTTGTATTATTTTAGCAAAGGCTTGTTAAAAGAAACTTATGATAATCAATTGGAGAAGATTGTTTAAAATGGAATGAAACCCAAACAATTGTAAATTGAGAAACCCAATTTTATAAAATTAATAACTCAACTGCACATATTTAAAATTAACTCAACAATCCTATATCCCCTTTTCAAATAATCGGAATCATTTCTATTTTAATACTACAAACCAGTCAGAGAAAAGAAGTCTTTCACTGTTTATAGAAATTTGGATTGTCCAGAAGGGAGAGAACAATCAGATTTTCCCCATCTTTATTATCTGAAAAATAGGGAGAATCAAACAGTCTTAGTAGCAGTACAGTATGAGATGCAAGGAGATATCCTTATTTTCTAAGAATATCAAGAGAAATTCATAAAGTATAATGATAATTATTTGGGACTGATTGAGTTCAAGAATCAAGGCAGAGAATTCATAGTTTATGATGATGGCTATCCAGAATATATGGAAAACAACTTTCCTTAATGGATTGGAAGGAAGAAGCGAAGAATGCTGGTCTTCGATTACTTTTCAGAAAAAAGATATGACAAGCCCAGATTGTTTGATGTGAAGTGTTTCAATGTAAATACTAATTAATAAGATGGTAATACTATTAGTTTATTATTCCATAAGAAATCATTACTAAAGAACCACACTATGATGAATCCAAAGGTTCCTTTACTTTGTAATTGGGGGAGATAGCATTGATTCCATCAACCAGAAATTTTATATTGCAAAAGAAGGGAGAAAACAATGTAGAATAGTAGGTCTATCTTTGTCATGGCAAACAAAATAGACACACTTTTCACTTGGAATTGCATGAAGGAATTAGTGTGTTCTAGGGTTTCTGCATTTCTGTTGTATCTATTTGTTCAAAGGGTTCTTGTGAATGAATGCATAATAATTTATATTTTCATTTAATCATATGCAACAGCACTCTGAATCGGATGATCATTCTCCTGTTCATGTAATCTAGTTTTAAGATAAGAATACTGAGATTGAGTCGGAAGCCTTATGGGATTAAGAAGAAGGTTAGCAAGAATATCACATTCAAATTAACACTGATCGAATTCTGGACATATTTCAATCCATAGAAACTTAAATTGATCCATTTACTTGTGTCTTCAAAACAAATCAATAGATGATAGTAATGTATAAACAGAAATTGCCATTGCTGAGAAGATTAGGATATTTGATATGCAAGAGTGAAGCTAAATATTGCATCATACTAGTAAAACTAGAGAATCAGAATTCCTTATTGATTAAGTCTCTTAAAGGAGTATTAAATTTTAATTAAAAAGGACTCTGAAATAAATGATGGCATCATGAAAAAGATAGGAAATGCAATATATCAATTTTCCGACAAAAATTAGCATCTGTCACATATTGATGAGATTATGTAAGTGTAAATTTATATAAGACATGAAGATTCGAGATTCAATCCTTTTCATTTAGATAGTTTGAGTGTTGCAATGATTTACAAATACCTTCAAGACAAAATTGTGATACCAGAAAAAATAAATATGAAATAACTCTACAATTTAGTTGAGAAAGAGCATGAAAAAATAAAAGAAGAACCATTGTTAATCAAATCAATTTAGGTCAGTCAATTCCATATCTTTACAATTGAGCGATACATTTTCAATAAGATATTTGATTAAATGATGAATCAGTATATTGAAAAGTATTAAGAAAGACAAGAGTAGGTCGACTAGAAGAAAATGCAATTGAGAGAGAAGTATTCTAAAGCCGAGCTAATCCACTCATTGGAAATCAAAGATCAATATCTACCACAATCAGATATACCATACCATGAAGCCATAAATGAATTAAAGTTGATTAATCTCTACAAAACTCCAACTGAAATGTTGAAACAATTTCAATATGTTCTGGTTTTGATTCGGGGAGTGGCTTTTGAATGCAATCAGAAGGAAGAAATCATTGCTATGGATGATGAATTGCCAATCTTAATTTGGGTGGCATTGATGAGTGATGTTCCTAATCTCTATGCTAAAATATTCTTTGTCGATGATTATATACAGGAAATCGAAAATGAGAAGCGAATCTTAACCAATCTGAGAGTCTCTTTAGATTACATTTCTAAAGAATGGAAATTATGATATTATTTATGTTACAATTATTAATTTGGCCTTCATTTTCAGTAATTTTACTAAGTTACTTCTCATGAGAGTTCTAACTATGAATTAATAATATATTTGTTATATTAAAATTTGAATTATCTAATGAACATCCATTAACCGAATCAATCAGCACTCACCAGTGCATTTAAATCATAGGCTACTCTGACTGAATAGAAGATCATCTTTTTGGAGTAGTCGCTAAATAAGGCCCAAAGAGATGTAAAATTGTATCCTATAACATTTAGCTAAATGATGTAAGATTTCAATAAAACCATTTAAAGTCTAAAAGGGAAGACTTGATCTAGAATTATCACAAAACCAACAGAAAGCTATTGAAATAAGTGGATGAATTACAACAATTAATCAATAATACTCAAACCTACATCAGATTAGATTAACTAATTACTGCTTTCAAAAATAATAACTGGAATGATCATATAGCTAGATATCTTCATGAGAATAACAAGTTAACATCTTAGAAAATAAAAATAATTTAAAAAATTATATTAACTGATTAATAACTAAATGATTGGAGGGAATAAATAAACATGATAGAGGAAGATATTAATGGATTGCATCATTAGAATAGTGCTTTGATTATTGAATTCGAGGAATTGGATGAAGTGATTCATTAATGGAATGGTTCAGCCATAGAACCAATTAGCAAAATCTATCAGATTAAGAAATAGTTAAATGAGCTCAGGGCTAATTACTTAGATTTATCAAGTGAAAGATAGAGGAAAGAGGCCAGTCTAACAGAATTGACAACCTAAGTTGACTCAATCCAGGAGAATCTCAATTAATTAAGAAAAGAATAAATACCAGTATTTTAAGAAATTGATTTTCAACTTAAACAAGGCATTCAGTTTTGGTTTTCGCCAGATTTGGTGTATAAGGTCTTTCTAGATATCTTCAATGACTTTGTGGATTTCAACAAGGATAAAATAGATGAGGTATTCAGCATTTTGATGCAAATTCATGACAAAATTGTTGGATGTTGTTTCAGTCTGTTGTAAAAACACATCAAATTCGAAGAGAGATAACAACTATTCGATACCAACTTTCAAGAAGCCACCAGCATAATTAATCAACATTAGTAATGGTTCAAAGAGATAGATGCTTAAGACTTCGAGTGTTTGCTAGGTATTTATTGATTAATTAGAAGTTTAAAAAATAAACAATCATTAATTTATGAGCATAATCGAATAGAAGAGTTAGCGATTCCAGGCTGTTTTGCAGAAATAAATTCGAATTTTCAGTTGTACCCAAGAACACACAAGTCTTAAGTATGGTTATCATAGATTCTGCTTAGAGCTCAATAAATTGAGCTAGAAAGATAAGTTCATAAGTTATTGTATGAATAATCGATGATACAGTGCAACTATCAGCGTTTGGAATCCTAGTTACAACAACTGAAGATTGCTGGGCCTATCCTTATTATGAACACCCAAAGTTATCAGTTAGAACAAGTGTTAGATAGAATCAATACCATTGAAATCATTCAGAAGAAAAACAAATAGTAAATAGAATTGAATTATCCGCAACAAATTTCAGTTATTGAATCATAGATAATTCAATACCAAAATCAGTTCTAATAGTTGATCGAATAGTTGTTAAGCATTAAATCAGACATAAAATTAGTGTATAATTAAGATGTTGATCAAGATGAGGCTTTTTTATAAATGGAACTTCAATAACTCAATTAGGAATTGCATACCCAAGAATTGTTGTTTTCTAAATCCAAAAATGAATGCGAAATTAAGTTATAATAATTTGACTATGAAGAAAGTAATAATATTCATTCTAATCAAGATGCTATTTTAAATAGAATTGAAACAATATCACAAGCAATGAATGATTATCGCAATCAAAAGCCAGTCAAGGAAAATATCCCTCCCACAGATTTGCATTCTAAACGCCAATCATTAGACAATAGTATATTTGACAACAACAAATCCAATTTGAAATATTCTTGTCATGAAAATACAACTGACAGAAGTCATTCCAGATCACGATCAGCCTTGGGAGCAAATTCATCCTCTAATTCATTAAGAAATTTTTTGAATTTCCAAAGTCCTTCACAATTAAAACGAACTAAACTTACTCTAATTCACAATCATTCCAACAGGAACTCATAAAAATAATCAATCAACTCATCTGTTCAAAAGATAGATGATACCACACTGTTGTCACCAAATAAAAGTTTTATTTCAAATAAAAATCAATAAATCTAGCCTGTTAAGACTTTCAAAGTATACAAAAGAACAGTATAAAATACTCTCATTTAGAAGCTGTAAGAAGTCAACAATTACATACCAAAGTAAATTCAATCATCATTTTGTAGGTTTGTTAAATATAATGAAAAAATGAAATGCATAGAGTTTTACAATGCTAATAGAATTGGAAGTGACTTGGGCGTGAAAGACTCGGCTTTGAATATCAAATAAATAGTAGGAATAACACAGTAACTAGTTAAAGGTGTTATTAAACAAAGTAATCAATACATCCTACATTTTAGATTTCACTTTCTATGGACTATTTTTATTACTTCAAAAAAATCAGAAAGTAGAAATTCTATTTGCTAAATAAGAAGAATTAATTTAATTCTTGAACATCTTAAAGTGAATTCAACCATTATATAATTTTTTCTTAAAAATAATGTTATTTTCTTAAAGATAATCATCTCTCTTCGAGGAGATGGAATCGATGCCAATGAATAAGATGCCTTAAGGGTCCTCGCGTTCGAGAAATTTATCTAATGATAGACCATAAACTAATGAACGATCTATTAAGCTATCAATAGAAAATAGTAGACAAAGGCATAAGGCTCAATCCTATTCTGTTGAAAAATCAGTAGACACTTTAACATTAATATTGATAGTTAAATTTGAGCTCCCAAAATTAAAAGGTTGAAAATCTAGTGGCTTCATGGATACTACAAAAGAATTCATCATCTCTCAATTCAAGTTCAAATAATGTTCAACCAAGTATACACTTCCAAAGTATTCTAGCTTTTTAATTTGAAAGCCAAGGAAGACAATCGAATCGACCCCACATTATCATAGAAGAAGATCTCCTATTCACAGAAGAAGGAGATTAATAGAATTGTATTCAATCCAATAAAGTGAACTAAAATAAACATAAAACACCAAGCACCACACGTCCTCATGCCAAGAGCATAAAAGAATAACGTATTCTAATTTTATATGAAGAAAGTTTCGATGTTAAGAAAAATTGTATGGAAAGAAATGTTCCTAAAAAACCATTAAACTCATATGCTCAACGACCTCAAACTACAAAAATGCACACTTCCTCTTAAGTTAAATCTACGCCTTTGGTATACAAGGATAATTCTCTTCATAATCCAATGAAATCATCATAGATAGAACAAGCTAAATTTAGTAATCTTTATAGTGGATCAAATAGTTATTGCAACAATATCAAGAATAGAAATAGACAAAATAATTACCAAAAAATTGTTAAGAAAGATAATTTAACTTCAAATTCAGAATTCTAATTGGATAATCAATGCATTCCTGATTTGATTAGATTAAAGGATCTGATCTTATCGACATACCTAAAATAGAATAGAGCTCTCATTAATTCCTAAAATCAAATAGTTAAGTAATTTTTGAGATTTTTAATTTAGAAATTTTGATGAAATAGTAGCAATCTTAAAATAAGACTTCCCCAACCAATATTGAACAATGTAATTAAGTTTTTTCATAATATTATATAATAGTGAATCTAACATTGCTATTTTTATCAAATTCTTCAATTACTAATAATATTATAATTTTGCTATCAGATTTAAGAATATTTTTATAAATATTATCAAAATGATTGCAAATTTAAAGTCATCAAGTAATTTATAAATTTCAAGTAAAACCCATTAAATCTGTTATTCTTCCTCTTGGCGAGAAATAAAGAGAAATTTAAGTATTTTTGAGAAGGTTGTAAATAGAAGAGTATAATATATTGATATATATCATTAAAATGTCTTCAATTGATCCTAGAACCCTTAATTCGGTTCTGCTCTGGCATGTTTTTATTTTACGTAATTCAAAGCTCTTTACGAATTGAGCCTTAGTTTTCTGATGATGTAGGCTGTTATAATTGTCACTGATCTACTCTAACCTCCGTAACAATGAACTAAAATGTTTTTATCTTGAGCAATTATTGAGTCTATGTAGTCGATGCACTCTTCGAAATATTGGCTTATGTTGGTTTCTGGTTTGTCCTCGATCGAAATGCATTTGTAGGTGAATTTGGAAGGGAAGTACTCAGGTAAATCCCCAACTATTAGAATGTTGGAGATTTGGTTTTTGTTGAGCCAATTCTGATCTTTGGCATAGACAACCGATGACAAATATACATGAGGGATTATTTCTGACATTAGTAAAATAAAATAATAATAATAATTTTGGAAGAAAGTGTGTTAATAAAATCTCTAAATAAAATTGATTTCGAAACAATTCTGACATTTGGAGGGACTAATGTATATTGTTTGGAGGCGAATCCTTACTGAAACCTGAGAATTATTCAGCCTATTCAAGGTTCGATAGTGCATTGTAATATTTGAGGGATTGAGTAAGGAGAGAAAAGTCAATAAAATGAGATATATAATTAATAAATATTAATTTATGCAGGCGGCTTCGATATTTAATGGAAAATATGTAGTTTAAAAGAAGATATCCTCTGGATCTTTCGGAGTGGTTCTATTGGGACATGATAAGGATAAGAATATGGATGTGGCAATAAAAATAGAGAAGGAGGAAAATGAGGATGTGCGTTCTTTGGAAAGAGAAGTTCTGGTGCTGGAAAGATTAAATGGAATTGAGGGGGTTCCTAAGATGTTTTGGCACGGTGAGTAGGATGAATACAATGTTATTGTTATGCAGGTTTTGGGGAAGGACTTAGCATATTATATGAAAAACAAAAAGAAGTTTTCGTTTAAAACAGCAATCCAATTGGGAATTTAAATAGTTAAGGTTTTGGAGCGGATCCACAATTAGGGAGTGGTGCATCGAGATTTGAAGCCAGAGAATGTGCTGTTTGGCATAGATGATGAATCTTCTAAAATTTATGTGATTGATTTTGGAATTAGTAAAATATTCAGAGATAAAAATGGAAAGATTCAGTAATAATCTTGAATATCAGGTAGTCCTTTTCGTGACAACACATCCTTCATTGGGACCACTAGATATGCTTCAATAGCAGCACATAAGGGATATGAGTTGAGTAGGAAAGATGACATTGAATCATTGATTTATGTTCTGTTGTACTTCGTGAAAGGGTAATGGAATTGCGTATTATAAAAAGTCTAGGCAGTTACCATGGCAAAATATGTAGAATGTCAGCGATGAAGAACGAACAGCGAAAGTGGGGGAAATGAAGATGTCAATAGATCCCAGGGAACTATGCAAGGACGTACCAATGGAATTCGCTATAATACTTGAGTATTGCTTTCATTGATGATTTAGGTATCTCAAATAGTTGGAATATCAGAGCGAACCTAATTATAATTTTGTGTATTAATAGTTTGAAAAGGCTGCAGCCAATTTGGGGGTTCAATTGGACTTCACTTTTGATTGGGATTAGTAATAGGCCATGAAGATATCACAAAATGCTAATCAGGAAAGCATGCAGCGATCGACTACTTTGAATTAACAATTATAATTGCCATCGACAGGCGAAATGAAAAAATCATTAGATAAACAAGGAAGCAATCTGATCAGATAGTATAAATCCATTTAAATCTGATTAGAATGAGTAATAATCAATTCTTAGCTCCTCCTTAATCAAATTAATTACAGCCTCACACTTTAAAGAGACAGGATTCTTCGCAGTAGCCCAGCTTAGTGTCAGGCAGTGTTATGTTGAGTACATACAATTCAATAAGGCCGAAATATTAGCCCTCTTAGTTGGGTTTAGATGTGAAGATGAGTGTGGATAGTATGCCTAAGGAGCTGATTCAAGAGTAGAGGAAAACATCTGGGTCGGCATAATAGAAGAATGCCCAAAATCTGTATACGGAAACAGTTGGTTGGAGAGATTCGATCTTTGAGGAGAACTTTGAAGAAATCCCGTTATCCAAAAAGTATGGGATGCTTTAATAGAAAGGAGTGGATATGTAGAAAAATTGATTATTTGTAATTAGGTACAGAAAACCCATGCATTCCAGTGCTAGTCCGAACAGACAAAAGAAGAAAAATTGAATTTTATTTTAAATCAGCTTAGATTTCTAAATTTGGTTATTTTTAAATAATTTTGACTGATGGTCAACAATTCATTCAACAATAAATGAAAAATCATCTCCTTAGTTGAATAAGTTTTATGATTTTATAATACTTTCGAAATAGAGTTAGTAAATAGTTGGAGAGTAATTTCATTTTGATTGGAGAATCTTAGTGATTTAGTTTGAGTTCATTAATTAATGCTCACTTTTTTTGTTAAATAAATTTGTTAAAAATATGAATCAAAATACACCCTTCAATGAACGCTTCTTCAAGATTTAGGAGAAATTGAATTCGATTCCTCTTCAGCATGATACTTCTAAAGCTCACAGAATTGATACAATTAATTCTAGAGTCACAGCAGTAGAGGAGAGAATTCAGGATACAATAACATCTTATAACAGAAAACTAGTAATAGTCTAATAAAGATTAAAAGCATACTTTGAAAGATGAGATAGTGAGAGTTCAGAAACAGATTGAAGAGGAAAACAATACTTTTGAAACATAATTTGAGTAAAGAGTTCGTGAGATTGCTGCATTTGAAAGCAGAATCACAACCAAATTAGAATAGGAAATTGCTTTAAGAAGAGATGGAAACTTAAAATTGCAAGGGTATTTGGATGAGAAAGTAAAGTGAAGAATTTATTAGAACCCAGGTTGTCTACTTGAAATCCGATATTCAAACAGAGAGTAAAATCAGATAGGAATAAATCGAGAATATTACTACCTCTTTGGAAAATGATTTGCCCAAATTGTATGATATGGTGAAAACTGAAGGACAGGACAGGGAAGATAGTGATAATGGAACATTGAGGAGATCTGGAGATGAGATCAGAAGATTGAATGAAGGGTTAACCAATCAAAAGAATTTAAGGTACATTTGATTTACAAACGTTTTAGAGAAGAATCTGAGACAGCAATCTTTGAAATGTTGAAGGATTTAGTTTCTAGGGTCAAGAGTGAAATTGAGGAAGAAAGGAAACTAAGAGAAGAATCTTAAGAATCACTTCTGGGTTTGTTGGAAGATGCTGCAAATAAAATTTATAGAGCAGCAAAAGATTGATAATTTATACAAATCATATTAAAATAAATTTTATTTCATATCATATTCATTTTGTTTATTTATGTTTTCTTTGAATTTTATTCACTTTATATAATCGAGCTATTTCATTTGCATTGTTATGCTTCAAAAAATATTCAAAATTCCTCACTTTCTCAAACCCTTCAAAAATGTCCAAATATTGACCAAGCTTTTTTCCTGGATCTTCATCCAATGTTCGATTAGCATATAATTGTCCTTTTGAGAAATCATTGACCTTTATTGCCACTTGTTTAGTTGATTTCTTTTGATCACCCCTTTAGAATTCTCCCATCCTCTTCTCTGGATCCTAGATACTCTTATTGCTCAGAAGAGTATTTTGATGATTTTCGACTCTAAGATACGGCTATAACTGCTATGGCCCTTAATTAAACCTACTCTAGTATTTATTAGATCTCTCAGCTTTCTAAATCTAATTAATTATTTCTAGGATTCTATTCCTCTATACATTATATAAAATGGATAATACAATTTCATCATCCTGTAAAGCATCTGTGCAGGCTTAGAATGATAATTTCCTCTACAGTTGATATTGTGTCATCTATGTCCTTAACGGAGCTAATAGTGCATTACTTTTTAACTCCTTATCTGCTTTCTCCGCATATTCAAGAATTCCATCGTTTCCATCCTCCAAAACACTAGCTCCTATAGACAATTTAATCGATTCAATTATTACCTTCATCATAACTTCCCCCTGAATAGTGTTACTTATCTATCTGTTCCTTCAACATTTATGTTTTGCACATATACAAATAGATACTATTTTAGATATCTGATGATTCTCTTCTCGTTTGAATCTTGCGTTCCAATTTTCTCGCATATTTAACTCTATCGGAGGGGACATTTCTTCTGTAATTCAGCAATACCTTTGATCTATTTGGGTAGCCACACACCATACTAATAAGTCATAGATCAAATAATTACGGGCATTCAAGTATGATATGTGTTGATTTGTTGCAGGCTCTGCATGTCACATCTACTAATTCTTATTAGTTCATAAATGAGATCTATTGAACTAATTCACAGTATTTATACTAAGATAGTTGATCTATGTTACATAATCATTTTTATGTTAAGATATGATTTCCATAAATTGAGACTTGTCGATTTTTAAGACATATGAAAATTAGTTTGATTTACAAGACATCTGATAAGCCTACGACTAAAAGAACTCTAAAACACCAAAAGCTTATCCTTCATTTTTAATTGTTTCCAGCACTTTTATTGTTTATTGTTTGTTATTCAATGTTATGTAAAAAGAGAGACTTCCGTTAGATAAAAGATAGAGATAATTACTCGGATCATTTTACTATTAAATATTAATCAATTTTACAAGATATATTGTAGATTCTGGCACAAATTTCTCTTCTATCAACACTTTAGATAAGGATATTAAGAATTATTCACTAAAATTGTTTACAAGGAAGCTATTCTTTTAAATCAACTTCATATTTGTATCAATTTTCATTTCTTCAGCCAATTATTTTGGAATCAATTCACTGAATTTGTAAACTTCTCTATCATTGTCTTCCATCTGATCACTCCAAACATATTCGAAATATTTTCTGATCTTCTCAGCTAAATGTTTATTAATCCCTTTAATCCTGATAAATTTTTTAAGGTTATTCATATCAGTTCTTATCTGAAAACTTTGTCTACTCCATTCAGCATAGATTGAATTGATATTACCAATAGAATAGCCAAAAACTCCTACTGCAGATAAAGCCATTCCAACGGCAAACACTCTTTCTCTCAAATTCTGAGGGGTTATGTCTCCATAACCAATAGTAGTCATTGTTATGATGCTCCAATAAAAGGAATGAAGATATTAATTAAACCAGTATTCATTTTCTATATTCTGAGCTTTGATCCAAGATGTGTCGTCTGGATTTCCAGTAGACCCCACTAAAAACCAAATGCATGCTGAAAAATGGGCAGCTGCCAATATTGTGTATCCTAATTTAACTAAATCAACTATAACAATTTAAATGGCTGTCAATTCTAATCTATCGAAAAGGGTTCTGGAAAATTTAGTGATTTAAAACACTTTCAATATGATCACCAAGTCCAAATATTACAAATCAAATCTTAAACTTATAAAATAAGGGATCACTACAAATATGTCAAAGAAGAATGCTATTATATAATGCATATATTTAATTACATGAGCGTAAGTAATTTTTCGCAATTTGATATCGGTTTTCAATTACCGCTCCCTTATAATAGTAGCATGTATTGAATTTCAAAAGAATTTCAAGCATAAATGAATACGATGGTAGGACATCAAAGATAATTTGTCTTGCTTAATAGAAGTCATCTTAGGATTGCTCATCGAATTTGAATGCAATTTTGATGGATACATAAAGGACGTTAATATTCAAGATGGTAAGTATGTATATGTTCCACCAAATTGAAGCCAAAGACTCAGGTCTCATAATTAATTTCTGATTTCCACAATATATCTTAAGCAGTTTAGTTTTGCGTAATGGAATTAATATGGTTTAATTTAAGAAGTGTTGTCCTTTTTAAAATCCTGTTGGTTTCTATAATAAGGATAATTCATCAATATTACTTCGTATTTAAAGAAGTTTTTTAATAGGTAATATGTAAAGTCAGCCGATACATCACCTATTATTTCAAAGACATTTTTATTGATTAATTTAAAACTGGTAGCAAAGTTTGATTTAGTGATAAAACTAATGAATCTCAGAGTAATCATCAGGATTTCTAACGCTTTTGTTCTCCAAATTTTATTGCTAAATCCAGCATGATCACTATGACTATCTATAAACACTGGGCTGTCCTCTTTGAGATTCATCATTGGCTTGTTACTTTGAAAACTTATAGCCCTTATTTTCGGCCCGATATTACAAGTCTGACTAGGTCTAGGAAATGTGATGCTAATTAAACGTACCTGTTTTTAGTGTCCAATAGAAGACTCATTATACTTCTCTGATCGATTTGTTTAGATTGTTTATTTTCTTAAACATCGCGTAGGATGACCTCCTGATCTTAATCAAAACTTTTTAAAAGAGATCTAACAGAATGAGCCTGATTTTCGGTTTCTAATTTCTCTTCTATTCTAAATAACTTGAGCATTACATATATCAGGATTTAGAGGATTACTTTTTTTCATTAAATAATTAATAATAATAGTTTGCAAATTAATACATTTAATTAACAATAGTGAATATTTCTCATTTGTTGAGATTACACTGGGGTAAATTATCGCAATTGATGAATGCATTTGATTTAATCATACACAGGTGCAAATGATGGCTCGGAATACAGTTATTGTTTTAAATTTCTGTTGTTGAAACAACAAAATAGGGAGTGTCTCTGATTCGTTTGATCTTACAATAATTTAGATTGTCTTGGGGATTATTAAAATTTAGGAATTTTAATGTGAGTTTAAAAATCTATATTTTTATTTGAATATAAATTCTGAATGAAGCACAATTAACAACTTCCTAATGCCCACCTGCGTAAACACTGGACACGATTCGTGAAGACTTATTACAATTAACCAGCTGCCAAAAGAAGAAGACAACAAAGAAGATAGGCAAATGCATTAAGTAAAGAATTACATGACAATCTTAGAGGCTTCACCAAGACCAGTTGAATTACTCAGACCAGTAGTCAGAGGACAAACAATCAAATATAATGGAGTATAAAAGTTAGGAAGAGGATTTTCATTGATTGAACTTAAAGAGGCAGGACTCAATGCTTAATTTGCTAGAACAGTTGGAATTGCTGTTGATCATAGACGTAGAAACAATAGTCAAGAGGAATTGGCTGCTAATGTTAAAAGAATCAAAGCTTATTTGTCTAAATTAGTGCTCTTCCCAAGAGTCGCAGGCAAACCTAAGAATGGTGTTGTCAAAGACTCAGGAAATGATGTCGTTGCTTAACCTGTTGCTTAGAATACTAATCCAGAAGTATTGATTTTGTTGATAATCTCTAGGTCATCACCTTCTAAAGAACTCCCAGAAGAGAGAAGGCAACAGTAATCTCTAAAGAGCTCAGAGCTAAGAATGTTTATCGTAGACTAAGATAGGAATGGTACAATGCAAAATTCGTTGGAGTCAAAGAGAAAAGAAAGAATGCTAAAGAATAAAAGAAATGAATAGTGTACAATTGGATATATTAAAAATTTATAATTATTGAATTTCTTGTTAATCTAAGAAATCTAATTTTGGCAATAATTTGCATCATTCTAAAAACTAAATTACTGTGTGATTTATCTCTTCATTTGTAATCTTACAAAACGTGTTAATATGTTCATGATTAAATGATGAGTAGAACAAGAAAATATAGAAACATGATAATTCTATTAGAGATAGATTATTATTCCTATGATATTTAAACCTAAATTAGAATATCCGTAGGTAATTCGATTTTACGAGAGTATAAATAGGAAAATTTAAGTTCTCCTTTAGTACTCGACTTTATTATAATTTAATTATGATTTCCATTATTTAGGAATCTGATTGCAAGATTAAAGGAAACATAAAATTATAAATAATATCATTTGGGAATACATAAAAAAGAACTATAATTATATTAGTTGTTTAGAATGGCTTTATATGATATTCAAAGGCTCGTATGATGGTTTAAGAGGATACTTAAATAATTAGTTGATTGATTATGTATTATACTTTGCTCTTATAAAATGAAGGATACTATAAAAATATAAGTGATTAAATTACAGATAATTAGTTTCACTTGACTGATAATTAATTTAAGTAATCATGTTTAGTATCAAACCGAGATTAAATTAGGAAGACAAAAGTACTGTTCTCTTTATTACAATTGTTTTTATTTTCTGAATATACTTATGAGATAACTATATTTTTATATATACTATTAATTAATATTATCTAATGGAATAATTTCATAATTAAATAGATGATACTCAGTCTTAGCAATATTTTTAGGAGTAAACTAAGTCCAATATGTCACTCCGTCTAATTATCAACTATATTTTTGCAGATATAGCTAAAAGACCTAGGTCTTTCAAAATAGGATTATTTACAACATACATAGTCATCACCTTCTTGGGGCTTCTTTAATGTGTGGTTTAATTGAGTCCACTAATTTTTCTTCAACTAGATGAGTCGGCAACTGGCGATACAGATCTTTTATACTTGCCTATGGCTGCTGAAAACACAAGCAACTACAGATTAATTAATATGACAGATCTACATAAAGTATCACTATCTTCTATTAAAGCACACAAGTCAAGTCTCAGAGTTTCTAGATGTATCTCCAAGGTGGATGTTTATGTGCAATCTAGGGAAAATGGGAGTTGAATAGCAATTTAGAGCATATTTCCTGATTCTCGATTCCTAGCTTGAATAGAGCATCGGAATTGGAAGGAGAACAGATGTGGACATAATAACTAACAATGAGGTGTATGTATCTGAAACTGGTCTAAGAGGGTTAAGTGCGAGTAAGGGAGATTAGATTTACTTGAATTTTAATATCCTATAATTACTGAAAAACTTTGGAGTTGAAAGTGAAGGCAATGAATTTACTCAATAATTGCGATAGCCATTTAAAAATGCTGTAAATCAATAATTGGCCATGTTTATTAAGGAAGATAATTTTCAGGATAAGCAATACAGTATTACAGAGCTTGCAATGTACTCTTAATCTTATCTGAATTATGTGAAGGGAATTGAAGCCACAAGCCTAACCAAGACTATAGCCAAAGAATACTTCAGATAGAATGTTCGCTCATAGGAGAATTACACTGAGGAACAGAAGGAATTTGCATACCAAGTCATTGAAGTAATGTTTGAAAGAAACATGACAAGGGATGCCTCAGCTATTAACAAATTTGTGAATAGAGTGTCTAAGTTCAGCAATTTCATCACTATTTCTTAATTCGAAGATGGGTTGTTTGATTTGCTTATACAAATAAATGAATTCAACATTAATGCCAAAGTTCATGGGGGTGTTGAATCTCCTAAGGGCAAATGGACAGATGCTTTAGGGATGATGGTTTTTATGGATTATAAAAATGCAACAGAGATCTTCTTAGAATCCTTTTTTAATAAATTGGATCAAGTGATCACAGATAATAAAAAGTATAATGAGGGAATGCCTGGTGCCATATCTGAATTAATTCCAGTTAATGACACTTAAGAGTGGGCCAAAGATGCAACTACAAATTTTAAATTGCAAGACTATTCACTAATGGCTAATCTATTATTTAAGAACAGGGGGGAGAAATATGAAACTCCGAGAATAGCTAAGGATGCTATCATATAAACAACAAATGAGTTCTTTACTGAGGCAGGATACAATTATCCAGTTTAAATCACAGCACCTTTAGGATTTACTATTGGATTGTATCATTTAATGAAGAATTTTATTGAAAACTTATTGGGAGTTGCAACTATGATTCTCTTAATGTTGTCAGTCCTTTTGATTTATTCTCTGATGATCGGAGATATAGAAGAGAAAACTTATGAGTTTGGGATGCTTAGAGCATTAGGATTTAAAAAGTCATGGTTAATAGTGCTTCTGATGTTATAGGCATTAACATTTGCAAGTTAGTATAATTATTATTTATTAAAGTACCTGGGTTGTTTCTGGGATTGGTCTCTTGTTATTTGATTAATTGTTTGGTCAGTATGTATGTGTTCGACATGTCACTTCTACTTACGACTTATTCCATCCCATCTTCAGCTTTGGCGTTTTAAATAAGTCTAGGAATAACTATGCCAATCATTAGTAATATCTTGCCAATCAAAAAGGCATTATCGAAAGCTCTTAGGGATAGTTTAGATCTGTTCCATAGAGTGGTGAATGATATTTTGGTTACTGTGATAAAGCTTGAGATGATGGGGATATCTACCAATTAAACCGTGTGTTCAATAATATTGATCAGCATCGGATTCATTAGTTATTATGTGATTCCCATGAATATCATATTCCAAAATATCAGAGGAGCCATAATAGTGATTAATATCATCTTCATAACAATGGTGATAGGAGTGACTGTATTAATGAATTTGAGTGAGCAATGGTTGGAAAGATAAGTATTGAAGATTATTTTGTTTATCAAATAGTCGGATAAGAATTTATAGATGATCATTCTGAATAATCTTAAGGGTCATGGAAGCAGAAACTTTAAGACTACTTTAATGTATTCATTGGGATTGGCATTTATCATCTTCACAGGAGCTCAATTCACCTTGTAAGCAGAGTTCCTAGGTGATTTCATTAAAACAAGTCTCACCTCTGATATCATAGTTTTTGATGCCTCTATTTAGAGATTAGGATTAGATGAATTTAAATTCAGACAGCATCTGGAATGGGAGAAAACCAATGATCCTACATTCATCCAGGATTACACATTTAGTGCATTGCCTTTAAATGAGATTCCAGGAATACCTAGGTTCTTTCAGATCTCTCCCTTGGCTCACTTTCCCAGAAGAAGAATTCGATTACATGCTATCGAAGAAAACTACTTGGAGGTTATCAATTATAAGTATTACTACCCAACTGAATATGATTCTAAACAATAATCAGTGGAATATCTACCAAATGGTGTTAGGGATGGTGTTAAAGATCTCTACAATAATGAAGGTAAATTGGATATTGCAAAGACATCAGATGTCTATGGAATAGCCACCAATAATCATGCGCAGAGTAATTACAAGGCTATGCTGAAGACGCTTAACAATGTTACAAAGGAGGTTGAAGAAGTTGACAAGGAAATTAATGTGATAATACCTGAAGGGTACAGATATGAAGATGGTGTGGATGTTGACACACCTGCACTCTTGAGAATTTCATTCAGAGATAGAGGCAGGGCTATAGAAAGGAGATTAAAAATTAAGCATATGGCTATCAAAATACCCAATAATGATTTCAGTGGTTACAGGACAGTGGCCTTGTTTGGAGAAGGATTAATAACCATGCAGGATGCCTAAATGCTAATTAATGAAATCTTGAACAGTAGAATAGAAGAGAATAAGTTCAACAATTAAAGGGCACATCAATATTTTTAAAAATTGCCCAAAAATCTTACTTACGGGCTACCAAAAGATAGTCTATTAATCAAGTTTAAAAGAGATACTACAAAAGAAGAACGAATTGATTTTAGTAACAGATTAAGAAATTACTTTACAAATGATCAGATCTATTTGTTTGATTCCATCACCATGGCAGAGACTTCATAAGATTTCTTTAAATATCTGGAATTGTTCAATATAGTCGTAGCTGCAATAGCCCTCATCCTATCCTTCTTCTTGTTATTAGTATCCTTCATCGGCAATGTTAGAAACACTTCATGGGAAATTGGAATCCTAAGAGCAGTAGGTTTAAATGAGGTATAACTCTTTGTAATTTATGTAGGTGTAAATCTCCAAAGTTTTTGTTTATGAATCCATTACTCTAATTACGGCATCTGGACTAATTGGAACTATTATTGGATTAGTAATAGCTACTACCTTTACACTCCAAATAGTTGCATTCTCAGAGTTTAAATTCAAATTTTCATTTCCCATCTTAACTTTTTTAACCACTTTTCTAGGAGGAATCTTTATTTCAATTTATGCAAGCTACTTGGCAGTCAGAAGTTTCAAATTCAAATCAATAGCTTCAACTTTAAAGGGACAATCATGAAATTATATATTTTAGTCTTCATTCAAAGTCATTCTTCATCCATGCCATCCAATATATTTATTTATAATTAATCATATGTTATCTATACATATCTTATCCCTATTCTATTTCTATTGCGATATTTATCAATCAACCGTAATTGAAATGTGCAAGGATGAATACTAGTCAATGATGCAAAATATTAAATATTTAACACAAATTAATGTATAATGTTTAATGTACAATCTCTTTTATCAATCAAATAGGCCACCCATATCGACATCCTCTTCTGGTTCTGGAGCCTTTTCAACCGGCTTCTCTTCAGCCTTTTTAGCTGCTTATGCTTATGCAGCAACTGGAGCTGATGCTTTGGATGCTAAAACCTATTAATATCTCTTCATTACATCCTCCACCCAATGAAAGGGTACCTACTTTCTTCAATCCTTCTGTGATCACTTCTTGTAATGACTTGCCTTTCAAACTTTCCACTAATGACTTGATTTCTGCATCTGATCCTGCAACACCAACTTCAGCCAATAATCCTTTAACGTCAGCCTCGCCTAAGAGTTTTACTAATTATCATACTAGGATTTGCTTTTCCACCTAAAGTCAACAAAGCATATGCAGCAACGTATTACATTGAATTTTATTTAAAAATTTAATTTAAATCACATAAATGGTTAATAAACTCTAACTTTTTTAATTTAAAAAAACATTGAATTAATATCCATTATTAACCATATCGAAATTGAGTGAATACTATAAACGACTAAATCCCCTTTGATTCCTAGGTGTATTACACATTTAAATATTAAATCCAATTATACATATATTCTATTTTTATTATGATAAATCTATCCCTTGAATACCTGCAGAGAGAAAGATGAAAACAGATAATTTACGAACTCATTAAGATAAATTACATGATTCTTACATATTTGATTAAATGATTATCAATAGCATCTAACATAAGATTATTCTGATAGGTAATTGGTAAAATACTTCAATAATAATTTTATTTCAATATATAATGAAACTTTATGATGTTTTGTTAAATCTACTTATGTCCTTATTTTGTTTAAAATATAACACATCACTATTTTCAATGTGGACCAGTATTTTTAATATTTATATCGACTTTAACAATTCTTCCAGCATAGCAATGGGCACTCCAAAAAAAACCATATTACGAGAGCATCCAAAAGGTAGACTCTAGAACTAAGTTTAGATTTATTAGATAAATTAACAAAATTATATAATTAATGGGAATTATGCATACTAGGTGTGTGGAAGAGTGTAGGAGCAAGGAATAAAATACTAATTCTGAATTGCAGGTGATTTAAAATAAATAGATTCTCAAAAGAAACCTTCAAACGACAAATGAATAATGTACTTAAAAGACAACCCAAAAAGGAACAATTTTCCTCTGTGATCCAGATTAATCTATGGAAATAAAGGAGGAAGATTCATCCAGTAATCTTTAAAACAATCCAATACCAGCATTTGTTTCTGACAAATAATTGCATTAATTTGTGGTTCCAAGAAGGGAAAATCGATTTATTTCAGATATTGAAAATGAAGTCAAAGAAAAAATAAAGAAAATGTACATATTTCTAAACAAGTTTTAGATAATATTAAGAAAAATTTGAGGCTCTATAAATGCACTATTCCAAATTAAATCTTTAATAATGTCCATAAATATTCCATAAGAGTTCCTCCAATGTTCCAAATTAAAATGAATTAATTAGTAATTTGAATTGTTTCCAAAGTTCAAGTTTAGTGATAGAAAAACTATAAAGCACATAAGTAGATTGTATTAGTGGGCCAAATAAGGAGAGAAGAGGAATATTGAAAAGTAATTCACCTTAAAAATAATCAAAGTCTTTTGATACAAATTCTGTTAATTCTAACAAAAGGGTTCATTTCTCTGGAGATACAAAATTCAAGTCAGAAGATGCTATATAACAATTTCAATGGAGAAAATTAAGAATTGAATGAGTGAGTGAGTTATTAAATTATTCTCAACAATAAAATCTTATTCATATCTAAATCATTATTAGAGTGACACACCCTTTTAGGATAGAATAGAAAACTAATCGCCATCGTATTTAGGTCTATAGATTCGGGTTTAGATCTGAATATACGTGATAGCCATATTGGGCTGATGAAGGATTTAGAGTGATAAAGAGTACACAAATGATTTTAATTAGAATTTATCAGTAATATAGAAAGAATTTATTAATATTGCAATCAAGGATTTCTAGAAATAAATATCTTTAACTTTTATTTAAATGCAATAATAGGATACAAAGTTTGACGAAAATTTATACTCAAGACAGGTGGCGGTATTGGGAGCTGAGACTTAATCAAAGCTGATCTAAATGAGATGTTTCATTTATGGTTTGAGAGGGGTATTTAGATTTTTTATGGCAAGTTGGGATTGGAGATTGCAAAGAATTTGATATTGGCTGGACCAAAGTCTGTAACGTTATACGATCCAACAGTGTTGTCCATTTCAGATTTGGGCTCAAATTTTTATGCTACACATGACTAAGTTGGAAAGGTCACAAGATAGGATGCAGCAATCAAATCTTTGAAAGAATTAAACCCATATGTGAGTGTGGAAATATACAATGGATAATTCAATGGAGCCAGTTTGAGTGAATTTTCAGTTGTTGTTCTGACTGATATTTGGGATTAGAAATTCATCACAGAAGTAAATGAGGCAGTCAGACAAAAAGGACACGGATTCATCTTGGCCCACTCCTCAGGATTGTTTGGATCTGCTTTCGTTGATTTCTCAGATGTAAAAGTTCATATGGATTATTATAGAAATTTTAAATTTTTGATCCCAATGGTGAAGAACCAAGATAGGCAATTGTGGCTGGAATAACAAATGAAGCGGAGGGCATAGTAAGTACAATTGAGGATAAGAGACATGGATTTTAGGATGGAGACAGCGTCACATTCAGAGAAGTGGTCGGAATGACTGAGGTGAATGAGAAGATATTTAAGATAAAGGTATGATATTAATGTTAATATGAAAAGGTGAAATCACCATATATGTTCAGTATTGGAGACACAACAAAGTTCTCCTAATACTTGAGAGAAGGTATTGCAGTGCAAGTGAAGGTTCCTGAAGATTTTGAATTCAAATCCTTCAATGCTTCATTGACTCACCCTTTCGCACCAGGCAAGAATGAATTGGATTTGATGGATTGGGAGAAGATTGGCAGACCAGAACAATTACATATTTCATACAATGCTTTATTACAATTCACATAGAAGAATGGTAGATTGCCAGGCTTATTGAACTAAGAGGATGCCTAGTAAGTATGGGAATTAGCATAATAAATAAATAACTCAGACAGAGGAGAAGGAGCATTGAAGGCAGAATTGGATGAGAAATTGGTCAAGAACACAGCGTTGTTCTTCTCAGCCTAAATAACTCCATTGACTTCATTCTGGGGGGGAATTGTGGCTCAGGAAGTCGTCAAATATACTGGTAAATTCACCCCAATCAGATAATGGTTGCATAGTGAATTCTTTGAAGCCTTACCAGAGACAGAGGTTAACAGAACTTTGTTGAATAGTCAATATGATGATTACATTGCAATCTTCGGAAGAGAAGCATTACAACAATTATAGAACTCAAAGATATTCATGGTTGGTGCAGGTGCTTTAGGGTGTGAATACATCAAGATGTTTGCACTTATGGGATGTGGAAGCAGTGGTTAAGGTTTGGTGACTGTTACTGATGATGACAACATTGAAGTTTCCAATTTGAATAGATAATTCTTATTCAGAAAGAATAATGTTGGGTCCAACAAAGCAGCTACTGCATGCAAAGTTGGTGAATAAATGAATAAGGCTTCCAAATTCAAATCATATGCTCTGAGAGTAGGCAGATAAAATGAACCAATCTTCAATGATCAATTTTGGGAAGGATTAGATATTGCTATCAATGCGGTTGACAATGTTCATGCTAGAAGATATATTGATTCCTAATGTTGTTATTATGGTAAGCCATTATTTGAAAGTGGAACCCTTGGTACTAAATGCAATTCCTAATTGATCCTTCCAAATCAAACACAATCTTATAGTGAATCATAGGATCCTCCTGAGGAATCTATTCCTTTGTGCACATTGAAAAACTTCCCCTATTAAATCGAGCATACCATTCAATGGGCCAGAGATTACTTCGCAGGATTCTTTGAAGATGGATCTCAAGATTGCATCAAATATCTCGAGAACCCAGGAAGCTACATTAAGAGAATATTGACTGAACTTAAATCTCAACCAGGTGTTTTAAGACCAAAATTAGAATCAGTCAAGAAGTTTGCTGAGGTAGCTGCAAAGCCTTCATTACATGCAATTGTTTCTTTGGCTAAAAATATGTTCTAAGACATTTTCTGTAATCAAATCAAATAATTACTCTACTGTTTCCCTCCTGATCACAGAACCTCAGAAGGATAATTGTTTTGGACCAATCCTAAAAGACCACCCACTCCAATTGAATTCGATCAAAACGACCCTCTTCATCAACTTTTCATCCATAGTGCTGTCAACATTTTCTCATAAATATTTGGTCTACCCAAACAAGACAAATTCGACGAGATAGCCAAACTCTTACCAACAATCCAAGTCGAAAAGTATGTTCCTAAGTAAGTGCAAATCAAGGAAAATGAGAAAGATACAAAGGAAGAGAAATCTGAAGATGATGAGACATAAATTCAACTCTTGGCTCAAGAATTAGAGAAGTTGTCTCTTGGAAACAAGGAAGCTGCTCAGTAATTGCAAGAATGTGCATTTGAAAAGGATGATCCAACTAATTGGCATATCGAATTCCTATCTGCTGTTTCCAACCTCAGAGCTAGGAACTATAAGATCCCAGAAGTGCAACCATTCCAAGTCAAGTTAATTGCAGGTAAGATCATTCCTGCCTTGGCTACAACAACAGCTATGATCGTGGGAGCAGTGGGACTTGAAATCTTCAAGTACATCCTCAAGAAGGACATTGCCAAAATGAGAAATGCCTTCATCAATTTGGCCCTACCTCTCTTCCTATTCTCAGAACCATTGCCACCTGGAGAACATCAAGACTAAGAATACAATGTCCTCTTATTGGGTCCAACCAAGGCAATCCCAGCAAGTAATTATTTAAGTAGATTTGTTTTTAGAATGGACAGCTTGGGACAGAATCACGATCACTTAATAGATGACTCTCGGATAATTCATAGAGTACTTCAATTAAAAGTATGCTGTGAGAGTATCCTCCATAACCGTCGATTAATATATGGTGTATACCAATTACCCCTTACCATCACAAGAGACGTAAGTTCACTCATTAAATTCTTTTTAGTTTGAATAAGGATTTGGGCCTGTTGTATGCCGAAAGGACAAACTAACCTCTTCCTGCTCACAAGATTTACCTAGATTTAACCGTTGGCGGAGAGTTAGATGTAAATGGGGTTGAAGTTAATGCTGATGTTGCCCCTGTTAAATATCAATATAAAAAATGAGTTATTCAATAAATAATAAAATTAATATTTAACAGACATTTATGAAAAATACCTCCGCTTCCAAACAAGCAAACAAAACCAATGCACTCAGGAAGTCCGCTGAAAACTTACCTCCCTTTGCACCCTCAACTGAAAAAGATAAGGAAACCTCCAAGTTGGCTCATCTTGAAAGTAAAAGCACACAATAATAGTAGTTAACTTAAACAGAGTGTGTCTATAACAAGACGCCTTGATGCCATTATTATAAATGATTGAGTACATCCCAGCCATCCAAAGAACTGACAGTGTAGTTAAAGGCTTGATGAGAAAGATCGAAGAAAATGAATCAAAGATTCTGAAATCAGAAAAGCTACTTGAATCCAAAATTAAAAATCCAGATGGAAATCAAGACAAGGACTCCAAAAAATAACAAAAGTAACTTTAGGAACTCCAAGGCAAAGTCAAGGATATGGAATAACAAATGAATAATTTATAGAGGTATTATGATGTTTTCTATTGTTAGGTGGTACGAAGCCAAATTAAAAGAAGAAAATCAAGCATTGTAAAGAAATCTTGAACACAAAATAGAGAAGTCTAAAACTGAAACTCAAAAATCTGTTGGATCAGAAAAGAGAGTCAGCACTGAACAATCCAAAACTCACAGTAAATAAGTATCTTAAGTTCAATCCCAACAACCATAAGAATCCCAATAATAATATCAATATAATGTACTACAAGCGGTTGAATAAATGGTGACCGCCTCCCTCAACCAAGTTAGAAATTAAATCCAGTAAGAAATAGATGAGTTAAGAGAACATGTTATAGCTTCAAAATAATGATACTTATTATCAAATATATATATATATATTTATATCATTATGGCTCTTATTTTATTATTCCTGAACCCTCTCCAGGCTTCTTTATATTGTGTTGCTATCCTTAGTAAAGTCCCATCAATGGATTAAAATTTGGAAAACTGCCTAAGCCCATTTATTATTACAATTGCTACTACAAGTACTATTACTACAAGCTCATTCCAGATCCCAATTATTATGGCAATCCAGATTAAAGTCCCAATTAAGAATTCAATTAGGAATTCAATTGTTAGGCTAATAATTGTTGTTGCAGTTATTAAAAGTTCTGGTTTTATCCCATCAAGGTTTGAGGATTCAATTACCCTTAAGGCATTCCCAATCCACCCAAGCCCTACATATAGTTTAGTGGTTATGTTGGCATTGGATTGCCCATCATACCTGCCTGAGATGGGAAGGATTGCTAATTGAGTTATTATTACTATTATAACAGTAGTAATTGTTGGAGCTGATAATATTGCACGACTTATTGCAAAGCATTAGAATCAGGTTATTAGAATTAGTAAGGGAATGCAGGATTCATGTGTTAAGGTGCTCCTTAAAGTCCTTAGGCAGGTATGTTGATGGGTTGGATTCCAGGGGGATGACTAGGTTTTTGATAAGATTGAAGCTAAATAGGTGGTGTTTATTGGGGCTATTGAGGCTACGGGTGTTATTAAAGTGGTTAAGGGGCAGTAAATGAAGAAGAAGGTTACCCTACTTATTTTTTATTTTATAATTATGGATTCTATTGAATCGGATTGGGTGCTTAAGTAGTGATTGGTTTATTAATGACATCGGCTGGTTTGTTTTTAGGTGGTTATGGTTGTTGTTAAATGGGTTTCTACTATTATTGATTGAGTGCTTGTGGGAGCCCAATATCAGTAGGTTATTGAGGTTGCAATTACACAGGTATCTATTCAGGAGGGATGATGGGTTTCTTGAATTCTTGAGTGGGTTTGTTCTGTTCTTCATTGAGTTTGACCTTCTTTTATGGGAATTGCGACTCTGAGTCAGAATAGTTGTCATCTGAATCATTTGAGTCACTCTCACAAAATTTCTAAGTTAATTATTTGAAAATCTTTAATAACTGATCAAAGCATTATTTATAATTTTCTAAGATTTCTGCAGAGTCTCCCAATTTGACAAATTTGGAAGGAATTTAATCTTCCTTCCTGACTATTTCCAAACAACCAGTATTGAGAAAATCAATGGCTTCAGTCACTTTTTTGTTCTTATTTTGATCATTGTTTTCTTCTATCAACAAATAAAATTGTTTCTCCCCAGCAGAACTCAACTATTTAGTAATGATGTCCTTAGTTAATTGACTTTAGAGTTTTTCCATTATGGTTTTAACATTTCCCTCAACGGTCATAGGATTATAGTAGAGAGACACACAAGTAGAAAATTTGATGATTAAAAATAGAGGATGTTTCACCTTGTGACGAATGTTGGGAGCAGTCAAGTAATTAAACAAACTCTCGAAGTCATTTTCTATTTCTACGTCTTGTTCAGTCTTCCTTTTGTTCTCTCTTTTGAAGTACTTTTTATCTAGCAAGTCGAAGGTAAAGGGTTCTGCATGTAAGTATAATTTCTTTTGTTCAGAATTGCCTGCACTCTTTCGACTGTCTACGAAAATGGGAGGAGAAATGGTGGAATTCAATATTTGAGGCTTTTCAGTATCAGAATTTTGAATGTACACACTCATTAATAAATGAAATTTGACACCTTCATTGTTATACGAGGTTGATGCAAATCTCAATGCCTACAATTAAGATTTGCAAATTAATTTACTGAAAAATATGCTTGACCGTCAATTAGTTCCAATTTACTTGTTCCTCTTAATCCGACATCTTGAAGTATGACTCGACTACCTTCTTGCACTTTTTTCACAGCATACAATTGGGCATACAAATTTTTGGGAGAAAGCAAAAGTTCCTATGTTTGCGAATCTTTAATCTATTAATATGAGAAGGTCATTACTTCTAATCTAACCACAATATTGGGCAAATTCCAGCTCTTATGCCAATTCCATCCTAATTCCTCGGAATATTTAAGTTGTTTCTCAGTGTCAATAACCAAAGTTACATATGGTTCAGGATAGGCCTAAAAAAGTCTATTCATATATTTACATCTCCTTCGGGGTGAGTCAAAACAATTGAAGGAGTTGTTTCTATTTATACTTTATTCGAATTGATTGTAATCTCTAGCGTTTGGGTAGCAGGTACCCAGTCCCATTTTGACGATTCTAGAACGATTTAAATTTTACATGTACCTGTGTTTTGGTTAATCATAGTAGGTGATTTAAAAACGATGTTATATTTAGAAAAAGATTTTATATAATGATTAAAAATGATTTATTGATTCTTAGATTTGTAATCCAATATAGTGTAATGTGAGCATAGTATACAAAGCTTAAATGACGTAAAATCAAAATTTCATATGAATTAACATAAATGCTTTATCAACCAAAACCAATCGCAATCTAATCCTCAAATTGCATCAACCAACAAAATCCTCCACTCTTCTGGATTCAAGTTTACCAGTTGAAAATAAGACCTTTTAAAATTATGCACCTTCGAACAAAATAGGCAAGTAACAATGAGAGACCAGATAACCAACCAAAATCCGATGTTTATGGTGAAAACAATTTTTTATTTCCTTGATTTTCTGGTATTATGGAGAGATAGTGAAGATGGAGGAAGATCATTTTTAAATATAAAGAGATGTAAATAAAAAGTATTGCTAATTATTATTATAATAAATTGATGCACTTATATTTATTCATATTAATTAATTAGTATTCTAAGTATATTATATATATATACATAATATTTATTAATGATTCCTCCACCGCCACCACCTCCTCCTAAATAAGTTCAAAAAGAAGATGCTTTTAGGAAGAAACTGTTAGAAAAATTCGGTAATTTCGAAGGGTCAACCACTGATGAAATCGAAAAAAAATTAAAAAAATCAGAGGACATCGATGAAACCTGTTTTAGTGAAGCTGATGGAACTGGAGTTTTGGAAAATTAACCTCTGGATACTTCAAATTGTACACAATGCGAAAGGTGTTAAAAATGGATAAAAAATGAGTCATATCAACATCATCTAATATGCCATTCTACAAGAGTAAGGCTTTCATATCAATACTATTAAGATTCTAGATTGGTTGTACTTGGGAGCAGCAATCAATTCAGAGAATGAAGTCGAACTTGATCTGAGGACGAATGTCACCTACATTTTGAATGCTGCTGCAGAATGCTAGAATTATTATCCCCAAAAATATCAATATCTGAAATTGCATCTCATGGACACTATTGGGGAAACTATCCTAAACCACTTTGATGAAGCCTATGAGTTCCTAGGTAAACATTTAAAAATAACACCCCAGAAAAATGCAGAAAAGAAGGGAAATGTGCCTTAGTGCATTGTCAGTTGGGTAAATCGAGAAGTGCTACTATTGTGATTCTGTATTTGATGAAACATCTGGGCATGACCCTCAGAGAAGCATTTAAATATACTAAAGAGAAACGATACATTGTCAATCCCAACATCGGATTTATCAGGCAAATGATCTAGTTCGACGAGCAATTATATGGAAAGAGATCAATCACAGCTCATGAGATCAATCCTTTATGTAGTGTGGAGTTTGATTGATGACAAATACAATCCTCTGTATTCTATAAAGAATAAGAAATATAAATCAATTCGCATATAACTAATCTTATGAATATTAAAACAATTATTAAACTCACAACTATTCAATTGGCAACTTTGCATATTCTAAAGCGTCAATGACCCATTAAGGTATTTTACCTTCTCTTTTGTACCATGTTTTCAAAAATCCATTCACAAATTCATTCAATTTACCATCTATAATCGATTGATGTAAATTGAGCATTAATTATATCAAATAATTCAGATTATGAATAGAAATGATATGACAAGCAACCTCCTCTCTTGAAATCAAATAATGCAAATAAGATTAGGTGAAATACTTGCAAGCTTAACATTAACACCCTTTCTAAATTGGCTCAAAAACATTTGCTATTTGATTATTTCTAAGTTTTAGAAATCCATGATCTGTAAAAGCAGTACCAAATCTAGCTGTTCTTGTTGAGAAAACACAATCAAACATATCAACACCTAAACAAGAACACACAACAATATCGACTGGATATCCGACACCCATTAAATAACGAGGTTTATTCGTAGGTAATTTAGTTGTGCATTATACAACTGTTTTCCAAAAGTCTACCTTGAATACTCAAGAATTTTATACTTTATTTTCTCCTCCAGCCAATCCTCCAATTGCATATCCATTGGCTTCTCTCTAAATCAAGTCATTCAAAGATTGCTCTCTTAATTTAGGATCAACTCCTCCTTGTACAATTGGAAATAGGTTTTAGTCATGTTTTCTTTTGTGGGCAGCAATATCTCTGTCCAGCCATCTGGTTGTTCTTTCACTTGCCTCTTACATGCGAGGACCAGTTGTGGCTGTCCTAACAACATCATCCAGAGCCATAATGATATCAGCTCCTATTTAATTTTATGTATGGATTGAATCTTCTGGTCTTAGATGCATTGTTGATCTATCATAAGGAGACTCAAAAGTGACTCCTTCCTCTGTCACTTCAGTGAGCTTAGACATTGAAACCATTTGAAATCCACCACTGTCAGTTAATATGTTGTTTTTCCAATTCACAAAATTATGTAGTCCACCAATTTTTTCTAATAAATCACCTCCTGGTTTGTATGCCAAATGATAAGTGTTAGCTAACAGTAATTTGCATCCCAAATCATCCATCTCTTGATAGGTCACTCCTTTCATTGCTCCTTTTGTTCCTACTGGCATATAAACTGGAGTTTTCACTTCTCCATGAGGAAGTCTCATTATTGAAGCCCTTTAGGTGTTGAATTTAGTAGGTACCTTGCTAAATTGTGAGTTGCTAAAATTGTGAATTCGAGTGGTCTTGTCATTTTGTTTGATTTTTGTATGAGGTATTATTTTGGAATTATTTCGAATTCTTATATAATTTATTAAATAAGTGATACCTCAGAATGGAGAAATTAAGAAGAAGAAGGAGAATGACAGATTGATAAATTAATTCAAATAGAAATGGTTAAAAATACATATCTTAAGTGATTCAATTTTCATTGCAATTTTGTCAAGGCATCCTTATCCTTCTCACCTATGAATCCAATGTAAAGAGTTATGATTCCATTTCCATTTCCTCCCAAAACAAAATCATTTTTTATTGCCCAAGTATTTGGAGCTGTGAAAATAGCAGATAAATCCTATATAGTCACTTCCCCAATTGGTACACAACGACTAAACATGCCTGGATCATGGAATAGATTGATTTGTAAGGGTTTTAGAGCGTCAAGCTTGTAGGGATCCAATATCTTCTTCCACTCCGGAGCTGCTCCCTTCACAGCAGCAGTTGATTTTTCTTCTCCGTTAAATATCACAGTGACCTTTACATTCGAGGCCTTATTGTTATCCATCAACTTAATCTTTTCTGCCTTAATAACAGCAACCTTTAATTTGCCTTTTAAGGGTTGAATCATTTGTGACTGACTGACAGGCATTTTGATTTCTGGATCTGGAAGGAGAGGAGGATCTTAAACATTCTAATCATTTATCCTAAATTGAGCTTGGAGATAGAATTATTGTAGGTTAGGTTGAAGATTGCTGTGTTGGAATCCGTAAAAAGAATTCATCCAAGTTCCTGGCTATTAGATAATGCTTTACAGATTGACAACAGTGTCAGCTATCTACTGCTATTTCTCATCTAACAAATTGATTGTAATTTGAGGTTCTGGATTTTCAAATTAACACTTTAAGTTATAATTAACATCTGCCTACACGAGGTTGCTATTGAATGCTTTTTGGCCCTGAGATACTTTGATTTATGACTTTTTGTCATAGCCAACAATTTTGATGAGGTTGACATGCAGAATTCCTTATTAGGGTTTCTAAGTCTGTGGTTCTGGCACAGGCTGAGCAACTTGCTGTTAAATCTAATTGGGCTAAGCCAAAGAGACGTTGTTCTTAATGGAATTGGGTACCCACTAGAGTTATAAGTAAATTGATCCATTCTTGCCAGCATTTCCATGTTCATCTTTGAGTTGGAATAGACCGTTGATCCAAGTTCCTGGCTTAGCAAAGATGTCATTCAATGATAGTTCTAAGAAGCCAAGGAAGTCACTGGAAACTATGGTATCGTAATCATAGACAGTGCACATAATTGCGATGTCATTGTATTCATGTGATTGCATATCCAAAGCAAATTCTCCACTGAAGTTCCAAACGGGATTAGGATCATCATCAATAGTTTTACTTTTAATGATTTGTTTACTACCTTTGGAAATTTTGAACTCTACAAATGGGTCGCTGTTTCCCATTATATCAGCTTTAATCAATTATTTGGCATACGGAGCAAAGACCCTCAATGCTCCAGGCATTTTAGGTACGGCTGCCAAAGCTTCCTTCTCTTTCTTTATTCTCTCCTGTTCTTCTTGCTATTACCTGGCAATGTCCTCGTATAAATTCTTAGGCTACTATTAGACGGCAGCTCCATCTCCATCAATGGTGAATAGAGCTTGTAGATAAATTTCACTTTTCTATGGGAAGTCCTTCTCATTCAAAAGTGGAATGCGGTAATTCACCCATTGTCCTGACTTCAATTTACTTAGATCGAGTTCACATTTGCCAAGTAGATCATTAGAGTTGTAATCGTAATCAAACACATTGATGTACAGTCTTAATAATGATAGGTCTTCTTGAGTGACTTCTTTGAACAAATACTCTCCGCAGTCAGTCCAAAAGCAATCTAATTTGTCATCCTAAGTCGTGGTCTTAAAGGCAGTTGTGGATCCTTTTGAAATCTTTATTTCCACAAAAGGATCACTCAACCCAGTGATATCTTGGTTCTCTAAATTTTTGAGTCCGATGTAGGTGAATTTCAATTTCCCATTGAAAGTAGGAGGTTTACCTTAATTGATAAACTGTGTAAAGTCTGTGAGGGCAGGTGGATTTTTATCCTGTACTTCTTCTGTTCTGAACTAGGCTTAGAAATACACATAAGACTCAATCAATTTGCCATCGCCATCATAAAGTTAATAATATTAATTAATCCACATACCTGGCTTTCGGAATAAGTCAAGTAATAATACTGTGATGCCTCCAAACACAGTGTCACTCCATGCTGAATTGTAGTTTTTAACAGTAGCCTTTATTCTCTCAGTCAAGATTTACCTTTCACTAATGGACAGTTTGATAATTTCTTCGTAATTCCAATCTGGATTTTAATTGCTGTCTAAATTTTTACATTTGTAATTCTTCTCCATGTCTTCAGTTAAGAAGAAAGTGACATAGGGATCCCCTTTGGGTAATTATCTCGCATTTGGGAATCGGATACATAGATCACCTTCATACATCTTAGGGGGTATTCTTAATCCCACCACGCCCTCATTGTAAGGATCTGGAATCCAAACGAATTACACTTTCAGAGATCCCAAATTTGGATTTCCTTTTTTGCTGGGATCCTTCAAGGGCAGATCTTGAAGCATCACTGATCCTGGATTCTTCTCCAGAATATCAATCAAATCAACTTCACATTATCCAAGGAAATCTTTGCCAACTTCATCATCATCGTAGACATTGAAATTAATGGTGTTCATTTGGACTTGGCATCTCAACAATTCAACCACAAGACTCCCTTGGAAATCCCAAATTGGATCCAATGTATTGTCTTTAATTGGAGTCTGCATTTTCTTAGTTTCACTACTCAATCCGCATTCCACAAAAGGATCACTTTTTCCTGTGATGTCTGCATTATACAATTGGGAAGCAGATATAATCTTCACATCTATCTTGCCAAGGACTCTGCCATAATCATGCTTCAATTCTTGAACGGTGTCACATGCTCTGATGCCTTCAGGAGTAGTCTCCTGCCCTGGAAGTAAGAACTTACATTGAACATAAACTTTGCCCTCTGACAATTGATACTGCTTGTTAATCATCCATTAAGAGGGGTTATTGAAACACTCCATCCATTCGATTTCCACTTCTCCCAGTAAATCATCACTTAGAGCATCTGAGTCATAGATTTACAAAAATATTGGTTTGTATTGTTCTTTGATTAGATTGCAATTCCATTGATATTGAAAATTGAATATTGGATTGATGGTCTTATCAATTTGTTTGCTCTTCACATTGTGAGTATCTGGGAAGGTCAACTTGCAATACGGATCTGCAGTGACTCCGTCATCTGGTTTCAATCCCAAAGCCACAGGGATATTGATAAATAATTTGCCCTTCATGGGCCTTTTGTTTTCCTGTTGTTGCTCTCTCAATATGAAATCCAAATCCTCTGTTAAAGGCAAGGGAGGATCATTATTTTGAATCCCCTACAAACAGTACATAATTTATAAATAGATCTTGCCGAATTCTTTGGTCTTGTACTTCTTTTGCATCTTCTGATCCCCTTGCAAGTCCACTACTTCGTTGAACTTCCACACTTGAGGATTGTTGAAAGTATCCAACAAATCAATGGTGCAATATCCCATCAATTCGTCATTGACCAAATCATCATCAAACACTTCTACTCTTAGAGGCTGAATCGTATCTTTCGGCATAGACACATTTATATTAAAAATAGTTTTCCAAGAAGGATTGATGGTATCAGGTTTAGACAAAGTTTCTACCTTCTTGCCTCCTGGGACTTTGAACACTACGTATGGATCACTTGCTTTGCTATCAGCCACGACCAATCCTCTTGCATGTACCAAGAATATTCTTAATGAACCAGAATAAATTCCTTATTTCGAATTTATTATTTCAAATAGATTCTCAGTCAATGGTGCCTCTGCTTAGTCATCAATCATTCCTCTTTCAATAAATTTGGCCTGAATATACAGGAAACCAATCGACCCAAAGTTCTTACTGTTTGCAGCAGCACTTAGATTGTACACTTAATTGATAGCCCATTCTCCAGGATGAGACACACACTCCTCCCATTACATGTCTACATATCCAATTAAATCATCACTCAAGATGTTGGAATCCTTGACCAATACTTTCAAAGGTGTCTTCCCCGTCTCCTTCTTTACTTTGAATTGATTTCTCAAGATCTAATTGAAAATAGGATTTATGGAAGACGAGATCGTTTCTGTTTTCAATTCCATGCCTCCTGGGAAATTAACAATAACATATGGGTCTGGGGAATCTGCCTTCAATTCTCTGGCATGCACAACTTTGATTACTAGTTCTCCATCTATGAAATTTGGATCTGGATCAGCACAACCACTGGAATCAAATTTATCTTTTGCTTTTAAGTTGGGATCCTTCATGCCCTTTGGAACCCAATAGCATTAGATGTAAATTTAAGCTGGTTGTTTCGCCTTCGGATCAATAACGTCAAAATAATCATTTATAGACCACTTACATGGCTATTCAATACAAGGAGCCAAATCCACTTTACATATACCTAACTCATCATCACCCAGAACATCTTCATCAAATAATTGGAATTCAAGTGGAGGATACGGTGCTTCCTTTGGCATCAATACCTTTATCGATTACAAATCTCTCCATTCTGGATTCAAACTACACTTCACAGTCTTCGATTGTATCTTGATCTCTTTGTCAAATGACTTTATTTTAGCAATGCAATATGGATCAGATGTGTCCCCATCATCTGCTCTCAAATTCTTACCTCTTACAAAGAGAATCTTTAGAGTTCCTTCAATCATGTCATCCAGAGTCAACTATTTCTTCTTCTCCTCCTTAGACACTCCCTCTCGGAATCCCACTATCTGTTAAAACATCGATTGTGGGATGTACCTAATCTTTAAATAGACCTTGGTATTCTCCTAAAGCGAGTAACTCTTTTCTGATAGGAATTCTCCTGGATTCAGCAGACATTCACTCCAATCTATATAAAACTCTCCAAGGATTTGAGTATTTGTTTATAACAGATTTTTAGGAGTCTCCACATAGACCTTCACATAAACTGAATCTATAGGGGCATTTGCTATGCATTTCAAGTCTTGCAAGTATTTACCTTCCCAATACAGATCGTTTGATGCTGTCAATTAAGCCTACGCCTTCTTGTCAATCGACATGAATTTTAGATGCATGAAGAATTTGGGCTCCTTCAATTACTTTAAATCCTACTTCAAAATACACTAGATTGGTATCACTTCTAAAACACCGTCCTCTACTATCGTTGCTGTTATTTTATTTCCAACTACAGGTCTCTTGATTTCCACTCCTTCACCAGGGACAAACTTAATTGCAATATTAACAAACCCTTGAGGCTTAAACATTTTGCTTTGCTCCTTAATGTAAGTAGTGTTCTGAAGTTAGAACTTGTTATTGATTACCCATTGATTTGGCTTATCAATGGTCTGCTTCCACATGATCTTGACATCTCCCACAAAATTGTCCTCCTCAACAGCATTTCGGTATAACCTAATCCAAACATATTCGCATAGATTCTCCTTCAACGCTTACCCTATAGGAAAGATGAAAGCCTACTTAAATTCACTCTGATCGAAAAGAATCACTGATTTTTCCATAACGTTTCCTCCCTTTAATATAATATGACAACACAATGATTTTGAATTGATTTAAGACCCATTAATCAATTACACTTTTAAAAATCCTGTTATCTTTGTAAAATCTTTGGTGTCAATGTTCCACTCTTTAATTTCTTATTGCAATTCTGTTTATGTAGCCTCTATTTCCTCATACGGATTATCCTCATCCTAAGCTTAGATTCTGTCCTGTTCATCAACTACTATTTCTCCCTCACCTTACTCCTCTCTCAACTTCTGATAATTATTCAGAGTTTCTCTCATTTCTTCCAATGAAACTGAGCCACTCTTATCTGAGTCGAATATAGCAAACATGTTATTTAAATCCTTCTAATTCAATATGATTTTCAAAGACTTGAGTCCTTGCTTAAGTTCTGCAGGACTCAGAGATCCTGATCCGTCAGTATCTATCAGTTCAAACATCTTCTCAACTGTGAGGTTTCTAGATTTAATGGCATCCAGTAATTTACAAAACAAGGCCTATTCAAACTATTCCCTTTATTTTGGTCTATCCTACAATATTTAAGCCCACTCCTCAATCCCAATCAATTTCTTCTGTCCCAAAAAGCCTCCAATTCTACATAAAGAATGGATATCTTATTAACTGAGTTTTAGGGAGGCTAGAAATTGCCTAAACTCTTCTTAGGTTAATGACCCATCCAAATCACCATCAAATGTTTTCATTCTTTGTTTCATGGGTGGCGGATTACCTTTCAATGCTTTCAATAACACAATAATGGCATCGTCATCCTATAGATTATCCATCCCACCTGCAGCATTCGTAGGTAACACCTCAGCTTAAATCTTCTATTTCTCCTTCATTAAAATGTTCTTCTCCTCCAACAGTTAATTTTTCTCAAACTCAAATTACTTATTGGCATTCAATCTCTCCTATTGCATCTTCTCCTTCTCCAATTGAATTTAAGCTAAAGTCTACGCCTTCACTTATGACAATTTCTCGTCATTAGATGCCTTGATGGTTTAAAGGCTCTTCAAAAACAATTAACCTGCCTTAGCCCTAAGAGTTTTCTCTTGATCCTTGCTGGCCTATAATTATTCTTTTAACTCCGATATTTGAGTCATATACTCTTGAACCTCCTCCTCTGATATGCCCTGAGGTTAATTTCTTAATTCCTCATTCTCTTACTCCAACCTCTTAATTGTCTAATTCAGTTGTTACTTGTCCTTATCCAACTTACTTATGGTGTCATCCTTACTTTTTAATTACTTATTCAGTGTATCAATTTGTGCTTACAATTTCTCACTATTCGTTTTGTTCTACCTCTAAGTTACTTCCAATTAGGCTCTTGTCTATGCTAAGTCTTAATCAGTTTCGAATAGATGTTGAGCCTTAATTTAAATTTCGGTTTCCAAATCAGTGATTCTAGCCAGATACTCTTATTGCATCTTTCTTCTCATCTCTTCAATTTACTCAGTCCTCTTCACAGCTCCACTGCCATCAAACCACATTTCCCCATAAAATCCATCTATGACATCCTCATTACCACTACCTGAAGGGAGTTGTCTATCAAAGGGACACAATATGTTAAACGTCCTCACACATGCCTCTCCTGCAGGAACATCCTTAACAGCCCCATACAATTCTTCCATTGTGTTGATCCCCTCCATCCAAGATCCTGTGTAAACATAAGGTCGTTTTAGATGATGATTGGCTCGAATCCCCGATTCCTATACTTTTTTCATTATGGTAAAGAACTTTTCCCTAATCCATTAGTTAATTGAAGCAGGAGCCCACTTCACTTGCAGAGGAGGAGGCTCAGCAGAGACAATCTCCTTCTCAACAATTGGAAATTAAGGAGATTGTTGTGGCTATTTATTTGCAACTACAATGGATGATGTTGGTGCTTAGTCTTTCTTTTAATTTGTTAGTTTCTAACCTTAGACAGCCTAATCTAAGAATTTCAAATCTTGATCCTAATTGTTCATTGGTGAAGAACTGTAAACAATCAGCACTTCTCTCGTTCTGTCATTGGCAGCCAACTCCAATGGCGTCTTTTAACTCCGGTCTCTCAATTACATACTTTCCTGTCCTCCTCTCTATAATAAAACTGGGACTGCTCTCGTTTTGCCACCCTCAGAAGCATGATGAATCGGAGTTTTCAAATCCTCATCCAAAGCCATGGGATTGGCCTTGAAATCCAGGAGGGTCCTTAATAAACTCACCTAGTGTTGGGAGGAATTCCACACACAATAATGCAACGGAGTTCTCTTCTTCTGATCAACATCGTTTGACAACTCTGGCTTTGTTGCCAATACCAGTTACAATGTCTGTGCACTTGGACATGAGGCAGCAAAATGAATGCATGATCGACCTAGGGAATCTCTGGCAGTTATATCTGCTCCTGCCTTCAACAATGTATCGACTATTGTTTCATGACCGTGCAAACACCCGTAATGCAAAGGGGTCTTCAGAGTCCTATCCCTACAATTTGGATTGAAACCACTCATCAATAGTATTTCCACTATGCTCAAATGACCCTCGATTGTTGCCACGTGCAAAGGGCTTTTTTTTGTTTAGTCTACGCACTGCTTAATTTGCGGATCCTTCGACTCCTTCAAGTACTATCTCACTTTCACCAGATCACCGCGCGAACAATTGATAAACAAAGCTGAGTGTTCTGAATTGTCTTTCCTCGCCATCCAATTTATATCGAACTTTGATCTGTTCAATCTTTCGAAAGCCTTCACTTCGAATTTCCCTTGCCAATCCAGTCCCGTGTGCTATTGAAAGACCTTCCCAAAATTCGGAATTATCAGTGCTGTGGCGACCTCTTCCAAAGCCAGCCCGTCGAATCCCTTCCTTTAGAACTTCTGTATCAACCCCTTAATCTGCTGATCCGATATTTCGTCAGGCCCCCCAGATCCATTATCAAGAGCTTTATTATAATTCATATTATAAATTAATTATTTTCAATTATACTCCCATTACTTTTCAATCAGTGTAAATTAATCATTTGACATTCCATTTTATTAATGTTAAATGACTTGATTGATTGTGTTCATCTTTTTCTTAACCGAAGTCAATCCCATTAAAAACATTATTAATTTAATATTGTTATTATTAATAAGCATAAATGAACTAAATTTTTAATAATTTACTCATGATATCATCAATGCTCAGTATTTTAATTAGTTTTAAATAAATATATCCTTCTATGAATGTCTTCTTAATTTTGCCTCACCCTATAATCGATTTATTAGCAGTCAAATCAAGGTAGCATTGCAGGATTTCAAATACTAATTTGTAAGGGTTATTAATCTCAATGAGTGAACAGCACTTTTACAAAGAGTAAATAACGAAGACTGTGTTTATTCAATAAAAGTTAATATTAGTGTTCAAATCAAAGGGATTTGACATAAAATGAAATACAAAGTAGATAGATTAATATCATAAGAAATTATTGGCGTAAAATCGGAAGATTGAAAAGATAATTTGCATTATATAGCCTGAATATGAAACGAATTATTTGGTTTATAGGAAGAAAATATAATTGTTAAATTTGGCTCTGTAATCAATGACTTCATCAGTGCCTATATGTGAGAAGATCTGCAGTTTTACAATCAGAATTTGATTAATAGATGGAGAGTACTCCTATATAGTGAATGGAAACAAATTAAATTCTTAACATAAATGAATTGGATTAAAAGGCAATCAAAAAATGTGTGTCTTGATTCCAGGATGTGTGCAAGATGAGTTATTGCTTTATTAAATGTTAACATGCTGATTAAATTCGATTATGGCAATTACTTGAGATTTTTGATTTATTCAAAAAAGACAGAAAAATATGGAAGTGCAGCAGAGAGTGGGGATCAAAGTTTTGGAATATAGGTTTGTAAATTGAATATCGAAAATTGAAAATTCAAATTGGCATACTATAAATAATAATGAAGAACTAAAACAAGAAGTTATCAGCTTAAGATGGAAAATTTATTTATGAAGGTGATATAATTACAGATGATAAGTCAAAATAGATGCTTTATGATGGTTAAGGATATCTATTTAATAATGAGACGAAGTGTTTCTTCAAAGGGACATGGAAAAGGGGGGAGAAAGTTTGTGGAATTGAAACTTTCCCGAATGGGGATGTTTATGAAGGTTAATACAAAGATGGTGTGTTTCATGGCAGAGGATTGATTTATAATAATGTGCAACTCTACCCTGACAAAAAAGGTTAATACCTCTATGACGGGCAATTTGAGTAGGGGTAAAAACATGGCTTTGGTAAAGAATAATACTTCACAGGGGGACGTTATGAAGGCCAATTCAAGTACAATTAGAAGCATGGCCCTGGTAAATTAGTGTTTTCTGACGGATCCTATTTCGTTGGTGATTTTTAAAGAGGTAACTATTATTGTTGTTATAAAACTTAGGATTGCCTAATGGGTTCGGAGTCCATGTCGCTTATTCTAAGGAGAGAATAGTTTCCACCTTTCCTCCACCATCCAATAATGACGATAGACTGGAATCAGAAGCGAAGGAGGAAATCTAGGAGCAGGAATATGAAAAAGACAAATCAGAATATTTATACGAGGGTGAGTTTGTTGATGGGTACAAACACGGGATTGGAAGATTGTATTATCCTAGTGGGTCCTATTTCTATGCCTATTGGGAGTATAATAAACCTGCTCGTGATTTTATTGAGTATATTGCTGAAGGCCATAAATGGAGAATTGTTAATGTCAAATAGTTGCAGACTGACCAGAGTATTAACTTCTTCAAGATCATCCGAGATAACAAATCCTCGTGGATTGAGAAGTGTCCCATTAAGGGCAACAGTTACCCTCCTGCTGAATTAGATGGCTATAAAGGTCTAATTGATGAGAAGGGATTGAAGCGAGAAGATTTTGAGGATCCAGAATTCGACTACTCTGAGCAAACCTTTAGCATCAAGGATGAGAACGACTAGCCAGTTGGTGCACCTATTGAGTTTGAGAGAATATTTGCATCGAAGTACTTCAAGAGGAAGGATTTCAAACTCTTCACTAAAGATATACAGCCTGGGTATCTACAATACTCAGAACAATATTGTTGTTAACAATTGACAGTCGTCTTAAATGCACTTACATTCCATTCCTACCTTTTAAATAAAGTATTTACTAGGAAATACGAAGCAGAGTAATATTAATGTTCTCTATTCTAGAATTGGATTTTATTTCATCAAACTATTTTTGAAAAACGAATGGAAAGAATATATTATCGATGATAAGATACCTGTATTCAAGTATGATAAAATGCCCATCTTCTCCAATTCCTAGGAACCCGAATTGGCCTGGGTGATCTTATTCAAAGCATTTGCAAAGTACAATTAATCCTTCCAATATTTTTCGAATGATAAACTAATGAGAGCTGTTGAGTATTTAACATTGTTGACTGGTATGCCAACTGTGTAATTCTCGATCCCCAATAATTTCGGAGAGAACCAAGAGTACTCTGATTAAGTATTGCATTTTCAAGATATTAGCAAAAAAAAATATGGAAAACCATGTCATAGAAATATTAAAGCACCAAAGTCAGGATTTGTTATTTATACAAAGAGATGGAGGAGAGATTAAAATTACCCAGAAATACAGCCTATCAAATTGTGGACATGCAAGATTCTTCATTGGGTAAGAGGGATGAATCATACTTTCTACTTATTTTGGCATCGAATTAGAAGCTTTCTCTAAAATAAGATATAAACAATTACACTTCACAGGCTAGATAAAAGTTACAGGAAAGAAATTCTTAAGCCAGAAACAACGAAGCTTACTTCTTGATGGAATACAAAGATTTTATCAAACATTTTCAGTATGTCATTATGCTTTGTGCCACAAGTTACCCAATATAGAATTAATAATTGATAGAGCCTGAAGAAAAAGACAAATATAATCAAGAACTAAGATTTTTTTGCAGATTTAGAACAAATTTAACCCAAGATTGCTTAATCTGTGTCACTTAAGATCATTAAGACAAATCGGAAGACTATGTTGTTTAGGAAAGTAAGACATAGATTATTATCTTTAGAAACATTCCCTGTAAGAATTGTGCTTGCCAAAGAGAAGGATTTATTCACGAATAAGAATCAAGTAAAGAAAAAGATTGTGTCAAAATGGTCTGGGTAAGTCAATAATTCAAAATAAGAAAGAGAGAAAGATAAAAAGGAAGATACTATAAAGGCTGAAATGAAATACACTTCAATTTTTGACTAAAACAATGATAAAAAGCAAATTAACCCATACAAATATTGTTTTGGGAAAGGTTAGTCGTCAGGCAAGATGCTATTTAAGGATGCCTCTCTAGAAAGTGGAGCATATGTATTGTTTGTCTAAGTTGAAACAGGAGATAGCAAAGAATAGTTGGATTTAAAAAAAATGAAGTTTTGGATTACTATCCATAGTCAGAAACTCATCTAAATACAAAGACTTGATTAATAGATTCAAGAGTTCTAAAAATTAGTGTATGAGAGTGCTATTGCCATTGCTGACAAACATTCTTAAGACACTCAAAAAATTAAATACTTCCACAAAGGAGATCTCAGTGAGTAAGAAAATGGAAGTAGTGATCTTGTAATAACGCAATATTTTATTAAGAAAGAAGGAACATATTTACAGCATTTGCATAATAAGAGTTCCAATAAAATTTGGAGACAGAAGTTGTATTTCAAGTTGGATAACATGTAGATTATCGATCACAGAGAATCTCAGAAATTGGACATCTGTTTATCCAAGAAATAGACGGCTTTAATCATAATTTAATAGGTGGGAGCAAAAAAATATAATTTGGAAGGAGGAGAAGGAATTTGTATTGTGGACTTATTGCATGATGAGTTGGCAGAGGAGGAATAGGAAGCGAAGAATCATGAGACTGCGACTTTTCAAGAGGATAATTAGCAAATCTTCCAATAGTCAACATCAAAACCTAAATTTGGAAGTTTATTTTTTAAGAGCTGATAGAGAATATTACACATATATTTATTCAATGTTTATCCAAAATTTCAAATAAATTTTAAGAATTATTTTAGCGGTTTCCAGAAATTAATTTAAATTTCAAAATTTAGACACACAAACCCCTAGGAAATGAATCTATTCCCCTCAAGAAATCTTTTTTCAAACCCCAGTTCACCTTAAACTTTTGAACCCAATCCATGTAAGAAGTTATTTGTTAATCCTCCATTTACACCTGAGTTCGGCAATTTAATTAAATAACCAATAAAACTATAAGTAACAAATGGAATTGGAATGAACTAAAAAAAATAATTAGCCTTGAAAATTTGCTAGTAGAAGGAGCAACAGTATTAATTCGATTAAACCAATTCGCCACGTACTCCCACTCAAAGTGAGAGAAAAGCTTAACAATCAACTGGAGAGAAAACTAAGCAAAACCAATTGAATAAAGTAAATAAGAGGAAAGTGTTTCGTAATTTGAATAAGCAATTTGATGGGGAATCGGGAGTACCAAAAAGCAGATATTAGGAAGAATATATCCAAGTAGATGTCTTAGGAAGTGGTTATTTTGGATAAGTTTACAAATGCAAAAATAGATTTACAAATTAAATTTGTGCAATAAAGTGCACAACAATTAAAAATAACAAGTTAAATATAGATTTAGCCAATGAATCTCAAGCTTTGGCATATTTAAATTAAAAAGGAGCATGCAAGAATCTCGTAAGATATTTCACTTCCTGGCAAGAAGGAAACATGTTGTACTTGTTGATGGAATATTGTGATTACAGTGTCAGTTCAAGACAGGACTACGAGGAATTCGAAATTAAAAAAATACTTAAGGATATAGCCAATGGATTGAAATTCTTGCATGAATAACAAATAACACATCTTGATATTAAACCAGAAAATATTCTATACAGTAAGAAGGATGGTTAATACAAACTGGCTGATTTGGGTTTATCAAAGAAAGTACAGCAACGATAAGAAGACGTGAGTGTTGGGGACTTCAGATACATAGCCAAAGAATTGCTTAATCAGACAGAGAAGCTTGATCTTTGCAAAACAGATATCTTCTCTTTGGGTGCCACTCTTTATTAATTGATGACAAGAAAGGAATTGCCATCAAATGGAGAAGAATGGCATCGTATTAGAGATGGCATTCAAATTACTGATTTCCCTGAGAACACCTATTCCCTTAGGCTGAGGAAATTGATTTGTCGAATGATGGAGCCTGATCCTCTTTAAAGAATTAGTGCTAAGGAAATCTTGGAAGATCAATACATTTATGTAAAAAAAGAGAATTATATCAAATGGGAAAAGATACGGGGTTTGATTCTTAGAAGACAATTAGATTAATGCTTAATTAAATAACGAAAACTCAGTATTTGATGGGGGATATTCAATTAATTGAGATTTTCTAATAAAATTTTGTTATATACATTTTGTTTTTTTATGCAAGCCTAAATTCAATCAGAACAAGAAGAAAACAAACCGATCAGAAGTTCCGAGGAGAACCAAAACGAATAATTGAACCAACAACAAGATCGAGTACAATCGTCATCAATACCTGTTAATGAAAAAACTAGACTGCCTCCTAACTCTAACATATATTTGTAAAAGGCTGAAATCAAGGAAGTTTCAAATGTTTGGCCACAATAAGCTCCTTTTTCATACCCAAATATTGTCGCATAATAGATATAATGTGAAGTTAATTAAGGACAACAATCTTCAGCATAGTAATCAGACAACTAATAATTTATGTTTCATTAGAGCATGCAACTTGCACAAGGTTCAAAAATCCCAAATCACCTTAATTTAACTTAAACTCCAAAAATGAGACACTCTTAACAATTATAATGTAGATGGTGCAATCAAGAAGTATTTTCCTAAATCGAAAATAAAATCGGACTGACATAATTATTGCTTTGTCTCTTATTCTTACCTGCCTTAGGAATTGGCTTTATGTTTGTATGTTGTAATGTAAAATATATTTAATCGCATAGACTTATAAAGATTGTTATCATTATTGTTCTCAATGTTCAGGTGAAATGGGAGTAGTGAAATTGATTGATTTTGAATGTTGATATTAAATTTATAATATAATTATATTTTACTATGTTAGCTCCTCAATACATTTTAACGAAATTTCAGGAATTTTTGGAAACATAACTAGAGAATAAACCGAATAAAAATGAAGTAATAAAGAAATTAAGAGACTTTAATAGATATTTTGCAGCAAACAATTACAATGTCAGCAAAGGGTTTGAATATTTTTAGAATAATCAAAACAGCATGCAATAATTGGCACCTATTCCAAAAATAATTATTGACAAACTTCAAATACCAGAAACCACTATGCAGCTTACTGGACAAGGATTGCAGGGCTTGTATTATGCAATTATGATTGGATTATAAAATAAGAAAGGATAATTTATTGCTGACGGGACGGCTTATTAACAATTAAATTAACTGATTAAAACAAATTAAATTCATTAGAGTATAGGACTGTGGTATTTTACAGAGATAGCAACAATTCTTTTGAAAAATAGTATAAATCTTAATTTGAGTAACCATCTACTAGAAAACGGCATAAAAATTAGCGATTAAATTGACATTAAGAATTTGTCTATTGGATAGAGTGCACTTTTAGTTGATAATCTTAAATATGTTATTAATGTTGATATACAATAAATACTTTATTACAAGCCTAATAAAACATTGCACAGATTAGTATTATTGAATTCCAGCCTTCCTAATTGCGTTAAGATTATGATAGAAAATGACATTTATTAAGATGTGCTATTGTTCTCTATATTCTAAGAGGAGTAGAGTAATCCAAGAAATCAATAATAAAAATATCCACCACAACAACAACAACAGTAATACTAATCTCAATAATAATAAATACAATACAGTGGATAATCGAGTAATAAATCAATATCAATTCAGTAATAAGTGAAGATGCTTTTGGAAGAGATGAATCAATAGACAGATTTACTAATAGAGCAAAATCAGTTGAAAACGTTACCTGAATTTAAAGCCTAACAATATGTTAAGTAAATGAAGAATCAAATATTGTCAGAGGAGAAAAAGAAAAAGTGTCTCAAATGCTAATAGGAATTTAGTAGCGATATCGGAAGCATCGCAGGGTAAATTACAAATTTTTGTATGAAATGTTACAAAGAATTTTCAATTTGAAACAATTATCATTGTTAATAATAACAAGCTATATATATATTTTATGGTAATTTTTTGTAATTTCTTTAATAAATACAATTAACTTATTGTAATTAATTGGGAAATTTAGTGAATGGACATCGATTAAGAGAAAGAATTTAACGAAGAAAATAATTAAATAATAGAGGAAGACATCAATTAAATCTAGAATGAAGTGCAAGATATCCAATTCTAATAAGTGACTGATAATTAAGAGAATGTATTAGGAATAAAATAAACAATTAGAATAAAAAGGGTGAAATAAGAAGAGTGCCAGTTCCTCCTCATAGAGTGACTCCTTTGAAAAATAATTGGGACAAAATATTGACAACCATAGTGGTATTTATTTAATTGAAATTACAAGGAAAACATGAAGTTGTAAATAAGAATGAATACCAAAAAGAAGTGTGTAGAAATAAAAACATCTTAATTTACAGAGGACAAGACTTCATTGCAAAGAGGTGTAGACTTTTTGAAGGCATTCATGATGGGTACTAAATTTGACTGAACAATTCTTAGGATTTGACATCGATGATTCAGTGGCTCTGCTGAGATTAGATGATTTGTATGTAGAATCATTTGAAGTTAAAGATGGTACAACATCATATAATTATTAAAGTTAAAACCCTCCATGGAGATCATTTGTCAAGGTGTATTGGTCGTATTTCTGGTGAAAAAGGAAAAACTAAATTTGCAATTGAGAATGCAACAAGAACTAGAATAGTTCTAGCAGATTAAAGAATTCATATTCTTGGAAGCTATTCAAATATCAAAGCTGCCAGAGATGCAATTTGTGCTTTGATTTTGGGAAGTCCTCCTGGAAAAGTCTATTCATAATTGAAGTCTCTCTGTAGAAAATATGTGGAGAAAAGCTGAAATTATATTCGTCTATCACATTCATTATTAATAAATTTATCATAAATATAGGAATCTATTCTATTCTAGTGATTAATTTTAACTCAAATATTAGAATATGATCATTAAATTTTTGTTATTTTTCCTCTCCATATTCTGTTATCAACATAATACTCATATTTCTAGTGCATTTATTCATCAGTCCTAAATGCTTATAAGTTATTGTTCAAAATTAGTTTTTCCCATTAAGTCCTTTATTATATAGAATAACTAATAATAATAGTTAGTATTTTATCCTGAGATGATGGAATAATTCATTTATGTCCTAAATTGAGAGATAAATAATTGATATATATATTATTTTTATAAATTTTGTAATTAACAGTTAAATTATATGATTAGATTTGGAAAGTCACCACAGCTTATTTAAAAGAACCCAAAAAAACCAGATAATCTAGAAATTCTAACTCTATTAGACAACTGCACATGTAATGCATATATTAAAAATTAGTAATTTTCAAGGATGACAGGATAGCATTGAGAAACATGGTAAAAGATAATAATCAAGATGTCATAGCAATACTGAATCATTATAAAAAGGGCAATAATTTTAAAGACTTATCTACCGACTTACGAAAATATCTTAGAAGGAAGGGAGACAAAGAAAACGATAAAGTTCCTACTTGTTAATCTCCTACATCCAACAGAATATAAAAAGTCTAACAATTACAAATCTAGCCTTAAAAAAATAGTTAAAAGAAATCCTGCCCTGATTTATGGAAGCCAGCTGAATAGCAATCTCCTAAGGCAATAAACTTATGCAAAAATAATTAGTTTGTCAATGACGTTCAATATTCAGAAATTGTACTTTCAGATAGAAATCAGAATGAGTCCAAAGATATCGAATAAATTTAATTTTAAACTAACGTCTCTTAATAATACGCATTTCATCAGCCCCCTACCAATTAACTAGATCATTCATCAACAATTCAATAGAGCAGTTAATTATAAAATAGTTAACAGCATTAATTATAAGATTAAGACTTAGATATCGATGAAGAAGATGACATCCAATCCGAATCCTCTAATGAAAGCATTTTAAATTAGATTTCTTAACCACCTCCTTAAACCTAAGATATCACTCCAAAAAATGAAATCAAGCCATCTTAGCTATTTCAAAGTGGGCATTCAACATATCTACAAATAAACACTTGTTAATCATATCTTTAACCAATATTGACAATTTAAGAAAAATCACCAGTCCAACTTAAATCACCTGAAACCGAAAATAAAATTGTCGTCAAGGACTCTCAAAAATACTATAGCTTTTATAATTATCAAGATTACCAAAAGGTAGCCCAGCCCTAATATAAGCACTTGTTTACTCATTGGCCTTCGCTATTACATAAATTAGATAGACCTGAATATGTTCCTAATTACAGAGTTGTTCCTTATATTAATTCAACACCTGAACAAATATTTTCGATTCTCTTTCCAAACTCTAGCAAAGCCAAAATCAGTTACTTTGCATTTGAGAACCAATTAAAACATAATCTATTATAAATTGACCGAGACTCACTCTTCAAAGAATTAGATAAAGACTAAGATGATTGGATAAATTATAGAGAAACTGGAGTTATTCTAGAAGGCTTATGTTTGTAAGTAGAATAACCTAAGAATTGTGTAAAAGTCATTTTTGAAACTTTGAAAGGTTCCCCAACCATCCCTAACACTTTGACTCTTTCAGATCTTGAACTATTTGAAAAAAAAACAGATTTTTAATTTGCTAGATAGTATATTTCATATTTTTATGACCTAGATTAATGTAGGAAGTAGATGGAATTTAATAAGGGCATCTAACTTATTGGGATTTATATATGCATCGTGACATTTACCTAATGGAGAGATTATGTTAAATAGTTTCATAAATTACAGGTGCTACTCATAAACACTAATGACTTTGAGATTATTATTAATACTTATAATGATATAGATTATTAAGACTCTCTCTGTTAATATCGTTAAAAAGAATCAAGACTTATTTTTATGAAAAATTCTATTATTTGTATAATTACAGAAAACTTAAATGCTTAATATATTACAAATTTCATAAAATACTTAATAAATAATATAGATATATTAACTATTAAATAAAATTATATGAGTTTATAACACATTTATTCATTTTAAATAACTTGGAATTTGTAAGTGTTTCCCTTCAATGCTTGGTTCAAGTTTTCGTTTATTGATATTCTATATCTGAATTCCCTAATTCTTTATAATTGTGTAATTCTTCATTTATAATTTTTACTTCTCTTTAAACAATTCCTAATAAAACTAAAATGGACTAGTAGGTAAAAGGCTAAGTCCTAAATTTAAATTTTATTAAATTTGATGTTACTCTGAGTAAATTGTCCTATTTTACGCTTTCTATTTAGATGCTTAATACAAAGTTAGGTTTTGATTATTGATAAATTAATTTGGAATATTAAACTGTTATTTCCTATTATTTTGACTTACGCTTCTGTGTTTTGTCACAGAAGAAGATCTTGAATCACCATCCTCCCTCATAATTACTAAAACATCTTATTAAGGAGAACTCCGTTCAATATCTCTAAATTGCACTTATGGACTATTTTTAAAACGAGTTGATTGAAAATCCATATCAACTTAAATTCCTTAGTCCTAATAATTAATTTCTTATATCATTAGATGTTCTTTTATTCTAACCTTCTCAACCTATTTTTAGAATCCATTCGAAGGTGTTTCTATTAATTACTATTAACTCTTTTTATCTCTCTTTATTGCGATACTTTCACTTTTTCTATCTTTTTGGCTAATCTTGGGTGTGTTGATTTGGGAGTAATTTTGAACTCGATTTGATTTCGGAGTTTAATTTGTATAATTGGAAGTCTTTTGGGTTCCTTTTATAGGGAATTTATTTTCCATATTTGAGAAATTTGCCTGATCTTTCGGACTGGTTGCCAAGTCAGTGATTTGCAATTATATCAGGGGTACTTCTGGAGACTGGGATTGATGGTATTAGAAGTTGCTGTCCTCATTCAACTCCTAGGAAATAGCATATCTAATCTATATTACCAAAATAATGATACATCGAAAAACTCTGTAATTGTTTCTGCCTCTCTTTTCAGTTTACTCTAATGAATAATCTACTAAGCAATAGTCAATTAAAAGAATGTAATTAAGCTAGATTGTATTTCTGGATCGTCATTTTGTAGGAAGTCTAAATTAATTCCGCTTTTTAAAATAGCCAATAAATTTAATTTAGATGGATAGCCTAACTTTTATAAAATTGAGCAAAAGGGTTTTGTTATTAATTTAACTGTAGATTCGCTATTTTACAAATCCTACTTTAAGGATTGAATAGTTTAAGATAACATTGATATTGTATTTTTACATTTTTAAATTTCTAATTATTAGGATTTGTACTTCTATTCAATCACGCTCTTTTCTTACTCAATTTTTATTATATTGTATTGAGCTTACTAATAATTTTAAATCAATTTTTCATAATCTTTTACAGTAAATTCATCATTTACTTATTTTAGACAATGATTAATTCTTTATTTCAATTCGTACAAGCTGTCCTCATCTAATTCTTATTCAAAAAGCTGATAAAATTTAGAGAAATTTCTCCATCTTGCAAAAGTAGACTTCATAGTAATTTTTCTAATCAATTGTGGATCAGACAAATCTCTCTGTTAACTTTTTAATTTCTTCTCATATTCTGATGATAGATTTAATTGTTGTTCTTTTAATTTCTACCATAAGAGTTCGAGTTATTATTCATAAACTTTATTTACACTTTCCTCACGAGATACTTAGAGTTCTTCAATAGTTTAATCTTTGATCTTTATTTCTTATTTCAGATTGTCTATTATTTGAATGTTCTCATCTATCATAATCTTTAGTTAATCCTCATATAATTATTTCAATCTTTAGAACATTCTACTTCCAGATGAGTTTTTGGAGATAAGTTCATCTATTTCCCTATAATTAATTCCATATCCACCAATTTAATTTTCAAAAACCTGAAAAATTATTTTATTGCCAACCTACTCCTATATTTGCTTCCAAATCTTATATGGATCCTTCTCTATCAAAAATAGCATTTTAATGATGGATTAGAGTGTATTATTTTATAAGAGAACTGAAATAGTCCTCTTGTGGGATTCACATTCGGTACTAAGAGCAGTTAATTCAATTTTATATCTTTGGACAGTCTATTAACATTATTTCTATAACTAATTAAATTTATCTTGAATATAGTTCTACAATTCAGGTTCTAATGCCTATTTGATATCGAAGTAATTAACTTCAAAAAATTCAGCATCTGGATTTTCCAATTACCTTAGAAACTAAAATAAAAGAGGATATTTACCATTAATTTGAGATGCTGTATATCTTTTAAATAGTTTGTGGTCATTTGCAAAATTTATTCATCTCTTTTGGTTACTTTAAGGTTAGTTTCATATAATAACTGTTGGAGAGTATTTAGCTGAGTTAGATCATTTTCTGAAACTGGAATATCAGTTGGTTTATGTTCTAATGAACAGATTTTGTGAATTTTAGGCTTTTTTTGCACAATGGAATCAAATTCATCACTGGAACTTTATTCTCCTGATTAAAAGCCTTCATTCTTAAATATGTTTCTAAAGTGGTTCTTCCTCGAGATAGAATTCAAATATTGTTGTATGTTGAGCATGGTTTTATCGATCTCCGAGATTGTAAAATATTATTCAATGTCTTGTTCTATTGGAATATGAAATAAGTAAATTACACAATCTTTTAGAAACCTCACAAGGTTGGTTTCTAAAATATCCTAATTTAAATTTCAAATCCATACATTAGTCAAAGAACATTGTTCTAATTGCAATTTGAGAGTGTTGCATAGTTTATCAATCAATTTTAACATTTAATTGTTTTATATTAATAAAATTAAATGGAAACAGTACTTCAAGAGAGTATACTTGCATTGACCTTCAATCATGAGAGAAGTAGTATAATCTACTTGGCTCAACCAAGTTTTTAAGGTGAAAATCCAATAAATGAGTTGATTGAATTGGATTTGCACAATCAAACTGTATTGGAGAGGTAATTAATTACGATTGAAGTTTTAGATACATCATATCAAAGTAATTGCCAAACCAACCACCTTTTATGCTGATCACTTCTAGAAGGAAAGGATATTTAATTTTGGCATTCCAACCATCCTTGATGGAGATATGGCAATTGGGAAGTAGTGCACAAGGATTCAATCAATCCATTTGGTCAGGTGAAACCAAGGGCAGAAGTGGATACGAAATTTAACATGCTGATGTGAGCAATCTGGATGTAAGTTTTGCATTTTACTACTTAAAAAGGGCATTCTATTCTTTAGTGCTATAGATCAACGAAATATTTATTGTGCCAATATTGATGACACAATTCAGTCGAATGGAAATGAATTGATTTTAAGTAAATTGAGATTGCCTGAAAGAGTAAGCGTCAACGATCTGAAATGTCATCCTACAGATTATAAAATATGCAGTGCATGTTCAGATGGATTAGTAAGAGTATGGAATCAAACCACTTACACTCAATTAAACAGTATACAGGATGAACATAACATAATTATCTCGCTTGCATTCCAATAAGATGGACAAAAGTTGCTGTGTGGATGCGATAATGGAAAGGTACTTAAATCAATACTATAAACAATATAGATCTTGTGTTATGATGCAAAGACGCTAGGAGATAGAAACATACTGTTGGCCATCTATTAATTAGAGTAGAATCATAACAATGGGATTTTGTGTTTACATTGGGTAAATTACAACGGAGCCATCAATTGCAGTTAATTTTTGGCTTATCTCTATGATGGAAATATCAAATTGTTAAATATCAAATTGCTTGTACCCTAAGATATGATCAGAGATCAAAAGGTATCCAAATCAAAAAAATAAGAACTCTTTGGAAGCATCAAAGAAATTCAAAATCTATAAGCCATTAAAAATGATCTAAAATACAATGCCTAGCGACAATAACCAAATATTGGATTATCTAAATTCATATAGATTCACCCCTATGCCAACTTTGTCAGTCTTAATTCCATCAAGACATTGCCGGATTAAACTCTCCAAAGCCAGATATTCTACTAATACAAAACGTAGATCATTCTACTCAATGATAACACCAACCTCTTGGCTGAATACCCTGTGTGTTCACAATAATATTAATATTCCTTTTAGGAACTTTTTCCAGATGAGAATAATAGAATCCTAACCTAAAGATATCTCTACTATATTGATCAACACACCATGGAAATCAAATAATATTGTCTAGCTAAAGGAATATTGAAATCAATTGCTAATTTAAGATAGATGATTTTGGTTGAAAATCCGATCTTCTACCAATTAAGCGTGAGACCAAACTCTCTCAAATTCGCTTAAAGAACACAGTTCCTCTTAAGTTATAAGATAGAAACTACCTATAGATGTTGTACAGTCATGTCTAATGATGGAGTATTATCGGATAACTTAAAGGAATATCCTGCCAGATTTTCCATGTTCTTAGGTGAAGAATGTTGGGCAAATCCTCCATTGTTTTTGTTGTATGAGGATAGATCAAGCTACAGTATAATATTCGAGGATACTCTACCTTAGGAGGAAGATATGCTAAAATTATTGAATAAATAAGACAAGGATAAATTGCAAAATCAAATGAAACAATCATTAAATTTAAAAGTCTAAAGAATGTTTTGGACTCCTTTGAGATCTGGGTTCGTTGTAATTTATCAGCCAATGAATGAAAACATCCTGAAATTTAGTAGAAATAGAAATCCAGATAATAATCTCTTAGATCTATTAATGCAAAGTGGTTCTGAGATGATTTTCAAATTTGGGAGCGACGAGTAAGTGACAGATTTAGTCTGGTAGAAGGATCAACACATTGGAGCTGTTGTCACCATTCATAATGTGTATATAGTAGATGATAGTTTGAACACTCTCAAATTGATATCACTTCAACCTTAAGTGAATAAAAAGTAATTGCAATTATGATAAATTAGGAATCGTATTCTTCTTACATATTGGATGGCTCAGACCTTAATTCTATAAACAAAATTCCACATACTTTATGTTTTGCTCAATGGCACTTGTGCCTCGATATAATCGATTGATAATTATGAGGAAAAGAATGTGCTTTCTGCTTTGTTGTGGGATAGGATGATTTTGCTATGTTAGAGGTAACTATTTGTTTTTATGATTAGTCATTCCAAAAAGTAAAATAATATAGAAATCAAAACAAAATGGATCAATATTCTATAACCCATTTTGCAAGGGTATATCCACAATAAAAGATTCTTTAATTAAGAAGTAGATGAACCTACTATTACTAAATTGCTATTGACTTTTGCAAATCCAAATATTGATTATTCTCTCATTAAAGACTTAGAATAGTAAAAATAACACATTATCATAAAGATTCGTCTCATGTGCCAAGTTTATTATTTAACTTGATGATTGCAATTAGTTTACTAAGCATCAAAAAGCTAAATTTTTCATGAATACCTTGGATCATGAGAATTTAAATGAAACATTGTTTGGTGGTGCGGGAATCATTAATAATGATGACTTGTAATAGCAATTGATCAAAAAAATCAAGGACAGAAGATTCGAATACTTAAAAGTCCTCCTTGAATAAGCAAAATAATATTATCTTATGACATTTTAATACAGGATTGCCGCAGAAATCGATGCAATCCTTAACAAATAACCTAATTTCATTATTTAAATCTTAAAAAGGCAGAAATAAATAGATAATATCGATTAGTATTTGACTAAAGAATACACCACGAATGATGAGGCAATACAATTGGCGCATAAGGTCCAAAATCAAGGTAATATGTTCTTCAGAGACAATATTAAACAATTAATAGAGTTTTTGACTCAATAATAGCAACAGATTAAGAACAATTCAGATACTCAAAATATGCTGCCTTCTTATTACTTTACTGATTACTTATTAGAAAAGTTACAACAATTATAAAATATGAAGTCTTTGCAAAGTAAAGTGGAATTTGGCAAGGATAAATTCAATTTAATTTATGAGGATATTAGGAATGATGAGGATGAGGAAGAGACTGTTGTTGATAACAAGGTTATTAGAATATTTGATAGATTAACTTACGATACCATTGGTTTCTTTTTAGGTGTTGGTGGACAACCATAATCTCAATAAGTTAACAATATGCTTGATGCAAAAAATGATGATGAGGATGGCAAACAAAAATAAGATTAACAATATGATTTCAATGACAATAGCACTAAAGAATTCTAAGAACTTCTCATTTATTGGAGAATAGATGAAGGAAAGGGCAATAAAATAGGAGATTATGGCAATTATAATTGTGCTGGTGATATTTATGTAAATAAGGAGGTTAGCTCAGAAACAGAGAATTTGTGGGAAAAGTTAGAAGAAAGTGACCCTATGGATTATCAAGATCTATGGGGAAATGTTTGTAATGCATAATAAGGGTTTGAAATCGGTCCTCAAGCAGGAATTCAAACAAGGAAAAAGAATTATTGGAAGAAGAACAAACTTTCAGATTTTACAATTGAGATGTGGATCAAACCATTATAGTCATCTGGACAGATATTATAAGTAGATCAAAATTTTATACTCAACATAAATGAGTTAAATATTGAAGTTATTATTGATGGATAAATTGTGTAATTCAATATTGATGAAAACGATGAGTATAACCCTATGAATTAACCGTAAGTTAAGGTAAATTTTTGGAATCACATTTGTTTATCCTATGAACAATCAGCAAGTGTGTTATATTTATATATTTAAGCCAAATATCAATTTAGTTGTCAAGAACTTGAAATTTCTAATGAACTCTTTAAGAATAAAAATTTGATTTTGGGTCAAACAACTCAAGAGCCAAATCCAAAATATCCAATCATTAAGTGCTTAATAACAGAATTCAGATTTTGGAAGCAAAAGTTTTAACTCAAGGAAGTCCGAGATGGCTATAGATAGCCTCTGCCTATTGTTCATGAGAAATAGAAGGAAATTAAAATTGATATTAAATAAGAATCCAAACCCAAACCTACCACAGGATTGAACGCATTTTAGGGATTGAAATTAGATTTCGCCTTAGAGCCAATTGAGGAAAAACCAACCAAAGAAATATAGTAGGAAGATGATGGATAAAACGTATAACAAGTAGAACAACCAAACTCTGATTTCGGTTGGTTTGGAGGGTCGTAACCAAATTAATAATAGAATAATAATTTTGAATTCGATAGCAATTTTAATGCATTTGCTTAAGCTGCTGTTCCTCAAAACTAATAAGGAGAATGGGGAAGTGACTTCAGTGAATTTGCAAATTTTGATCATCAAAAGCCTACTTAGAAGAACGATTTTTCTTCTTTTTCTAATGAAAATCCAAAACCTCAAAAAACTTAGCAATAGTAAGAGTAAAAAGTTAAGGATGAAACGAAACCAGCATAATAATAAAAATAGAAATAAGAATAGCCGAAAGTAGAATAATAATAAGTCCCTAAATAAACAGATAAATAATAATCATAGTAATAATAATAATAACAATAACAATAATAATAATTACAACAAAATTAATAAGTCCCATAAAAAAATTCTATATAAGAAATTTAACAAATAGTTGATCAAGCAGTTAAATCATTTGGTCTTAAATAAACAAAAGAAGGGGTAGATAATTTGACAAAAGCATTTTAAAAACTTAATGAATATTTGCAGGGAAACAAAGAAAAGCTTTAAAGAGTATTAATATTATTATATAATTAAGATATAAAAATTCATTGTCCATTGTGCTTAATATAGATTTGCCTTTTAGCTACTGATTGGAATAAATTAAATGCATGAGAAAGGCAATTTTAAAAAAGAAATCTATATGCATTTAATTTTGATTCATTAAAATATCATCCCGAGCCACAAACTTCATTGGATCATTTAATCAATATTTATTTGTATTGAATATGAAAACACAGCTCTTGCAGAAACATTACTTAATTAGTTGAAGTAGAGCTTAGATAAAGTTAAACTTACAGAAGAAGATGATTAATTGCTAAAGGAGTGTGAATCAAAGTTAGCCAAAATTCAAGATAAAAAAAATTCTGGATTATACAAATTGACATGTCCTAATTGTAAAAGTCACTTCCCATTCAAAGGGATAAAGAAATGCAATAAATGTAATAAAGATTTTTTTATTTGTCAATTTAAATTGCTATGCATATCTAAGGTTGATTGTCTGAAATGCAAGGCTTGTGAATCTGTTTTCAGCAAGGAGTCAGGGTAAGTTGGTTAAAGGTGTCCATATTGTCATATAGATGTTTTGAATATACCTGGCGCTTGATTTTGATTATTTTATTCATTACATAACAATGCCTCTAATTTATTAAATATAAGTGGAAAGAGAAAAACATATATTAAGAAATAAGGTTTAGTTCTTTATACAATCTATTCTCTTCAGTTTTGAGAATATATTTGGTTTGCTTAACAAATAGAATATTTCTTTAATGTTAAAATTCGAAATGACGGGCCATTCCTTTAGCAACTTGTTATAATTATCCATTAAATTTTACTAAAACCAATTATGGAAAGTATGATGATAAAAAATCACCAAAGTTCTATTAATCAATTTAATATTGAATTATTTGCTATTAGAAAATCTGTTAGATATGAAATATCAATAGATCTAACAAGATTTAACTTAATTGAGATAGTAAATCTTAATTATATATGTATGCTTAGTCATGTTTGATGATAATTTAAAAATAGAATGTGGAATGCTAAACTACCAAAAATAGTAAATCTAGCCTTGATCGATTATTTATGATATTTAAAATGGAGGACAATGCTTATTAATATTAGCATTGAAATATACTTTATATTCATTTCTAATACTGCATTTATTTAAATAATATTAGATAAAAGTTCTACAATCTAGTGTTTAATTCAAATATCATAACTCCTTTGATGATAAATTGAAAAAGTTAAGGAAATATGGTTAACGACTTTTTCAGACTTTCGGTTATTGCGTGCTTTAGGCTTATTATTTAAAAAAAGTTTAGGTTTATTAATGTGACAGCTTAAATATGAGTTATATTAAATAAACTGGAATTTTGTGATTTATGCAATTTTAGATTCGATTTTGATTAAAATGTCTAGAGAAAACAATATAATGTAAAGGCTTTTTAGAAAATGAGTATTAGATAGCTTAAAAGTGATAATCTCTTATAAGTAAGATGGGTTTTGGAATATATAATATATATAATAATAAAATATGAACGTTTAATAAACAAAGACATCATCACTTAAGGATTTTTAAATCATTTAAGAGTTAGGGAAGGGATCATTTAGTACAGTTTACAAGGTATATTTGGTTTTTAACAGTAGGTCAAAAGAATTGCAGATGGCTAAGAATATGCATTAAAGAAAGTGAAATTAGGATCTTTAAAATAGAAAGAAAAAGAGAACGCACTAAATGAAGTCAGACTATTGGCTTCGATTAATAGCAAGTATATAGTAGCCTACAAAGTAACATAACGAGTGATAAATATAGGAAGCCTTCTTTGATGATGAATCTAGATGTTTATGTACCGTAATAGAACTTTTATCAGGAGGTGACGTGTATCGTAGAATCACTCAGGCTCTAAAGGGAGGCCCATTATTCTAAGAATAAGATATATGGAAAGCTTTGATTCACATGATTTTGGGGTATGAGTTTGTAGTTAAGTAGATTGAAAACACTTCATGATTAGAAGGTAGTGCATAGAGATTTAAAATCAGCAAATGTTTTTCTTTCTAGAGATGGAACTTTCAAATTGGGAGATCTGAATGTGTCGAAAGTGGCTAAGCAGGGATTTGTTTATACTTAAACTGGAACACCATATTATGCTAGTCCTGAAGTGTGGAGAGATGAACCTTATGATTTGAAGAGTGATATTTGGTATCTAAATTTAATCATGTATAAGGTCCTTGGGTTGTGTTNATTTAATATTGAATTATTTGCTATTAGAAAATCTGTTAGATATGAAATATCAATAGATCTAACAAGATTTAACTTAATTGAGATAGTAAATCTTAATTATATATGTATGCTTAGTCATGTTTGATGATAATTTAAAAATAGAATGTGGAATGCTAAACTACCAAAAATAGTAAATCTAGCCTTGATCGATTATTTATGATATTTAAAATGGAGGACAATGCTTATTAATATTAGCATTGAAATATACTTTATATTCATTTCTAATACTGCATTTATTTAAATAATATTAGATAAAAGTTCTACAATCTAGTGTTTAATTCAAATATCATAACTCCTTTGATGATAAATTGAAAAAGTTAAGGAAATATGGTTAACGACTTTTTCAGACTTTCGGTTATTGCGTGCTTTAGGCTTATTATTTAAAAAAAGTTTAGGTTTATTAATGTGACAGCTTAAATATGAGTTATATTAAATAAACTGGAATTTTGTGATTTATGCAATTTTAGATTCGATTTTGATTAAAATGTCTAGAGAAAACAATATAATGTAAAGGCTTTTTAGAAAATGAGTATTAGATAGCTTAAAAGTGATAATCTCTTATAAGTAAGATGGGTTTTGGAATATATAATATATATAATAATAAAATATGAACGTTTAATAAACAAAGACATCATCACTTAAGGATTTTTAAATCATTTAAGAGTTAGGGAAGGGATCATTTAGTACAGTTTACAAGGTATATTTGGTTTTTAACAGTAGGTCAAAAGAATTGCAGATGGCTAAGAATATGCATTAAAGAAAGTGAAATTAGGATCTTTAAAATAGAAAGAAAAAGAGAACGCACTAAATGAAGTCAGACTATTGGCTTCGATTAATAGCAAGTATATAGTAGCCTACAAAGTAACATAACGAGTGATAAATATAGGAAGCCTTCTTTGATGATGAATCTAGATGTTTATGTACCGTAATAGAACTTTTATCAGGAGGTGACGTGTATCGTAGAATCACTCAGGCTCTAAAGGGAGGCCCATTATTCTAAGAATAAGATATATGGAAAGCTTTGATTCACATGATTTTGGGGTATGAGTTTGTAGTTAAGTAGATTGAAAACACTTCATGATTAGAAGGTAGTGCATAGAGATTTAAAATCAGCAAATGTTTTTCTTTCTAGAGATGGAACTTTCAAATTGGGAGATCTGAATGTGTCGAAAGTGGCTAAGCAGGGATTTGTTTATACTTAAACTGGAACACCATATTATGCTAGTCCTGAAGTGTGGAGAGATGAACCTTATGATTTGAAGAGTGATATTTGGTATCTAAATTTAATCATGTATAAGGTCCTTGGGTTGTGTTCTTTATGAAATGTGTTGTTTGTAAACACCATTCAGAGCAAAAGAAATGGATGTCCTTTTTCAAAAAGTCTAAAAAGGGATGTATGATTAAATACCAGCCAAATATTCAAAAGATCTTGCTTATGTCATATCTTTGTTATTAAAAACCCAATCTTCTTCAAGACCGAATTGTGACGAACTATTAAAAATACCCATTATCCAAAGCAGAATGAAGAATATTGAATCTTGCATCAATCATTAACCATAAAATTAAGAACTTTTGAAGACAATATAAATCCCAAGAACTATAGATTAATTAAATTCTCAATTTCCAAAATCTAAATACGAAAATGAATTTATGAGTTTTGAGAGGAATATTGAAAATAAATCTACAGAAAATTCATCAAGTCCTTTTAGATCTCCACAATAAATAACGAAAACATAGTAAGACTCTCGAATAAGCTAAGGAAAAGATAGATAAGTCACTGATATCACAAAGAGTCTAGCCTACTTAGAAAGATAGAATAAACATCCTTTGTTAGTTGAAGGACCTAGGCCATCTGCATCAAGAAAAATGGAAAAACCAAAATCTGCTTAACCTTAGCTTCGCAGTGAGAAAGACGAAAAAGGATAACAATTAGGAAATTCGAGTATAAAGAATTCATAAGTTAATAATAAATACAAGGAGTCTGAAAACCTTAGAATGAAAAGGGAAAACGAACTTAAAGCTTTATAAGAACAATAAGATTTAAAATATCGAGAGTTAAGAAATTTGAAATAAGCCCGAGAAGCTTCAAAAGGTTTAAATGCTGAAAATAGACGAGTTTCTCCTATTTCCTAAACAAAATAAAATGAATAATATAGACCTTATCAATAATAGCAAAGTGTACAAAAACAGTCTTATTCTCCTATTACTAGAAAAGTAGAAATACCTTAATATAATAAGTAAATATATTAAATGATTTTTTAGTAATAGAATAGTATAAAGTCAATTATAAAGTAGACCTCAAATAAGTTAATCTATTAATATTAGTAATCCAAGTTTATAAATTCATTCATCAGTATCTCAACAAGAGATCCCAACAAGCAAAAGACAATAAATCCCACAATCAGCAGCTCCGATTACTTAAAAATACTCATCAAACCAATAATAAAGGCCAACATCAGATAGATATTAACATCCTTAATCAGCATTACCAACAAGAGTAGATTAACAGAAATTAGATAGATAATAAGTATTTCCAGCTTAAGCAAGAGTTGTTAAAACTAAATAAATTGAATAAAAAAGTTAATAAACAAAATAATCAAGGCCATTATCTTCAAATTTAACACCTAATGAGAGATTAGTAAAATAAGAATACTAACCTTAATATAATTAAATTCAGGTAAATTATAATCATTATTATCCAATCGAAACCTATTAACGACATGCATCAGATTAAAACTTAATCAGATATTAGTAATTGATTTATCATATATTTTAGGTAAAGATAATAAAATAAGCAGATAAGGCAGAATGTAGAAGGTAGAAAAATATGATAATTTATTACTACATCAATAATTATCAGTAATATTAATTTTTATTTTTTTACCTTGCATTTTCTATTAATTGTGAATCAAATTTGTTTAATCAACACACATGACTACTTGATTCTAATCATTTTGCAAATAGCCTAAAATCTTTTGATAAGTCAAAGTACTATTTCTTAATCTATAAATAGTTGATTGTCGAAATTCTAATCTTTTATATTTAGAAAATGTATTTTTGAAGTTAGAGAATTAACAATACTTAAATATTTTAATATAATGATTCATTCTTATTTCATAACTGTTATTAAATTAACATCAGCCTTATTATATAACATTATATATTCGCCAGATTTTGCGATTCCTAATTAATTGTATACCCCAGTAATAGACATTTGATGAACAAACTTATTTTCATTTAAATTGAATCTCAAAACATCAACTTCTTAACCTTCCTTCTTTTAAATCAGCAGTATCTATCTATCTGAATCATAACAAAATGGTAATTGATATTTCTAATTTCCAAGTATGGTACTTGTTTCTACTTTAAAGTATTTTTCTTCATCATTTTTTTTATAAAAGTAAATTTAGCTTTAAGAAGCCACAAAGAAAATTTCACGATTGATTATGTAAACTTTATTGCTTTTACTTGGTTCTAATCCTTCAATTATTTATTTAGAATGAAACTAATAGTCATCGCTAATACTCCATATCTATAATTTTGAATAAGAGCAAGAGACTAGTTCATTGGATATTGGATTGAATACTATTGAACTCAACTAAGTAAATTCTTTATGTTCTATAGTCTACACTTTTACCAAATCATAGTTCTATTTTTTTATGTAAATTTCAACAGTTTTGTCCTCTCCAGAGCAGAATAATTAAGAATCATCATCATTAAGCTTCAAATCAAGGATTCCCTTTCCATTATGGGTTTTAATCTATTTTTATTTTTTCCATTTTTCATCATTTTAAATCCAAATATTTAATTACCCATTATCAGAACCATAATATATATCATTGCTTTACCTAGCAAATTTCACACAATTAATTAATTACATATCATCATCTTCTATAGTAAATTTTATTGTCTATAGAGTGTTATCTTAAATTTTGATGAAATGGATTTCAAAACTCTCTGAATAGGCTATAATGTTATTATCTTTATTAAACGCAATATAATCAACATTAGATTTACCAGAAATTGATCCATATTATTGATATTAAATTTTTTCTGTTATCTACTTTATTTCCTGCAATTGTACTAATTGTTAATTTTACTGTTGATTTTGGTGTTATACTCCTGTACTAAACTAGTAATCATTTAGAGCTTTTAAAAGTAAAGCATAAAACCCTTTTTCTAATTCAGAAATATTTTTTTTTTCTTCTTAGATTAATTTTATTATAGTATCATCCCCTGTAATATTATTACCGTTCTATTTGAAATTAACGAAATCTTATTCTTGATCTAAATAATCCTCTACTTTTCTTTCTTATTCAGCAAATTAACCCAACAGTGCTTCTCGTTTTTTTGTCATAGTTTCAACATGGGAAGTCAGACTAATATGCAGAATTTCTTAAGCTTCCATCATTTTTTTCTTGGCTTACCTCAATTTTTCTAAAGTTTCTTCCTAATTTTTTTTAAGTAGAGATTTTTTTTTGCCTTAATATTCTAATACAACTTCATTGAGTTATTAATAGCACATTCTACACATTGGCTTTCCTTTTTCGTTTATGGATTCAATTTAACACTAATGTTCTCTGCAAACTGAATTCATTCTTTTAATATAAATACTTATTTTAATTAATGTAAAACAAGATTTTTTGGAGGCCTTTTTCTATTAAAATTTTTTAGTATATATATAAATTAAATGTTGTTTTAATTAATATGTCATCTAGAAATAGGTACTCAATCAAAATATTCAATTTTTATTTATTTACTTATCTCATCAGCAGAGTGAAATTAGAATTGCTCGTATTCCTCTCCTCCATAATGTTTAGAAACAATAATATAAAATTAACTCAGCAATGATAAGGAATTCTATATGATTTCCCTAATTTAAATCTAAAATTCTAAATAAATTATTACTTATATCTAATCAAAAGTGTTTTTATCTAAAAAGTTGTTGAGTTTAAGGTTGATCTCTTAAATAAAATCGATAATATTTTCATAAAAAAGGGAATAAGATCTCTTGATCTGCCCTTATGAGATCAGTAAATTGAAATCCTTTTGTGCCTACCCCAATTTCTATTCGTCCTTTTCTATTAATTTTATATCAACTTTTACCTTCTACCAATTTATGTTATAAATATTAATAGTTTCTAATATATTAAATTAGTGTTTTGGCAACAATAAAAGTCATGTCTTTAACAAACTAAAATAGCATCAAATTCTTTTGATTCATAAGGTTATTCTTCCAATCAACTTCATATGAATTAATTTTGGGCATGCCCTTATATACAAATTGAAAGAAGTTTGTAATGTAAGTCCATAATTTCTCAGGAGACCTCAATTCTATCCATTAAATTTCAGGCCTCAATTATCCTGTTATTAATTAGAGTAAAACTGCTTTAGTTTCACTAAAATCAAGTTCACTCTCCTTTACTATGTAGTCTCCACCTAATTATGCCAATCCATCACATAAATAGATGATGTTCTTTAAATAAAACACGTAGCTATCAAATTTAACCTAAAATATCAAAATTGGTTTACATCAAATTATTCTGCAACTAATTTCAACTGAGAATTTATTTCCCTTAGTGTTTCACCCGCCAATTATCTGAATATCACTTAATCGACTGATCTTTACATTTTAGTTATCAGATCTAATCCAAATATCACAGCTGGGTAAAGATCACTTCTTTAGATTTCGTACCCTTTTGGAATAGGTTAGGTTTTTAGAAACTTATGAATCACTAATTTTTATTTTTATCTGATGTAATCTTTTGGGGAATAAGAATATATTTTCTATTGAATTTAAACCTAAGATGATTAAATAGATTTGTGAATGATGTCTAAATTTATTTTTTCCAGAAACAAGTTGGTAAAGATGTTTAAGTAGTTCTAAAAACACTCCACTATTTAGTTTTAATCCTATAAATATAAATTGTTTCAATACTTTTCCTTATGAGATAATTTAAAATATCGGAAACAAATAATCTTTTTCATCCAATGAATTCTCTTTTATTTTCTAAAACACTTTTGCTGTGTGATTTTTCAATTGCAATAACGATTCACTAATCATGACTAATTAATCTAAATTATAGATCTTCTATAAAAATATTCTCATTGTCTAATAGTAATTATCAAGTATTCTTGATAGGTGTTATTTATCATTTTCCTTAACAATCCTTAAATTTAATCTGAAAAACATTCTTGAATAAAATGATTCAATTACTGTTGTTTCAAATATAATACCACATAAAGCTTCGAATATTAGTATTTCTTACTACTTCTATAAGTGTTAATTACTAACTAATTTTTTTTGCTATATTAAACTCTAATTTATTTTATGCAAAATCTGACCTGTTTAATTAAGATTGCTTGATTACTTGTTAATCAAGTCATTGATTTATTAGTGTAAATTTAATCTATTGTAAAAATTGTACTATAAAAATACATCATTATACAATGAATATAGATCCTAATCACCCTATATTTGAGATTCAATGTAAAGAAACAGATCCTTCATTTATTCTGTTATGTTGAATTTTAAAAATTCCTCTTCATATTAATAGTTATTTTTAATTTAAGGATCCTTGAATTTCAATTATGGAATCAATTAAGGGAAAATAATTTATAAAAATTATAGCTTTAATGGATTTGGTTGAAGGATATGATTGTCATCAGCATTGAAATCTGAATAGCCAAAAAACCTTGGAGGATAAAAGACACAAATTAAGTCTTTTAATTGAGAAAACTTTTAATTGATAAATTATGATTCTTTGTTTAAAAGCTTCATTAAAGAACTTTTGCAAGTGCCTAATAATCGTTTCTTCAATTATTGATATTAAAGAATGCATTTGTCACTTTGATAATAGTTGGGTTTTGAAGAAAAGAAAATTATACCTTCTTGAATCTCGCTGATCAACACTTAATAATTTATTTCCTTTTTGTCATCATTCTCTAAATCCCTTGAAATTTTTTAGATGTTATAGTAATATTGAATGTTTTCTTAAATTTGAAATTGGTATTCCAATAATTCTTTTTATTCATTGATGTGAACATTAGCTTCTTGATGAAATTGACTAATTTTTTGGACAATCTTGTCTTTATCATCATTTAATTTTTTCAATTAATCACAAATTGTCTCTAAATTTTGTGTTATGCTTTGTAATGAAGATAATTTCTATTAATATTATCCTTAGATCGTTTCCAATCGAAAGAAGTCATCATTTTTCTTATCTCGTCTCTTATAAAATTAAAAATTAGTTGTCTTCTCTTTCTCTTGTTAACCCTTTTGCTGCTAACTATCCATTTCATCTATAATTGCTTATTCCTATGGTGTTAAGGCATTGCTCTATTCCCATTATACAATATTGATTTACATAATTATTTAAGAATATTTATATATGTATTAACAAAATTAAAATGTTAATTTCATCAATCATAGGATGGAGTTCCTTGTTTTTAATCACAAATTACTCTCTCTACAAATACTATTTCACTCAACCCCTAAAAGCCTTAACACTAGCCTAAATAATCAAAAGAGACCTTTGGAAATGGAGATTTTAATAATGGAAATCCTCTATAAATCGTACCCCATATTAAATAGAATTGAAATTTGGTTTAAATCATAAACCGATAAGGGGTAATTACGTTCAACAAAATATTTAAACAATCGGAGAAACGCACGCAGTATTCATCAACAATCAGAATAATTACTCTCATCTAACAAACATGAATGTGAAATAAATTAATGATTTCTAACTTGGAATGAACTAATTGTTTTATTACAATTTCCATTCTGATTACATTTTATTGTCAATATGCCACAAACTTGATGATGAAAATAATACCTATAATATTTTAGTGCAGAGTAAGAAGTTCACAAGAAAAGAGGAGGAAGCCAATTTGAAGGAATTGGCAGGAGAATACGTGTATTTTATTTTAAAATAAGATTCTAAAGTAAGGATTTGCTAAAATTTTGGCAATAAAACCATGGATATAGACTTTATTGATAGGATTATATAGCATACAATTAAAAATGAGAAGGTGATAGAATACATAGATTTAGATGGAACATGGTTTAATGAAAATTCTTAATGTATTTTAATAATATATAATAGATTGTAAGTGTGTACTAAAGTTGGATGAGCAATACAATTTAATTAACATAAATAAAATTAATAATTTCGAAATAAATGAAAGTTAGAAATTGTATGACAAAATAATTGATAATTTAAAGAATAAAACTATATTATATATAAATTGAATATGAATTTTATTAGATATTTTAATATAATTGATTCACTTTTTTCATAATTGTAACTTTTATTAGACAGATCTTGGGGTAGTAAGAGTTTTAAATGATATAGGTTTTTATGGCATTTTTGATTTGATGTTATTACTTATTTAATGACAAGTCTTTGCTCCAATATTCCTCGTTGATAAGAGGTTGTTGATAGGTTTTCTAATAAATAGGTACAAAAGATATTACCTTGATGAAGTATCGTGGAAGGTCTGAGTCTTGCCTACTTTGCTATTGGATTTAGGTGTCATTTTGGAAGTACATTAAGTCTTCATATTCCTGGGCGACTTAAAAAAGTTTTCCTTTTTATCTTCACCAAAATGCACACTCTTGATTTCTCTGGAGGGATCTTTATTTTGTACTACATTTCTTTTCTTTAATTAGATCTTTTCATTTACTCTTTTATGTACTTCATAAATATATAAAATACATTAGTCTAAGATTTGTTGATGTTTTAGTTTTGGTTTTGGTGGATCCAATTCGCCGCATTAATCAGGATGAATGATTTTTAACTGTCTTTTTTAAGATGTTATTAATTATTTAATATTTTTCATTTTATCAGTTGTAAGAATTTATTATAATTTGAATTCTTTGATAATGTTATTATTGTCTTATTGTCTTTCAGTCTTTAATTTTTCAATTTTTAAGAGTTATTGATGAATATCATTGTTGTTGTTCACTTTCCGATTTTATTTTTCTTAATTGTGTTTTGAATAAGAAGGAGTGTTTTGTAATTCATCAAGTACATTTCCAACTATGATTCCACTTTCAATGGTGTGAGAAGGAGGCGTGCTTTCTGTTTAGATTGGCTAATCTCCTACAATGCCTTTTGGGGGTTTTTCTGGATTGTTCTTGTTTTCCTCATCGATTATTTTCTAAATTTTGTAATATTCGAGCTTTCTTTTTAAATTGTAATATTCATTCAAAATATTAACAATGGAACTTGATACGGCCCATCTAGGTAAATCATTGTGAAACTAAGAGATTAAATAAATTAGTACTTTGTAAAATTCTGTTAGAACTTCCATTTTATTGTCTAAACAATGAGGTTGATATATTTTTTTCATATATTCAACATCCTCATCCAACAACGCTAAGTCCTAGTTAAATATTGTGAATATATACTTTGAACACTATGTTCGGTTTGGTGGGTTGATCCAAAATGATTTCATTGATATCCTTTGTAAAATAGTAATTTTGTGATTCAGCATATTTATTATAAAGAGAATTAGTGATCCTCTCTGGTAAGGATACTTTCTTGATAATTAATTTAATTTCAGTCTACCTTTACACTGCATTTCTTCGAAGTTATTGCCATATAAAGTCATCCGAATCGGCTAACAGAAAAGACAATTCATTTAATTAAAAAAATAATTAATAATAATTAAAAGAAAAAACAATATATCTTCATTTTCTCAAAGCAATGCTATTGCTTTTTAACTACTTTTAATTAACAATCTTCCCTGGTTGTCGTAAAATCATTGTGATAGATCTTTCTCTTGTTTATTGCACAATTGGTATATCTCCTTGGGACCCTTATTTATTAAATGATTATCTAACAATACATCCTTACTTTTGAGACATCTAGGGTCTAGCTAACTTATACTATCATAAAATTACTTGGGATTTGAATTGTAGAAATTACTATTATGATTATGAAAACTATTATTATGATTATTATTAATATTATTATTGTTGTTGTTATTATTATTAACTCTTCTCTTATTTGTAATTTAGGAAATAAGAGCAGGTAAATCCAATTCTAATAATTTCTAAGCCATTGATTAATTCTAAAAATTATCAATTGATGAATAGTTGATGTTAGAGACTCTTTTTGGCTAACAGGGTTATTTGTCTAGGTTGTAATTAATAACAACTAATTACATGTATTGGACTTAATTTGTTATTATTAACTAGATTTCTGCTTTTGAAGATACTCAAAACTTTCATTCACATTCTTTTTACAATTCCCCTTATCTTTTTCAGTTAATTCAGTTGTGATTGTAAAAGAGTTACGATTTCTATTTTCTTTTTCTGACAAATTCCATTTGTTTAACTATCTTCTTTCACCTTCATTAGTGTTCAAAGTTTCGAAAGTGACAGTGTGCTGTTTTCTGAGCGAATGTGTGGCTTCTGGGATTTATTGGAATTCTTGGGGAGTATCACTATCGAATAAATTAGGAGCTCTAATGCTTAAGATCTATTAGGCTTGTAAGAGTAAGTTACTGAGCTATTTTGTTAATCAATTTTTATGAACTCATCCTCGTCTGATGATGAGCTATTCTCTGAGGAGATATCAAACACTATGTTTTGTTACATTTTAAATTAATTATTTATAAAATAGCAGTTAATCTGATTAATATCATTCTTGCTATGACCTTCATATAAATCAACATGTTTTATTAAACACTATTGCTTAAAAAAGATCCATACAATTAATGCAACTAAAATAAAGGTTGTAGAACATTTTTAATAAAATTAAAATTAGTTTCTCTCATGTTTTATATTCTAATAGTATTAGATCTATTATAATATATTAATGTAAAATATAATACAATTGAATTTTTGATGTTGTAATGAGAACTTAATAGTTAAGGTTATGACATAATTATTTTTTGATTCTTCTGTTATTGATTACTTTATTAATAATTATTTCATATGGAGATGTTTGATGATACGATACGAGAATTATTGAGTAAAAACAAGGATATTGCAAAAATTGTGGATTTAGAAAAACTTTCATAGCAACCAGGATTTAAGATTGAGCAAAATAATAGCTATGTTTATATAGGATAGGTGTTAAATGGAATGAAGCACGGAACAGGTAGTTTTGGGAATATTATATCTAGGTATTTTAAAACTTTTAGACTCCCTAAGAATTTATGTGGGAGAATGGCAAAACGATAAAAAATGTGGGCTTGCTTATGAAAAATTCTAAAGCGGAGCTGAGTATTTCGGGAACTACGATAACAATAAATAAAATGGTTATGGAGAATATGTTTGGGCTAATGGAGAGAGTTACAAAGGAAATTGGGTAGAGGGCAAGAAGTGTGGTTATGGAGAATGGTTTGGATAAAATACTTCGTATAAGGGTGAGTGGAATAATGGATTTGTTGAAGGGAAAGGAGTGTATTAATCTGAAAATGGTATTTTTGAGCTCATAAGTCAGGGGATTAATATACAGGAGACTTTTTGCAATCTATGAAGCATGGATTAGGAGAGGAATTATTTGCTAATGGAGACAAATATGCAGGCAGTTTTAAAAATGGGAAGCCAGATGGCTATGGAGAATATTATTGGAAAAATGGAAGTTTATATTAAGGTACAGTTTGATTTCATTGAAGGTTTCTTCATGGATGGCATGAGACATGGGCATGGAGTTTGGTAATCTAATACTCAGGGTAAAATTGATAGGTACGAGGGAGCCTATTCTAACGATAAAAAATGTGGATACGGAGAATTTGTGTGGTCCAACGGGACTGTCTATAAAGGAAATTATTTTGATGATTATAGGTAGGGGTATGGTGAGATGTATTAAAACGGAGTTATCTTTTATAAGGGAGAATGGGATCGAGGAGTCTAAGTGGAAAAATCAAACACAAGATTTAGATTTTAATAGAAAATGAAAACTCAAGAAACGACAACCAGGAAATGGAAGTTCAACAACATTGATGAAATTTAAGAATTAGAAGAAGAAACTGTAACTTCTGGAGCTGAAACAAAAAACGAGAATAATCTCAAGACTATTTAAAAAAGTTCTCAATAATGTCGTTTGAAGACCTTAAATGTGGAGAGTAAACCATAAAATAATGATTATACTCCCATGAAACGAAGTCTCTAACTATAAAAAAAGGCTCCACCGATTATCCAAACAAGAAGTCGAACGCAATCAATGGGAAGTTGTAAAATACCAATTCTATAATAAAAATAAAGATCAAATTCGAATTAGATTACCAACAACTAAAAAATTGAATAACTAGTTAAATTGTCTCCTTATAAGCAAACTCTTAGAAGTGGAAGATTTAAATTATAGAAAATATAACTATGAAATCAAATCTGATATCATCTTTTGTGAATATAGTAATAAAGTTTTTAACTAATCATTATTATTATAATCTCTATCTACAAACAGGACATGTATCATTTATTTCAGCCCATGGCCGAATACATTCTGAATGAAATACATGATTTGGATTGCAGGATAATGTAACAATTAGATCATCGTTATTATAAGGTTATAAACAAATATAGCAAGGTTAGAAGGTTTGACTATTCAAATCAGAATATTTGATTTAAGTTCCGATTAATCTAATTGCTTGCTCTTATCTTCTTCTTTCTTCTTCTCTTCTCTAACGATTAACTCTATATATCAAAAAGGGCATTATAAAACATATAGCTAGTAAACCAAGTGCAAATATTGCCAATACAATCCATCCAAAAATTAATTGAACAACTAAAATCCATTTACTAAGCAAGAGTGTATTTTATAGCAACACTATATTCCCTAACCCAAACATTATGATATAGATAAATTCATTGCATTTGCTTAATGCTCCATGATTTCCCTTTACTGCAGCCCAAACATCAATTTAATCATTCAATTATTCAATAAATTATCTTGAGCCTTCAGAGATTATGTCTACGGTTTTTTTTATTTTGATAACACTAAATAGATGAAAAGAGTATTGTAACAATCTCCAAATCAAATAAAAAATCGATGCCTTTTAATATTCATACAACCAAGGTAATGAAATATAAATTATGACAATGATTAATTAGATATTTAAGTACAATTAAATTGAATTTAGTGAACTGCTGATCTTTTTACACTACTCTTAGATTTCTACTAGCCTTTCTGAAATGATTAAATCATCCATTTTAATAAAATATATATAAATTATATAAATTCTTCAGTCTGAATTCCAACACTCATTAAATGATAACAGAATAACTTTTGTATATCTTTATTAAATCAATCAATAGAATTAAATATTTTTCTAAATTCAGTATGACTGATTAATTGAATATTAATCTAATACATAACAAAACTAATAATATTAATATAAGGAAACTCATTTTAAGATTTGCTACCACTTGCTGACATTGAAAAACTTCATCGTATGGTATAGATTTAAAGATAAATTTGATGTCGTGTTATTAATCCTAAATTCTAATCAGTTATTATGCAGAAATCTTTTGCAAGTTACAAACCTATGAATAATTAAATTATAAAAGTTACTAACATTAAAGTATTTATGACTGAAATGAGATTCAAATTTCAGTTATAATTGTTTTAATTAGAAGTTGAGATTCTAATTTTTGTAATTTACTAAGATTGTTTTTTTCATCCTGAAACCTAGAATATCCTCAAACTATATTTAATTGTGATTATTATAATTCTAAATCAATTAGATTAGAAATACAGATCTATAGGAATTATATGGAGTTGAAACTTTTATCAATTCATTCTTTAATTTGTTATTTTTTACCCTCATCAAAATTAGTAAAAGAGGCTTATAAGCAATAGTTTTTAATTTTTATGTGGTAAGAATGGAGTAGCTTAAAAAGCTAAATTTATTGATATATAATTAGCACAGATTATCTTATTCTTAATGTATATCAATTATTAAAAGCAAGAATCACAATGAAGGGAATGAATATTATTTGAATTTTGTAATATAAATTAAACTTAATTAAAATATAATTGTTGAATTGTGAAAATGCAAGAATCAAACCATCCAACCACTTTTAACGGCAACTTCAAATTCTCTATCATCAGTTACACAAAAACTCATTATGTGATAATATTATTCAAATTCTTATTACGATACATTATTAGAATTAAATAACTGATGATGGCTATGAAAAGTATCCAAGAAATCTATCAAGACTTCATCATCAGACATTTTTTGTCTAGGTCTGGCAAGAAAGTTTTCTAGAATTATATTATTTGATACTTTTCATATCCTCAAAATTAGTCGACTATAATTTTCTGAAGGCCATTTGAACTAAATTCAATCTCCAATTTTAGAATTCCCCTAAGATCTTTTCTAAAAATGCTGCCATAGAAATTTCATTTTCTATAATATAATTTGTATATGATACTTTGATTTAAGATCTATTTAATGTATTATTGATTAACTTAAACTCTTATGGAATTGAATCCGCTATATATCCCTTATGCATCATAGCGAGTAATATTCCTTAACATATAGATTATGCCTCTATATCCTTTTGATTTCAACTTCTCTAATACATTATCAATTTTTTATAATTATTATTAGGCATAGGTTAACCCTGCAGGGTTGATATTTTATTATCTTTGGCCTTATTAGCTACTTAAAGGTCTTAATGCAGTGCTATAATCTGTTTTTTCAGCACTAGTTCCAAATGGTGCATATTGAGCAACACTAGTAGTTTATTATTGAGGTGGTCTAACATAAGTAAATACATTGATGAGATTATTTTCAAATTAATCAGGTTGACAAGCATACAGAATATGGCAATATTCATAAAATTCTGCAAATGTAACACTCTTGCTTCCCATTTTATGATGAGCATCATATGAATCTAAAAACTCTGCAAGTTATTCAGTTTCACTCTTTATTTATTTTTTAACATCTGGATGATTTCTTGCTTGATAACATTATTTTAATAATTAATATGGTATTATTCCATCCATATCAATGTCCATTTACTCAAATATCTATTTAACAAGATTAGGCTAGTCAAATGCTCCAAGCAATTCAATGAAGAAATCTTAGATGTTAACACCTCCAATTTATTAAGGAAATCTATAATCTCTCAAGACCTTTTACACCTATTTCTCAGTCAAATAACCATCTTAATCATCGTCTGCTTGAAGCAATAGCTTTTTTAAATTGATAAAAGCCTTTGGTCCTTTTTTAACAAGTGCTGTTCTCAATTCCGTTAAATCCAATTCATTAAAATCCAACTTTCTAATTGGAGTATAAATGGTGCTCCTCTCTCCCAACCATTAAGCCTTGATATTGCCTAATTCAAGAATGTGGTTGAACTCATCAAATTAACTTTGTGATAAGAACTTAATATTCTTGAATCTCATATAGCTTTGCAAATATTTTCTAATTTTTGTCTTGTCTCCTTTAAACATGTCTATTATTTAATCGATATTAAATGAATCTACTTTGAAACCACTAGGTTTAACAACACCTCTAAATGCTTCTACTACCTCATCTATTCTTACAACATTGTTTTAGTTGAAATATTGGAATAAAGCTCTAACTTTCTCTTCAGGATATTAATAAAATAAGTATTTAAATTATGCGTAGTTATACTCTTTGGAATGCAATTGCTCCAGCCAATCAAAAAACAAATCTAAACCATTTTCCCACATTTTTTTTTAAAAGTAGAATACTGCTGATTCTGGTGATTAGTAAACTCTCTAGATAAAACTTTTGTAATTCAATTGTCCGTTCTACTGATAATATTTGAACAGAGAAGTGATTTACTATGTAATATTATTATTATATACATCTTTTGGTAGAGTGATACCAACTTTTTCTAAAACAGCTTCAAATTGTTACTAATTGACAACATTCGATTATTTAAGGTCATAGTATTGAAATGATTTTAATAATGTTTGTTCTTCATGAGGGGATTTCAGACTCAACCTTTTTTTTAATTCGCTTTCAAATTATGCTCTAGATTCTGCCATGCTTAAACTATAACAGAAATAATAATAATAAAATTTTATTTTTATTTCATTTGAAATAGTGTTTATTATATCTATTATTGATTCATATCTCCAAATTATTGCTATTTATCCAATGAATTTGATTATATTTATAATAATGAGTTAATTAGATAATGTTTTATGTTTGATTATTTAATAAAATTATTGTTGCATTTATAAATAATTAATGAAATCAATAGAATAGAATGGTATGAAGAGATTGAAGCAAAATAAATTCACTTTCCTAACTGATTAATACTTAAATAGTAAGGATAATAAGTTAAATATTAAAATAATCCATAAATCCTGCCTTAGTCGTGTAAATTAAACAAATAATTGATAGGAACTTCATAAATAAATATTGGTATTGTAAAAAATTTCATAAATTGCCGTTCATAAAGATAGATGAAAACGGGAAGTAGTTGAATAGATTAAAAGATTCTTTGATAAGTTTTCCTTATAAACTCTACTTTTAATAGTTCTTATTTTAGAATACTAAAGATCTATTGGAAATTGAAATATGGATCAACTTAAGAAAGTGTTACAATATATGAAAAATTTTAACATTTATAAAATGTAAATTTTAATTTGATTATGATTTAAAATTATGAATATTTCAGTGATTGGCAGAATAGGTGAAGAGAATAAGATTGCCTAATGTATTGTAAATAAGTCCAACTAAATCATGAAATTGTTAGTATTAAATAGGATAAACACAATGCTAAATAACAGGTAATAAATTTAAGAGTAACAATTATTATTGATTATTGTTATATACTATCGTAAGATTCAATGCTTCTGTCTATTAAAACTTGTTATACAGATACACAAAGTACCAATTTGAGAAATACAATATAGTTTGATAAGCGGCATCAAACTAACTCAAAGAGTGAATTTCAGCTAAAATAAATTGAGGGTATCGTTAGATATAAATGTTAGGGGAATTACTTCGGTAAATTAAAACAATTTGAAAAATTTGAATTTTCAATTTCAACTTAATAGGTCCATTTAAGAGTCATGTGGAAACAAATGATGTGTGGAAAAAGGGTAATGAAGATAGTTTAGTAAAATATATTCAAAACGGATTATAAAATTTCACAGTCAATTCATGATATTTGACATTTTTTAACATAAATTTAATGTAATTAGAGAAATCAATTCGGAAACAATTAATCTTGCCCAAGGTTGAGGGTTGCATTAAATTAGAAATCGACACTCAATTGGATTCTCCAAAACAAAGTACGATTACAATTTAATGTAAGGGGAGTGGGCCTATACTGCTAGATCAGGAGGATCTAAAGAAATCGGTAGTAGTAATGCAATTACTACGATCACGATTTCTTCAGGTAGGAGAATACAATTGTATACTCCTATGTAAGAAAGCAAGAGAGCTTAGAGATTAAAGAATATTCCTTATGAGTTATAATATTTCCAAACTAGTTTACCAACAAAAAGCTTTAAATCTAGTCATCTTATGAATGAAGAATTGCTTAAAAAGCCAAAAGAATAAATTGAAAATAAATAGAGATGGCAGTTGCATTCTCACTTTAACAAGATGAATCTAGCTTTAACTTAGTATCAAATCAAAAGATTTGAAAGATGTTTAAAAAAAACTGAATCGACAGATGATGTGAATACAATAAAGAAATTAAATGAGGAAAATATAGAGAAGGAAAAATAAAAAGTAATACTATAAATAGATTATTAGAGAAACACATAATATAAACAAGCTACATAAGATCTAATAAATTCTTTTACAAAAAAATTCAACATCAAAGCACTATATAATGATCTTTAAACAAACTAATAATAATGATTTTACACTGTGATTAAATATTTATATTAATTGCTTTTTTTCTAATTCACTATTCATTGAGTTTAAATGGAGAAATAAATTAATTCGGAAATTGAATTAAAAATTGATGATATTTGATAACTGATAAAAATTTTCTAATTCAAAACCTTCATTTAAAATTGATGAATAACAAATCCAATAATAATAACTTTTGAACAACAAATAATGTTATTTATTATGAAGATGGTTTGTTAAACATATTTCTTATTTTCACCACATAAAAGTAGGCATTCTCTTCATCCACACTTTGACCAAATCGATCTATAATGAATGCAATAAATAATTTTAAACTTTATTATTATAATTAATAATGAAAAACCTTTATGGTTATTTTATCATCTCCATCGCAATCTCTATTCTAAACATAATTGCATAAGTCGAAATAATTTAAATTGTAAGAATGGCTTGCTGCATTCTAAATATAATTGCCATAAGGATTGATAAATTCGTGTTGTATGGACTAACTTTAAATAAGATAATATTGTTTTTGGTTGGAGTGCTCACTTAATAAAATGAATGCATCTTTTAAATTGTCCTCGATGATCATTTCCTTCCCCCTTGTTTAAATAATAGACTGCATATACTCTTATGGAAAGTTATCAGTGGCTTAGCCTCCACGCTACTAGTCTGTTTGAAATATCAAAATGAGGACCTTATTACGCTCCCAGCAACAGTACTAATACCATTAATGTATTTCCTGCCATAATCTCAATAACTTTTTGAAGAATACTTCTCCTCTAAAAATGAAAAAGAAAAATTATACTCAAGCCCTAGACCTCCAATTGCTAAAGAGTACTTTCGTATTCGTTCCAGAATTGAAGAAATTGAATTCAATCCCATTACTTTAGATTAAAATAATTCTTTAGATATCAACTAATTAATGCGTCGCATAGCATCTAGTTAGGATAGGTAATTCGTACTCTAAGAGATAAGCCTATTTAACGAATAAGTTTGGAAATTAAGAATGAATGCTATGCCCATAGGTATATGTATAATAAGCAACGAAATTAAGCCTAAATTTATGAATAACACATTAATAAATATGATAAAAAAGAACTTCATTGATTAGGGCGATAATAACCTTGAATAAATATACTCACTGTTTATGAATCAACTTTAATTCAAAAGAATTGATTATGTAGGACCCTATGATTTGCCTCATTCAGCTATATTTAAGAATGAAAGATTTCATATAAAAAATCAACAATAACAAGGTTCAAGTTTGTTTGAGGATGAATAGTATTGTTTGAAAGACTTAATTTTTAAAATAGAAGAAGGATAGTTAGACCGATGTTTAAATGATGAGGAGTAAATTATTGAGCTTTTTTCTAATTTCGAAAGTCCTAATAATAAAAGGCAAGTGTTTTTAGATTGTAGAGTTTTATTTTAGGAGAAATAAAAAATTGATTATATGGTTATAATTTAGGATGTTACCAAATAAAATGAATTATCAAAGTTGGAAGAAAAAAATAAATTCAAAACAAAGGTAGTTTAGTCATTCTCTCATGAATTGCGAACTCCTTTAAATAGTGCAACTATATTTTTACAGACAGCAATTGGAGATACGAAATTAGATAGATTAATTAAGGACTAGTACTTACAACCATGTTTGGCGGCTTTAAAATTATAAAATCATTTAATAAATGATATCATAGATTTTAGTCAAATAAATGCAAAATTATTAGATCTTAAATTCAGTTAATTTAATTTATAAAGGATAATAAATGAAATAACTGAATAATTTAAATTTCAATTCCAATTTAAGAAAATAGGTCTTGCCTTCGAAATTAGCAAACCTATGTCCCTCTTAACCTAAATAAAAACAGATTACTAAAGATTATTATAAGTCTTAACAAATATCATTTAAAATGCACTGACCTACTCAGAAACTGGGTATGTGTTAGTCAAGATAGACAGTTATGATCTAAATGAAATTGAATTTTCAATTAAGGATGAAGGAATAGGATTAACAATGAAATAACTTACTTCAATTAGATAGATAATAAATTAAGAACAATAGACTACTACAAGATCATAATAATGGCAAGGATTTGGGTTGATAATTTGCTAGATGTTGTTACGATACTTATCTCCGATTAATAGAAATAGTGTTTAGATTGAGTCAGATGGTTAGGATGCAGGAACAACTGTTAAGTTTATTATTTCAAATCATGTTTCAGCTTAAACATAAGAATAAGCATATGGTTAGTAATCAAAGAAATCTTTTTCAAGAATGAGAAGCATGCCTACTTTAAGAGCTGAATACGGATTGATAATTAGTGTTAAATCAAAATCTCCAAGCAAAATTCTATTGTCAAAAACGAGTGAATAGGATGAATGTGATTTATCAAGCGCTTCAATTAGAGAAATATCTGGTAAAATACATAGGTATGAATTGAAACATTGTTCGATCGAACTTTTAAACTAAAGAAAGCCTTCATCAGTTAATCCACAATAAAAAAGCAGCATCTAAAGAAATAATACTAATAAATTAAGTATTAGATAATCTTCTTAGTAACTGTCATTCAAAGAGACTGGATCAACTCTTCTGTGTTGTAATACTATTTTAAGTGTTGATGATGAGGTCTTTAACTAAAAATCCCTACAATTGCTTCTGGGCTAATAAGGAATGAATGTGGATATTGTATAAATATTTTTATGTCAAGTTAGGTTTTTAATGGTAAGTAAGCAATAGAGAAAGTCTAAAATCCTACCAAATGCTGTTCCACTTGCCCTGGCTATAAGATGATTCTTATGGATTGTTAAATGCCTATAATGGATGGATGGAAAACAACCGGGATGCTCATAGAAATGATGTAAAATCAGCAAATACCTAAAATTCCCATCATTGGCCTAACTGCGTTCACAAGTAATGAGGATATGGAGAAATGCAAAAAAGCTGGAATGTTGCATATACTTCATAAACCATTAGACATTTAAAATTTTTAATCCATTTTAACTGAACTTCGTATAATTTGATTTATAATTATTTATTAATTATGATTATGTTCAATTACTAATAGATATTATTACTATGAAGGATCTTTTGATTTATAATGTCAAATATTATTTGGATGATGTTGAATTTAAATTAGAATTTAGAATTTCACCTTTAAGAGGCTATCCTACTGACTTTTATTTTAAATATAAATGATTTTAATTATTTACTCTTTACAAAAAAACATTATTTTCCTCATTCAGTTTTCTGCCCAAAATGCATTTAAATTTACCTGAAAATAAATGCAAAGATAGGATCTACCTACAACTTGCTTTCCGGATAATTTTAAGGTGTTCTCTATTGTAAATTTAGATGTTAAGTTATGTTTGATTTCAATTATTTTTAAGCCTTATGAAAATATCGTTTTTATTTATTTAATAACAAAATGAAATTGGTTATTGGTTTAGCTATTTTATTGACATTGAGCAGTTGTGCCTCATTCTTGGAAGAATAGCAGCCCCTTGAAAATAAAATATATAAGATAAAGCTTGAAAGAACAGAATCATAAGCTAAAAAGTCATTATTTGATTTCATCACAACAAGCTAATAATACAGGAATTCTCCTGATATATTGGATGGGTCAGACTTGGCTATGGCACAAACACAATAAAAGGAATCTATAAAACTGTATAATTTTAAGAATACATAATATACAGGAGAGATAGGGTTAGGTGATTAAGGGAATAAATTTAAAGTAATCATTTTATCTATTTAGGTTATCTTTGATACAGGATCTGCTAATATATGGTTGAATTCAGCTAGATGTAATGACTATGGATGCAAAAATCATAAACAATATGATGGCTCAAAGAGTTCTACATATGAGCATTTGGGATATGATTTAGACGTTGAGTTTGGAACTGGAGAATTGATGGGTGAAGTAATAACTTGCTAAATAATAGATCAATGCAGATACTGCTTTTGTGGGTGGTGTGAAGATAGCAAAATAAGAATTTGCTGAAATTGTTAGAGAGAATGGTGATGTGTTTGCTTAATCTGATTTTGATGGAATTGTTGGATTAGCATATCCTTCTATGGCTGCATATAACTTCAATCCATTGTTTGATAACATCATAAAATAGAAATTGTTGGACAGAAATGTGTTTTCTTTCTATTTTTCAAGACAAGAAGGTTCAAGATCCTCTGAGTTAACTTTTGGTGGATGGGACACTGATCATTTTTAGGGAGAGTTACATTTTCACAACGTTGTAAATAAATATTATTGGTTATTGGATGCCGATAATATTTTAGTAAATGGATAAGATCTAGGGTTATGCAAACATGGCTGCAAAGTAGTTGCTGATACTGGTACTTCTTTGTTAACTGGACCATCAGATGATTTATACGGCTTATTGGGTATACTTTAATGATATAAACAAAGACACTTTGAACATCGATGAAAATTGTAAAAATGTCAAGGATTTGCCAAAATTAACATTTGTTTTAGATGGAATTAATTATGATTTGGATGCTAACGATTACGTGATGAAGATTGACTCCTAAGGAAATGAAGTTGCTTATGATACATTTGCAAGTAGTGACAGCTTTGTTGAAATGGGAGGTAATTGCCAATGTGTAGGATCATTCATGCCTTTGGATATTCCATCACCTAATGGCCCAGCTTGGATTTTGGGAGATACTTTCCTAAGCAAATATTATTCAGTCTATGATAGAGATAATGATAGAGTTGGCTTCGCAAGAGCAAAATGATATACATATTCTATCAAGATATTAAGAACAATTTATTATTATTTTGAATAATCTTGTATTAATATCATCATTAATATTTGGGACTTTATCCTGGTCTTTGGATTGCTTACTAGGGTTATTATTGTTAGAATTATGGCTGTTGAACATTACCTGCAGCTTATGGAAATACTTATTGCCATCCAGTTGAGTATTATTGAGTGGTTGTTGTCACTTGACCATATGCATTTGATGGTAATTGTCCGTAGGCTGCTGTTGTAGTTGGTGGAAATTATCCATAGGCTGCAGTTGTTGTGACTGGTAATTAACCGTAAGTAACCTGGGGTGGCAATTAACCATAAGTAGTAGTTGTTGCTGGTAATTAACCATAAGCAGCTGTTGCTGGTAATTGTCCATATGAAATTTACTATGGGATATACTAGGATGTTGTCACAGGTACTGTGTTCAATTGGTTTTAAGTTGCAGGAATGTATTAATTTGTTGTTGTGGTAGTTGCATATTGAATTTAAGCTGGTACTAAATAAAATAAATAAATTTTATTTACCTTAATATTACTAGGTTGTCTATATTTATTAATAATCAATTGGTTATTATATTACGCTCTATCTAGTCACTGCTTAATATTCTGTTCTCTCTTTTATTGTTTCAACGGGGACATACTCTGTCATAGTTTTCAAGAATTACCAATATATTTTTCTTAAATAACTTGAGGAATGTGTTCTGTCACGTATTCAACTGCATAATAGTCAGTAATCTTTCTTTCTCTAGGAACATATTCAACAACTTCCTAAGTTACATATTCTGTCACCTCCTTTGTATAAGGAATATACTCTATTCTTGATTCCCCTTTTATAACCTAAAGCTCTTAATAATTAGCTTTACATTTCCTTAAGTAACTACTGGCCCACTTGATTGAATTACGGGTTATTAGGCATAAGGTTGTTGTTACAAATATTGTGGATTTGCAATTAATCCAGTTTGTTGAATTGGAATAGCTTAATTCACAGTTCCAGGTTGAATCTATGAAGAAGCTGGAACCCAACCCAATGGTGGTTAATATCCTTCAGGTACTTATTAGCCACCCTATGGTAATTATGATGGAGTAGATTTAGCGGCTGGAAGTTATGAGGGACGAGTATTATTCATTAGATCTTTAATTAAATTTATTTTTAATTATTCCTTAGCTCCACTTCAAGAAGATATAAATTATTTAATATATACACCCTTAGCATATCATTAATTAAATTAATATGTAATCATTGGTTAAATAACTCCTAACCCTATCCAACACATCTGCTGCTAACTAATGGCAACAAATCGAAACAAGTAAATTCTTTTCTTTATTTAGCTCTCCAACCAAAATAATTGACCCCTGCTGAAATAGCTGATGTTGCCCACCATTTTGCTGTTAATAATTAGGGATCTGAACTTTTCTGGGATACATTACAGAGAGCTACTGTCGATCAACTGAGCAATTTCAATAGGGAATAACTAGCCACAGTATTCGACGCTATGATGAAAACTCCTTACGAAGTATAAATCCTTTTATCATTAGGTTCCTGATGATGTAGGAGAGGCTGTGACCAAAGCAATTGATACATTTTTCTTTGCTGAATTAGAAGCTAACCAAAAATCAGACCCCTACTATCTTTCCAAATTTTTATTTCAATTCTAAGCTGGATTAGGATAATTTGCACTCAACTTTGGACCTGGATTCCTCACTGGAAGAGTAAATGATGAACATCCAGAATAAAATCTTGCTAAAGGTGACTACGATCTGTCAGAATCAAGCAATTCTGAATTGAGATCAGCATTTATTAAAGGGGAGCTTAATTAAGAATAAGTGTAAGAAGAGAAAACAAAATTCCTCAATAGAATTACAGAATTGCTCGGCAAGGTAACCATTCTATTGATAATTCAAGAATTAAAATGCCCAGGACGTAACCAATTTGAAATGATTGGATAGAGATGCATATAAAATAAATATAATAAAACAAAACACATTTATCTTAGATATTCAGATCAAAAAGTGTAGTATTTTCTTTTTCTACATTCCATTCTTCCTTTTGATTCAAATCCCTAATTAATTATTATTTAAATTAATTTAATAAATGCACAACGAAATGACTCCTTTCTTTTCAAAATCAGCACCTTATACTTAAGGCCCTTAAAAACAACAATAATTTGGTAGAAAAGACTAATAAGGATGGAAAGATTAGCAAGGATGGAGAGAAAAGCAGGGATATAAAGATTAGTAAGGCTGGAAACAAGAGTAAAGCAATTACAGAAAAAAAGATGGAAAATACAAAAATACAATTTAAGAAAATTATCAATCGTAACAATAGTATTATCCAAAAAATGCTATTGATAACAAAGATCAATAATAACAACACTCCCAATATGAATATTAGTATGCAGGTCAAGATAAAGAGTAAAAAATTGAAGAATATTAACAAAAAAATTTTGAAGATTATTAGCCCCAATAAAGGGAAGAATTTACGACTCAACATAAGGAAGATCATACAGTAAAATAAAATGTTGAGTATATAGAAAAATCCTAATTACAATAAAGTCATAATTAAACCTAGAATAATGAATAAAAATAATCTTTATCATTCTAACAATAATAATAAAGTCAATAATATTAATAATAACAAGTTCCACCATAATAATACTATTCATTTAATTAAGAGCCCTAAAATTTGTAGAATAACTAACATATTTAACAACAATAACAGGTATATTAACCATCATCATTAATGTAAACTCCTATCCCTTACCAGTTATCATAAAATATGTTTTAACCTATTGCACAATCGAATCCTTTTGCTCCCTAATAACAACCTTAAAATATCAATGAAACGTATAATTTAATATTTAAATAGGAATGGGTAAGGATAAAGCATCTAAAACACTCCATATGTGATTTAATATTTAATATACCCGAATAAAAAAGGGAAGTAGTATAATAATTAATTTTAATTGACTTAAGTATGTTATTTATATGAAATATAGGAAAATATAGATGAAAATTATTAATTTCTAAAATCGTAACTTGATTGCCTAAAAAAAATCAATAATTGAGAATTATATTTACATTTATAACATAGAATTTCAATTATAAAACAAATACCTTGATAATTTAATCTCATCTATTTTCAGACATATTGGCGCGGATGATAAAGATTAAAAAGAAAAGATTAATTATAATTCAAAGAATTGTATTAGTAACATTCTCTTTTAATTAATAAATATTCATTATTTGAATGTCAAACGTAACAAGATCCCAAAGAAACTAATTTGTTATTGATTTTTTATCAGGAGGATTATCTGGAGCGATTGCAAAAACAACATGTGCTCCAATAGAAAGAGTTAAATTATTAATGCAAACTGCAAGCATGAATACAAAACTCACAAAACCCTATGCAGGGATAACAGATTGTTTTTTAAGATGTGTAAGAGAGGATGGGGCTCTATCCCTATGGAGAGGCAATGGAGTTAACGTACTCAGATATTTTCCAACTTAAGCCTTGAATTTCTCATTTAAAGATTTCTTTGCAAAGTTCTTAAAGAAGAATAGTAATTGTATAGCAAAATGTTTAATTAATTTAGAGGAGCATTCATCTCAGTTATTCTATAATATTTTATCTGGAGGATTGGCTGGAACATGTAGCACTTCAATTGTTTACCCATTGGATTTGGCAAGAACCAGGCTAGGAGTTGATTTAGGAAGAACAAAGAGTGAGAGGTAGTTTTAGGGTTTAGTTGATTGCCTAACAAAAGTAATAATTTACTGTTATATTTAGATTTATAAATCAGATGGTATAAGGGGTTGGTATTAAGGAATAGGAATTTGTTTTGTTGGAATCTTTATTTATAGAGGTTTATATTTTGGAATTTATGACACTGGAAGAGATAAATTTTTCAAAAGTAATATTTTTTCATTAATTCAGATGGAGATGCAAAGTCTTTGATTATGAAATTTTTTTATGCACAATGTGTTGTCATCTTTTCTGAAACAATTAGGTATTACATAACATGAATTTTAAGTTATCCAACAGACACTTTAAAAAGAAAATTGATGATGTAAACTGCAGGAGTTTAAAGAAAATATAAAAATGCTTTTGATTGCTTTAATTAGATTGTAAAAACAGAAGGATTCAAAGGTTTAATGAAAGGAAATGCTTCCAATATGGCAAGAGCAATTGGAAGCTCCCTCTGCTTAGTTTTGTATGATGAAATGAAGCGAGTAACAACAACCAATTAATAGAGATAATGATGATGTGTATAATCAAAGAATCCATTAATTCTACCTATTTTATTCTCATACATTAATATTTAAAAACAAGTACATTTTGATATTGTAAAAATTAATGAATTTCATTATTTTAAGTTCTGCCTCTGCTTAAAATAACATGAGATGAACTCAGAAAATGATTGCGAAAGGTCTTCTTTTAAAGAAAAAAAGGTTGAAATTGTGATCATATATTGCAAGATTAATTACAATAATGGCAAAAAGTCACAGTTCTAAAGAATCATGTTTTTGTTTGAGAAGCTATCATGATTAGGTTAATTATAATAAATATGAAGATTTACACTTTGAAATTATTTTTAATAAATTATCAACCTATGTAGAGACAAACATATTAGTATCCATCAAGAGCCTATCCTTAACAAGTTTTTGGATACTTATAGCCATAATATTAACACCAATTGCCATAATTACATCCATAAATCATATATTAACCTTATTTCCAGGTACCAGCAGCTCATTAATATCCTTAACCATCAATTGCTAATTAGAATTTACAATCACCATAAAAAAATTTTTAAAGCCCTTTTAGTGAATTTGTATCACCTTCAAGAACCAATTTAATGTAAACATAATAATAATCTCAATCACAACAAAACCCTTTCTTGTAATCGCCATCCAGAGCTGGTTATTATACATATGAATAAGTAATGGAAAGAATTAAAAATGCTAATTCATATCAATAGCAGTAGCAGAATTAATAGTGCATACCTTTATCTAGATAATAACAAGAAAATAATTATGGTATTAATAAAAACATGTTTTATAGTAGAATCTAAACAAGCACAAAATTAATAATTCATGCCCAAATAAGGCCTAGTTGACAATAAATAAAATATTGCAAAAGAAATTAACAAATTGGAGCCGAAATAGCGCTAAGAAGATAAAATATAATCAGAATAAAAATAAGAAAAAGATGAAGATTTAGAAGGTATTTGTCATAGTAAAATACTAGAATTGGCATTATAGTATGAAGATGGATATATTTATAGAGGTCAAGGTTATCCTCCATAAACTAGATAAGGATTTGGCATGCTTACAGATAATGAAGGTAGAGAAATTTATGCTGGCTATTGGAAATAGAATGTTTATGATGGATAGGGGAGGCTATAGAATTTATATGTAGAAGAAATTGATAGTGCTTTTGATTGCAATAATATGACAACTATTGGAAATGGCTGGTCATCGTATGAGGGTAAGAGATAAATTCTGATATTCCTAGGCTAATTTGTTGGAGGCAAAATGTAAGGTTAAGGAATGCTTTTCTTGTCTAATGGAGAAAAATATGTAGGAGAGTTTGATGATGGCATGATTCATGGGGATGGTGAATTTACAACTTATCAAAAAGAAGTTATAAAAGGTAATTGGGATCAAGGATATTTGATACAAATGACTGATGAATGATTTATATAAAGTGTATTTTTCTAAACTATAAAATTTCTTTTAAAACATATTTTCGAGATTAATAATTTATCTCAAAATACATATTATAATTTTGTCATTAAATAAATCCAAATTTGCAGTGCTAGAAAGGGGTATAATTTATTCAACTTATAATTATTTTTCTTGATTAATTCTGCTTTCTGCAAAACAAACTTTATGTTCTCTAACTCTTAAATAGTTTGTTATCAAATATAGTTTTAAATCCCTTCTTTGAGCGATCTTATTTATTAAATTCTGAAATTACTAACAACTTCAAAAAATCAAGTTGAGTGCTCTAATTAATTGTTTAACATAAATGTTATAAATTTAGTTAATATTGAATTAATGGCATTTTAGTTAGAAATGATTTTTTCAATAAGAAAAGTTTCTTAAAAAGATCTTAATATAGACCTCTTAAATTGTTCGGGTTGGGATTTTACATTTTATTAACAACAATGTTAACTTGATTTTATTAATATTTTTGCAAATCAAAAAATTTAATTAATTTTTGGTACTTAGCAATTTGCACATAAAAATTGAAAATTCATAATACTAAAGGAAAATTTTTGTTTAATATCGTGTTACAAACATGAATTAATTTTTGAAATCTAAATCTCAGAGCTACTTAATTACATTAAGAAGACTTTTTTTATCCTATTATATTATAACGTTTCTTGGTAGAAAATCTAATTTAGGAAGTAAATTTTTGAAAACTAAAACAAAAATTTAAATTATTATTGGACTCCTTATGAATTGAATTGATATTTAATTAAGAGAATTATAATTAAATTAAAATTAATGGTGTATTTTACTTTTAGAAACGTAAAATTTATAAGACATTATTTACAACAACGACTCCATTGCTTTTTTAAATGTAATCATTATATAGAAAAAATGAAAAGATTTAGAGAAGCACTGCAATTTTACGATTAACCTATTCAGAGAAACCCTAATTATTCATTATATTATTTAGACAAAGGTAAATTAGTAATTAAATATTTTTCAGTAAATACCCTAGTGAATTTTTTCATAGATTATAAAATACATGAATAGATTGGGAGAGGCATTTTAAAATTATGATTTAGCCACCCTTCATTCTCTTGAAATATTTGAGATTTAATTATTTAAAGGTAAATTGTAAATCATATATTATTTAGCCTAATCTTTATTGATTTTTAAGGCTTCATCATTATGTAAAAACTGATATCATTTGGGGAAGCCTTACAAATTTATGATTCCCTGATTCAGATAAATTCTAGCAATCCTTTATTTTTTTAGGGCAATGGTACATGGTCAATCCCAACCATTTTTTGTAGCAATTATCCTAATATTATATGTACAAATCACCAAAATTATTTCTAACCATTAGATTTGAAGAAGCATTATATTATTATGATTTAGCAATTAGAGAAACCCTGAAGAATCAGTATATTATTTGGGCAAAGGTAAAATTAGTAAATTCCATAATTTTTTAGAAAGAACTTTATAAGAAATGAATAGACTTGAGGAAGCTTTGCAATTTATGATTTAGCAATTACTAAAATCCAGAATTTGCAGATAATTACGTTTATAAAGGTAAATTTTCATCACATTTTGTAGCAAATACTCTGTTGTATTTTTGTACATAAAATGATATTCCATATGAATAGATTGGAAGAAGCNTATTTATTAAATTCTGAAATTACTAACAACTTCAAAAAATCAAGTTGAGTGCTCTAATTAATTGTTTAACATAAATGTTATAAATTTAGTTAATATTGAATTAATGGCATTTTAGTTAGAAATGATTTTTTCAATAAGAAAAGTTTCTTAAAAAGATCTTAATATAGACCTCTTAAATTGTTCGGGTTGGGATTTTACATTTTATTAACAACAATGTTAACTTGATTTTATTAATATTTTTGCAAATCAAAAAATTTAATTAATTTTTGGTACTTAGCAATTTGCACATAAAAATTGAAAATTCATAATACTAAAGGAAAATTTTTGTTTAATATCGTGTTACAAACATGAATTAATTTTTGAAATCTAAATCTCAGAGCTACTTAATTACATTAAGAAGACTTTTTTTATCCTATTATATTATAACGTTTCTTGGTAGAAAATCTAATTTAGGAAGTAAATTTTTGAAAACTAAAACAAAAATTTAAATTATTATTGGACTCCTTATGAATTGAATTGATATTTAATTAAGAGAATTATAATTAAATTAAAATTAATGGTGTATTTTACTTTTAGAAACGTAAAATTTATAAGACATTATTTACAACAACGACTCCATTGCTTTTTTAAATGTAATCATTATATAGAAAAAATGAAAAGATTTAGAGAAGCACTGCAATTTTACGATTAACCTATTCAGAGAAACCCTAATTATTCATTATATTATTTAGACAAAGGTAAATTAGTAATTAAATATTTTTCAGTAAATACCCTAGTGAATTTTTTCATAGATTATAAAATACATGAATAGATTGGGAGAGGCATTTTAAAATTATGATTTAGCCACCCTTCATTCTCTTGAAATATTTGAGATTTAATTATTTAAAGGTAAATTGTAAATCATATATTATTTAGCCTAATCTTTATTGATTTTTAAGGCTTCATCATTATGTAAAAACTGATATCATTTGGGGAAGCCTTACAAATTTATGATTCCCTGATTCAGATAAATTCTAGCAATCCTTTATTTTTTTAGGGCAATGGTACATGGTCAATCCCAACCATTTTTTGTAGCAATTATCCTAATATTATATGTACAAATCACCAAAATTATTTCTAACCATTAGATTTGAAGAAGCATTATATTATTATGATTTAGCAATTAGAGAAACCCTGAAGAATCAGTATATTATTTGGGCAAAGGTAAAATTAGTAAATTCCATAATTTTTTAGAAAGAACTTTATAAGAAATGAATAGACTTGAGGAAGCTTTGCAATTTATGATTTAGCAATTACTAAAATCCAGAATTTGCAGATAATTACGTTTATAAAGGTAAATTTTCATCACATTTTGTAGCAAATACTCTGTTGTATTTTTGTACATAAAATGATATTCCATATGAATAGATTGGAAGAAGCTTTGTTAAACTACGATTCAGCCACAATTCAAAGGTAAAGTAATAATATATATAAATTTTAACAAGTCTAAAATATTTTCTGAAAAAATATTCAATTTATTAATTTACCTTTGTGAAAACAAGAACACGAAGATTCAGGGTTTAAATTAATGGCTAAATCAATATTATGCAATTATGAGAACCCTGATTAGCCAGACTAATATTATTGGAAAGGTATAAAAGTAAGTCCATATTTTTCCAGCCACAACACTATTCTTGTTTAAGTCATATAATTNTATTTATTAAATTCTGAAATTACTAACAACTTCAAAAAATCAAGTTGAGTGCTCTAATTAATTGTTTAACATAAATGTTATAAATTTAGTTAATATTGAATTAATGGCATTTTAGTTAGAAATGATTTTTTCAATAAGAAAAGTTTCTTAAAAAGATCTTAATATAGACCTCTTAAATTGTTCGGGTTGGGATTTTACATTTTATTAACAACAATGTTAACTTGATTTTATTAATATTTTTGCAAATCAAAAAATTTAATTAATTTTTGGTACTTAGCAATTTGCACATAAAAATTGAAAATTCATAATACTAAAGGAAAATTTTTGTTTAATATCGTGTTACAAACATGAATTAATTTTTGAAATCTAAATCTCAGAGCTACTTAATTACATTAAGAAGACTTTTTTTATCCTATTATATTATAACGTTTCTTGGTAGAAAATCTAATTTAGGAAGTAAATTTTTGAAAACTAAAACAAAAATTTAAATTATTATTGGACTCCTTATGAATTGAATTGATATTTAATTAAGAGAATTATAATTAAATTAAAATTAATGGTGTATTTTACTTTTAGAAACGTAAAATTTATAAGACATTATTTACAACAACGACTCCATTGCTTTTTTAAATGTAATCATTATATAGAAAAAATGAAAAGATTTAGAGAAGCACTGCAATTTTACGATTAACCTATTCAGAGAAACCCTAATTATTCATTATATTATTTAGACAAAGGTAAATTAGTAATTAAATATTTTTCAGTAAATACCCTAGTGAATTTTTTCATAGATTATAAAATACATGAATAGATTGGGAGAGGCATTTTAAAATTATGATTTAGCCACCCTTCATTCTCTTGAAATATTTGAGATTTAATTATTTAAAGGTAAATTGTAAATCATATATTATTTAGCCTAATCTTTATTGATTTTTAAGGCTTCATCATTATGTAAAAACTGATATCATTTGGGGAAGCCTTACAAATTTATGATTCCCTGATTCAGATAAATTCTAGCAATCCTTTATTTTTTTAGGGCAATGGTACATGGTCAATCCCAACCATTTTTTGTAGCAATTATCCTAATATTATATGTACAAATCACCAAAATTATTTCTAACCATTAGATTTGAAGAAGCATTATATTATTATGATTTAGCAATTAGAGAAACCCTGAAGAATCAGTATATTATTTGGGCAAAGGTAAAATTAGTAAATTCCATAATTTTTTAGAAAGAACTTTATAAGAAATGAATAGACTTGAGGAAGCTTTGCAATTTATGATTTAGCAATTACTAAAATCCAGAATTTGCAGATAATTACGTTTATAAAGGTAAATTTTCATCACATTTTGTAGCAAATACTCTGTTGTATTTTTGTACATAAAATGATATTCCATATGAATAGATTGGAAGAAGCTTTGTTAAACTACGATTCAGCCACAATTCAAAGGTAAAGTAATAATATATATAAATTTTAACAAGTCTAAAATATTTTCTGAAAAAATATTCAATTTATTAATTTACCTTTGTGAAAACAAGAACACGAAGATTCAGGGTTTAAATTAATGGCTAAATCAATATTATGCAATTATGAGAACCCTGATTAGCCAGACTAATATTATTGGAAAGGTATAAAAGTAAGTCCATATTTTTCCAGCCACAACACTATTCTTGTTTAAGTCATATAATTATATAAAAATTGAATAGATTTGAAAAAAATTCTTATAATATCTAGATAAAGCAATTCAGATAAATGATGAAAATCCCAATTATTATATTAGATAAGGGTAAATATCATAATTAGTTTTGCAGCAAGTGTGTTATGTAGTTTGAACAGATATTAAGAAGCATTGGAACAGCATGATGTATCGATTTCAAAGAACCCTGAAAATTTGGAGTATAGAAACCTCAAAGGTAAAATGATCTAAATTTTTCAGCGTGTACCTTATTCAAAATGAAAAGACTTTAAGAAGCATTAGAGTGTTTTTATTCAAGTATTCAAGAAAACTCAGATAGTACTTACCTTAAAATTGGTAAATATATATTTGGAAAAGCTTGTAGCAACAACTTTAAATGGAAATGTAAAGGTTAGATGAATCATTAAAATATTCTGATTTAACAATTCAAATATGCCCTGAAATTCAGATTGTTATCATTATAAGGGTAAATAGAAAAAAATAATTTTACAAGCAATAACTTTAGTCAAAATAAAAAAATTAGACGAAGCCTTAAGTTATTCTGATATAGCTATTTAAAAATAACCTCAAAATTCAGTATATTTGCAAGGAAAAGGTCTTAAAAATTAAATAAATTTTTGCAGCTTATGTTCTATTCATCTTGAGTGTGCTGTTATTGTAAAATAAATGTATAAAATTGAAGAAGCCTTGTTTTATTTGATTTAGCAGTTTAGAGCGACCCTGAATAACCATTTATTTTTGTTCAATCTATATGGCAATAACTATAAAATATAGATCGGTTAGTTCGATTCTAAAGTATTTCAAGACATCGAATTACCATATAGGGTCTTAAGATTGCTAAATTAAAAGTAACCTCATTAACTTTGAAAAATACTCTCATTTAAATTGAAAATAAAAAAGTAAGTCTTTAATAAGGAAACTAGAAAGGCTCTTGTTTCGATTATTCTTTATTGTTCAAAATTTAAAAAAGGAATCAAATAGCTCTAATTTAAAACAATTATATACACCAATATTTAAATTTTAAAATTTGTGCAAAATGTCAATTCAATAAGCAGAATATCGTATATTTTGTAAATTTAAAGTATATGGAATATGGATTGTATGCTATTCAAACATGCTGAAGCCAAATAAATCATTTTAAATATCACTTAAATTTTAATTTAAAAGAAAATATATTATTAAGAAATGGAATACTCAAGTTAACTATTTTAGGATCCAAAGTATGGAAAATTTCAAGGAATGAATTGTTTCAATCTAAATATGTAGAAATAAATCTTTATGCTTTTGACTACCTTTCAGGAAGTGATAATATTAATATTCAAAAATATTGTATTGTTTTGAAATTCCTTCAAAATTGAATCAAAATCTTCTATCTCATCTATTAAACATTATCTATTTGACTTTTTCCTGATGCATAGTGAGCTTATTTATATGATAATTTTTCTTTGTGACTATATTTTCAATTTTTCGGTAATGGGATGAAATGGTATTCTTAAAATGCCTTTATGTTTGAGTTAAAAATAATTAACATTTTTCAAATTAATAGACTGATTAATAAATACATCATCATTTATTTTTGCTTTATCTATTTTAACAAATTACTATTTCCCTTGAAATAGTGTTTTTATAATTAAATCTTTTAAATTATCTCAAGCAATTTATCTCTCAAACCTCTTCTTGTAAATGTAGTTGGTCTATCTTATCTTATTCTGACTTTGCAATTCACTCAAGCGATGATTTATAATACAAAATTGATTATCCAATTCAAGTGGATAATTTAATAAAATAAATAGCAATATTTGATATTTTAAAGGCTTGATGCAATAGGTGATACTTAGCAAGTTACAGTTCAGATTCGTGACACCTTAGGAAATACATTAAAAATTCTTGTAAATATATTTTAAGATCAATGTCTACAAAGAAACAATATTATTTTAATAAATCAGAAAGAGAAATTACTGGTAAGATTGATAATGTAAAACAAGATTTAATGGATCCTCTAAAAGACAAATTCTAATATAATGAACTAATTCTAAGATTATTTATTTCATTAAATTTCATAAGAATTCCTGAATTTGAGAAAATTGTTCTTTATATAAAAATTTCATATTCTTCTAACTTATAATTCTCATCTTCTCCCATCAATTCAACCTATTTTCCTTCGAATTTCTTTATCCATTTTTTAATTTAATTTCTTCTTATCATTTTATTCAGCTTTTTTTATGACTTTCCTCCTTTTTATTGTTTAAAAAAAATTTAAAATATGGTATATATAATCAATACCATAATAATTAATGATTGTAAGTGATATTTTTTTAAATCATTTAGTTTAATTAGATAAAACCTTCAAAAGGTCAAATATCATGAGTACAATAAGGTACTTTTTTTTACCCTCATAACATCCCATTTAAACTTGATAGAAAGAATGTGGCCCTGCGTAAAATTTATTTCACAAACTTTAAGCAATTTAAGAGGGTTGATTTTATTACAAATATTCATAGTAAAAATTAATTAATAACACAAAATTTACAATTAATAATGTAGTGAAACTATACTTCCCTTCAAGATTATCAATATATTAAAAAATAAGGATTTACTTTGAATAAAATTTTGAAGATGATTAAAATCCATAACACAAAACTAAGTTATTGAGGGATATTTAACTTTGCAGAACGTTCTTATCCTAATCTGCAATTTAGATGGGTTACACAGACATTCTCAAGGATCATCTATTTTTCCCTACTAATGATGATATTATAGATTGATAAAAATCATAAATTCAGATTACCTGCTTAAACTAATAATTGGAAATCTCTTAACTGACAGAAGGCAAAAACCTATATTGGAAAATCTAAAGCAAATGATTTAAAGGAATAATACTAGCAATAACATATTAGGAATCAAAACAATCTTATTATATTAAATACCATATATCATCCTGAAATATTCTCAACATAAAGAAATCGAATATCAGATTCAATTTATTAGTTAAAGTTGAATTTTATTAACTCAATTTAAGAAGCAGAGAACTCTATTTAAAATTTATATTAAAATAATTTGTATATAATTTATATATAATGGGTAATCGAAATCTCAAATTATACTGAATAGGCAGATTATCGCAAACAACCCTATTTATAGACTTGTGGAATAATCAACTTATGAAACATCTAAAGATGATTTGCATGAACCTATTTATTAAGTCCCATCTAGACAAGTCTCTTTTTGATTGCAATACCGGAACTTTCTTATCCACAAAAACAACTTGATATCATATTAATTGTACATTTTCTAAGCAACCACTCTATTTTGTACCAAGATTTTAGCATTGAAAACCAGATTAGCAAATCAATTTTATATCTAAACCATTCTACTTATCACCGCAAAAACAATTGGATTAGCCATTTTCTTTGAAAGTTGGCACACATTTTCCAGTGATATCATCATAGATAGTGACATATTAATCAAGACAAGTTAGGTTTTCAGATAATATCAAACAATTTTGATAATTAGTTGAAGTACATTGTGGGATGCAAACACCTTTGGATTACAAAATACAATATGTTGATTCAGAACATATTTCAAAAGAATCCATTCCACATAAACAATTATTTTGATTTTAACTACAGTTTTCATAACAGACTCCCATTTGTGCTGTAAAGTCCAAACAATATTAATTTTTATTACAATAGTCTGGATTATTTATACCACAAGAAAAATTAGATTAAAATTATTATGTGCAAGTTCCGTAATTACAAACCATTANCTAATTCTAAGATTATTTATTTCATTAAATTTCATAAGAATTCCTGAATTTGAGAAAATTGTTCTTTATATAAAAATTTCATATTCTTCTAACTTATAATTCTCATCTTCTCCCATCAATTCAACCTATTTTCCTTCGAATTTCTTTATCCATTTTTTAATTTAATTTCTTCTTATCATTTTATTCAGCTTTTTTTATGACTTTCCTCCTTTTTATTGTTTAAAAAAAATTTAAAATATGGTATATATAATCAATACCATAATAATTAATGATTGTAAGTGATATTTTTTTAAATCATTTAGTTTAATTAGATAAAACCTTCAAAAGGTCAAATATCATGAGTACAATAAGGTACTTTTTTTTACCCTCATAACATCCCATTTAAACTTGATAGAAAGAATGTGGCCCTGCGTAAAATTTATTTCACAAACTTTAAGCAATTTAAGAGGGTTGATTTTATTACAAATATTCATAGTAAAAATTAATTAATAACACAAAATTTACAATTAATAATGTAGTGAAACTATACTTCCCTTCAAGATTATCAATATATTAAAAAATAAGGATTTACTTTGAATAAAATTTTGAAGATGATTAAAATCCATAACACAAAACTAAGTTATTGAGGGATATTTAACTTTGCAGAACGTTCTTATCCTAATCTGCAATTTAGATGGGTTACACAGACATTCTCAAGGATCATCTATTTTTCCCTACTAATGATGATATTATAGATTGATAAAAATCATAAATTCAGATTACCTGCTTAAACTAATAATTGGAAATCTCTTAACTGACAGAAGGCAAAAACCTATATTGGAAAATCTAAAGCAAATGATTTAAAGGAATAATACTAGCAATAACATATTAGGAATCAAAACAATCTTATTATATTAAATACCATATATCATCCTGAAATATTCTCAACATAAAGAAATCGAATATCAGATTCAATTTATTAGTTAAAGTTGAATTTTATTAACTCAATTTAAGAAGCAGAGAACTCTATTTAAAATTTATATTAAAATAATTTGTATATAATTTATATATAATGGGTAATCGAAATCTCAAATTATACTGAATAGGCAGATTATCGCAAACAACCCTATTTATAGACTTGTGGAATAATCAACTTATGAAACATCTAAAGATGATTTGCATGAACCTATTTATTAAGTCCCATCTAGACAAGTCTCTTTTTGATTGCAATACCGGAACTTTCTTATCCACAAAAACAACTTGATATCATATTAATTGTACATTTTCTAAGCAACCACTCTATTTTGTACCAAGATTTTAGCATTGAAAACCAGATTAGCAAATCAATTTTATATCTAAACCATTCTACTTATCACCGCAAAAACAATTGGATTAGCCATTTTCTTTGAAAGTTGGCACACATTTTCCAGTGATATCATCATAGATAGTGACATATTAATCAAGACAAGTTAGGTTTTCAGATAATATCAAACAATTTTGATAATTAGTTGAAGTACATTGTGGGATGCAAACACCTTTGGATTACAAAATACAATATGTTGATTCAGAACATATTTCAAAAGAATCCATTCCACATAAACAATTATTTTGATTTTAACTACAGTTTTCATAACAGACTCCCATTTGTGCTGTAAAGTCCAAACAATATTAATTTTTATTACAATAGTCTGGATTATTTATACCACAAGAAAAATTAGATTAAAATTATTATGTGCAAGTTCCGTAATTACAAACCATTATCGGAACATGGATCAACGCATTTTTCTTAGTTTGAACACACCTTTTTGACTTTATTTCCACAAATGCGATTGGAAGATTAATGAGTACAAATTTCTAAACAAACTCCTTCTTATTTTGATGAACAATATGTTGTAGATGAGCATTCTGATAAGTATGATGATCCACAAACACAATTGCTTTGGAATAAATTACATTATTAAACACAGGTACCTGTTAGCTATTAAATATCATGACAATGTTCGTTTGAACCACAAAAAGGTGTTGCTGAATTACCACAGGTGCAATTGTTTATAAATTACGAACTCATTTTTCTATACAAATCCCATCCAAATCATTGGGATTCTAACATACTTAAGTTCTAGAACAGACAAGTTTTTTAATTGAACCACAAACACAATCAGATTTTTAATTTTGATTACAACTTTTTAAGCAAACTCCTTTCTAATCGGTTACATCAATACAATAAGTAGACTAAGAACATTTAGAAATCTAAGTTAAACCACATAAACACGAGTTATCAAAATTATTAATACAATTAGGTGTTGCAATACAACTACCGTTATTAGCAGTTGGATCTTCACATTTTTCTGAATTTGAACAAACTGATTTTGTCGCCACACCACAAATACAAGTTGATCTTTTACTATTTGTACAATTTTCATAACATTATCCATTAATAGCAGTAGGGTTAACACAATATTAAGAATTATTACAATTACTAAATTGACTTTAACTACAAGAACAATTATTTTAAAAATTAGTAATGCATATATCCAAACAATTACCTGAATTTGTCATACCATCTTCACATCTTTAAGCTGCACTACAATATGAGAGTGTTTGAGATCCACAAGCACAATTATTTACTGTTGAACCTTAGCATTTATTAAAACAAACTCCATTTGTTGCATTAGGATCTTAGCAATAAGTTGTTGAACTGCAATCTTGTTTTGATGATCTTCCACAAGAGCAATTATTTTAATTAATTGATGAACAATTTACAACAGTTACACATGAAGAATTCTAGCACAACATATTTGAATCACAATAGGAAGTTCCGCATATACAATCTGAATATTTGATCCTTAACAAGGCTAGTTACATTATCCTGATGTACTCTGTTTAGATTATAAAGTTAATAATTTATAACAAGAGTTTTTGACATATTAAACTAAAATGGTTTAATAACTTGCTTGAAATGGACTATTGAAAAACATGTACTTATCAATATTAAGAATTTGAAGATCAAGAATTGAAGCAAAAGACACATAGAAAATGATTAAAATTGTAATTGTAATGTTTATTATGAATATTCAAATTTACTTTTGCTTTTGTTTTAAGTCTTCTAAAAAGCAACTTCCTATTGATTTAAACAAAGGTTTTAAATCTATCCCTTAATAATTCATAAATTTTCCTTATAAGATAAGTGTTCCTGATGCTTCTAACCAAGGATTCTAGCATATTCTAAGTATTGTACAATAAGGATTAACTAAATAATAATTAATAATAAATACCATTTGGCAATAAGGAGC